TTTACCAAATATGGTTTAAGTAGTCTAAAATAAAATTTTTACTTCCATCATGCAAACTTTCATCCCTATACCCTATGGCATAGGGCCTATTCCAAGTTTCGGCACCGATCTTGTTAGAGTTGAAGTGAAAAGCGGTTGTAATTATAGTTACATTATTTAATTTTATGAGCACACAGATTTAAATGTATTATTGCAGAGCGGTAATGGCGACCGGCGGAAACCGCAGTGTTGCCATGTATATTTGTTGACTTAAACAGAGATAGATTTTAAAAACTCTTTAGTGTCTAAACTTACATGCTTTTAATCAATGTTTCAGACTGCGCATTGCTTGACAGTTAGACGACTGATGTCTTGCATCAATTTCTTTTTCGAGCATTCGACTCACCTGATTATGACTATCGCCGCAACACTAGAAGAATTGCAGGTGTGCTGTCGGCCTTTTAAAAAGGAGTACGCTCTTAAAGGTTACGATGTCGTATCAATTATGCGTGGAAGAAAGTACGTTGAAAAACGCACGGTGGAAGACTGCCACTCATCTAGATGGATGGAATCCAGATACAAATAATAAAATAAAATTTTTAATAATAATAATAATCATCATTAATCTTTCAACCGAATTCTTAAACAAACAGTATTTTTTTTTATATTTATTACCTCATGACTCCGTCAGTTGTAAATCAATTTTGAAAATTCTTTTTAATTTGAAAGAATATATTTAGAGATTGGTCCCATAAAAAAAAATATTAATATCGATTCAATAGTTTAGTTTTTAATACAAAAAGGTTTTGATACAATTGAAATCGAATTGATCGATTTTTTTGTGAAACAATGTTAATTATTCATTGTAGACTAAAAAAACGATATTCAATATAATGATTCAATATTGAACTGGTATCAGTTATAAGAAGATAAATAAGAGTAGGTACTTATCGAAAATCGCCTATGGAAAACAACCGAATAAGTGAAATAATATTATATTTCGGGCGGTATATTATTTTCACTGAAGTTCCCGATTGTCTGCTCTCGGGGCGCATATCCGTTCCCTTGGCGCTCACTAAATGGGAAGGCAAACAGTGTGATCGCGATGTTAGCAGAGTCGTCGCTTGTTGACATGGCGCGATTCGACCGCTTTATAAATGTTCCGAGGTAGTCCGGCGGGCAACGGCGGCGCGGCGTGCCATTATCCCATTAGGGAAGGGCATTACTCACTCAGAATGTGTAGCCATTAGGCGATGTTCCCGGCGGACGCGAACAGTCGGCTGACCGATACACGCTACATGATATTTTTCGATTCCCCGCATAACGAATCCCAAAATTAAATTATAAAATTTAAGATAGATATGGATTAAGATGCCGTTACCATGTTAATTCTTGGCCCTAAATTAGGCTCAATAGACCCTAATTGATTACGCGACTTCAGGTAAATTTCCATTCAAGGTTTCTAAATAACATTTGTATTAAGCAAATTTCAGAGAATTGGCAAAGACACAGAATCACAGGTAGTATTTTCGATAGGGTTTATTGTGGGAATTTTGGCTATCAATAGATAACTTTTGTAACATCAACTAGTTCAATAGTTTGTTTTATCTAAAACTAATAATACAAAGAGGAAAGATACACTTTTTATTTGTAACAGATAAACACAAATGATTTTAAAAATTCTTTTAGCGGTATAAAGTTACATTATCCACGAGTTACATGACTCAGCTATATTTTATTTTCAAAATTATGCGAAGCTGGGGTTGAACGCTATTTTTTCATATAAATTTAGATATTTGCGACGTCTATACTCCTATTTTACTTACTACATGTCTATAGAATCAGTTATACGTGTAAACTGAACATAAAAGTGGTAAGTGGTATGCCTGATGGTAAACGGGGACCGTAACATATGGACGCCTACACGCAACAATAGAATTCTTCGAACTTTGAAGAATCCCATATCTCAAAGATAACTCATTGCACAACTCGAGCGTTCGAGCAAGAAAATTGCGTGGAAACCACACTGTACACGATATTTAAAGTTTTAGAATGTAAAGGGAATGATTTAACATTCATAAAGATGTGAACAGTTAAGAGCATAATTCACGCTCTCACTTCTGAAGTTGGTTCGAAAAATACAATTAAACTAGATAATTTTAGTTATAACCTGATTAAAACAATGAAATTAACATATCTCTAAAGATAAAAACCCAAATTAAATGGAGATTAAAGAAAAATGTAAAAAAGAGTGAATTCTTTCCCCCAGTGATAGCGAGTGGTGCGACGATTGAAGATGGTCATGGGAATCGTGTCAAACAATTCTTCAGAACACACTCCGTGTACAAGCGGTATAACACGCAAAGGAAGACATTCTAACAACGTTATCTCCAATCAATTTGACATTTGTATGGATAGAAAACGTATGAAATAGGCACGCCATTATTCTTCGTATAGAAATGTCAGTCATTAATGAAATATGAATGATAACTTATTCAACGAGTTATTACAAGCTTAGGATCATAAACGGCATACGATAATGGCTGTTTTTTACAGCCGCGCCTATTAGATAACTCCTAATAAGCAGGTAGTATGGTAGAGTAGCATGTTTATGTTGTGCCATTATATACTTTCACGACAATTATACAATGACATGCCCGCTACATGAAGCTATAAGGGCATTGACATTTTAATGTATGTTATTAATTAAAAACAGATAAGTATTCTAATTATAATCGCTTGGAAAGGTTCTCAAGTGAAGAAACTGTACAAACAAATGTCATAGATAAACATGACTAAGTGTAGTTCTACTCCCTCTCTAGATGAAGTGATGACCACTTAAATGTGTCGCAAATTTCTATAGACGCGTGCTTATAATTGTTATTTATGACAGTCTATGAGAGAGGTCTATGCTTAACTGTGGACAATACCTGAAATGATAATGAAGATTACCTATCATATAGATTTTAATCCCAGATTTTATATTAAATTCTATTACAAGTAGGTGGATGCAGATACCGGAGAGATATACAGTAACTTATTATGAGGAAAGAGGAGTCAAATCTCCGGAAAGAGGGTACAAGCGACGAAATGTGAAGATGCAGGACGCAAGAGAAGTATATAAAATATACAGAGCCTTTGGCACACGGTTCCCTTTACCTAACCAGCAAAGGATATTGCATGAAGACAGATATAATACAGTTGATCTGTTTGTAATAATTTTATTTTATGTGCAATTTAAAATCGCAAACAACTGACGACCTACACGGTGCAAAATAGCAACCGTCTGTCCATAGAATACTCTAGTAATAAATATTAATTTAAAAAAAAAACTTTTCATGTAAAATGTTATTAGATTTTAAGATACCAGAGGGGGACTTTGTGCAAAACTCGTTTACTTGGGTACCTCTGTCTCATTGGTGTTTCTACCGTGAAACAGTTGTGTTTGCATGACTGTGTTTCGGTTTAAAGGGTAGAATATGGCAGTGAATTTACAGGGTATAGAGGAATAACACCTGAGTCCTCAGGAACGGCAACGCATAGAGAGTATCATGGGCGAAGCAGTATACTCTGTTATCTCCATGGTACTGCTCATGTCTATAGGCGACGGTTACCACTTTACATCAGGCTGTCAGCTTGTTTGCCATTCTAAGTTGCAGAAAATATTAGATTTCGTGTTTGTATTTTAACAAAAATAGATTCTCAGAAATAAGTAAAATATAGTTGAGTTGAGAATAAATAATTCATATAACATTTGATAATAAGGAAATTACTATTTTTATGCATTTAGACTCCGAAAATAAATAGCCTTGCCAGCATAGTCTAATTATTATTTTATTGCATTTTAAATACAACACCTCGCTAATCTGTACGTGCTAACATTAGGCGTACAGGTATCAAGAGGTAAGTCCTCATTCTGATTGACTGACTCATTACCATGGAAATTTAGAAGGTATAAAAAGCTGGCGGCTTATCTGATGGAGAGTTATTTTTTTTTAAAGGGAAGGGAAAGGGAAATGGAATGAACATCCCACCTGCGCTATCGGTAATACACTGGTGTGGCACCAGTGAGAGATGATAGTGCCTCATCTCTATCATCTATCACTATCATCCTCATGGATGAAGACTGATTAGTTTGCTCATCGTGATGAATTCGACAAGTATTAATCACAGGGAACCACATGGAGGTCGGCCTGACATGGTGTATACAAGCCAATAATTTGTATTTATCATCACCTTTAAAAAAACTTCAATGGTTAAAAGGACAGACCGGGGGAAGGGATTGTTAGTTATGGGGAGATTAGTCCCCATTGCTATTAATATATTCTAACAGGTCGACCTCCACGCGGTACCCCCTGGAAACTATAGTGACTAATTTATCATTGAATTCGTCACGATGGATTAACTGACCTTCTTTTCATCCTTACCCTCACTGATGGTGAGTGACACGCCAGGGTACACCGATAGCGCAGGCGTGACTACCAATTCATTATCTTCCATTAAAAAAAGGACAGACCACGTGGGGATTGATGAAGGGCAATGAAATGGTAACACTACCTGCACTATCGAGGATGGGTACCTATACGCTGGCAGGGTACCAGTGAGAAATGATAGGTGAGAATAAAAACCGGCCAGCTGCTCCATCTTGACGATTTAATGCCTCCCCTGCCCCTCCCGCCATGTACATTAGACCTAGCATTGATTTAAAAAAATTCAAAATAAATAGTACTATTTAACTAATCGATTCAAATTATTTTCTGAAAAATTAAAACCTATTAGAATAGGTATACACATACCTAAATAAAGTAACTACATACCTACCAACTTTTGGGTGAATATGAGAAAATGCCGGCAATCAATTATCAACCTGTATAATTAAATCTTCTATTGCTTGGCCTTCTCCCATCACGAAGGGCACAGTCCGACTGTGCTTGGGATGTCTGCTTACTCGAGTACCTAGTTCGCTATTCCGGCCTCGGCCATTGCTACAGTGCGCCATACAAGCCCTTGTGTGTACTCACCTCTCGTTGCACCGCCTCAGCCGCTCTAACACAACAATCCAACGTTTTGTCTTTCGATATGCGATCGATACGCAGAGGCCGACCCTCAACACCGTAAAAGCAAATTACTTTTAATCACCATTCAGCACATAAACACGGCCGACCCGTTTTACTTTATAGTATCCACTTGTCATCTCACACAAACACGTACAGTACACTCCACTGTGAGTATTTAATCCTTTGGGCGGTGGCAAATCAATCCAAGTCAGTTGTTGCTGATTATAAACAAATAACACTAGTTATTTCACAGCAGAAACACGAGCGTAAAAACAACGCGCGTCACGTCAGCGCCGATTCGGGTCGGCAGCGGACGATCGGACGAGTGAAGCGAGCACGGAACTTACAAGGAACGCTACGTGTCCCCCCGGCCGGCGAGGCGCAAGAGGGAACGAGACGGATATAGAACTTAGACGGCTGCCCGAAAGAGAGATAAGAGGCTTTACGAGGCGGGAGCCATAAAAATGTGAGGGCTCCTATCCATAGTACAGGCAGGGTACAATCGGCGCGCCACCGACTACTGCTATCTTGGATTGATCCATGAAGTGAATAGATAACGATTGTTGTAACGTTTGTGACGGCATCATCGGTACAGTCGCTCATTCATTAAAATAATTATTCGACAATTAAGCGTTGAGACGGAGGTCATTGCCGTTTCGCTAACAGCGGCCGTTCCACGCTCCAATGCTGCCCTCGCTTCATACTTACTATAATAACATCTTTATAAGTACTTATCTGCGTAATTGGTAAATTAAAATGAAATAATATTGGATATATTATTCATTTGGCAGATTTAATACGTACATTTACTTCGATCAGTCAGACTGTGGATTATAGAGGTGTATTTTTATAATCTTTAAATTTCTCCTATGCAAATTACTCGTAAAAGATATACAAATTCAAAACTCTCAGTATCCATGGAGCTGACTGTTGGACAACTTGCATCAAAAAATTTTAATATATTTTTTTAATTTTTTTGGCTATTCTTATTTAATTGCAGATTATTCAATGCTATTAATATAGCAAAAAGAAAATTGACTTCCGTAGGTTCATTTATATCATTATATCACTGAATTTCGACCTTGGTGGTCGAGTGATTGAAAACAGCCTCACGTTTCGATGGTCGCGAGTTCGATTCCCCGTATAATACAAACATTTCTATTCATGTCTGTTTGTATTGGTTTGGGTGTTTTATATGTATGTATTTAAAAAAATATATATTTCTATCAGTTGTTTAGTACCCATACTTCATGTTTCTTTCATGTAGCACTAGATGTCGCTAGAGTAAGGGTAGACATAAATAGAAACAATTAAAGAGCATATTTACATTTATTGTTAATTTAATCTAAATAGTCTTAACTTCAACATACATCTTGGTGGAAGTATGATAGATTGTATCTCACTGAATGTGATGACAATTCCACTTCATAACAATAGGTACAATTAATACAAAATTTATGCTACACCTTAAATATAAATAAATTAAATTCCTGAGAAAAAATAAGTATTAAGGCTAAAAGGTAATGTTTCTTTGTCGTTTCTTATATTAATTGTTTAAATTAAGCAACAAAACAGGCGAGCTTATCATACTTGGAATTTTAAAGTTCCTGTACATTCACGAGATATTTATTTAGAAAATATTGTTGTGTACATTTATATTGAAGTTAGATGTTGGGCCGGATTTTTTATTTCATTTATATATATATATCTATTGTTAAGTCAGAATAGACCACTAAACATGATAATGATAAAACATTTTCATCACAATGTTTATTTTTTCAATACAGTAACGAAAATTTCTAATTTGTCCATTGTTTAGGTTATAGATGACGCCAAAGACCCACTGTACAACATTTAATAATGTTGATACACCAACCAGACGTTAGAGTGAAGAGAATTATATAAACTTATTTATTTGCTTTGGACAGTATCTCTTAGTTACAGATTCGGTAGAAATATTTGAACTGCATTTCAACTATTTATTTGTTCAACAACAAGGTATTTGACAGGTTTTAGAAAAATATTTTGGTTCATTATAGCATAATACATTTGCAGTTTGATTAATTCCTTGTCAATTTCTCTATTTTCTATGATAATCACCATCAAAGTTTAAATGAACAAAAATGCCGCCAAAACGCAAAGACGCCATGTCATGACGTCTTGATGGTGTGTTAATTTTTATAACCTTACTTTTACAAAATGGTTTATAAATTGTGTGTAGTGCCAAAATGTACTAACACATATAATCATTTAAAGATTATTATTATCATTTATTATAACACCGGAAATAATGTGTGCATACAGAATACTTAAAACACTGCGCGCCTTCAATTGACAAGCTGGTGACGTCACTTCAGTTCCAACCAATTCCGTACGTATTTAATCACGCGATTAAACATGAAAATTTAATATTTTTTTTTTTTTATAAATGCCATACTTTTTTTATAACATGGATGCAAAGGATACGGCTCACCTAAGTAACCTACCTAAGTCACCTAGTAAGTGTGATTACATGTGACACAGAAGCATTTGTAACATCAGAGTAATAACTGGTGTATTACCAACCTTTCAAGAAGCATGCTCTTTTCTTGAAGATTTCAATGTCTTATCTATTCAGAAATAATGCTACTAGGAATTGGTTCTATACTTTGGTTTTGCGTGGAAGAGCACGCTCAGAACACGTACAGAAACGCTCTGTGGAGAACCGCCATTCATCCAAATGGTGAGGATGACACTTTAGCTTACGGCGGGTTATACAGTGATGAAATTCAGCAGCTGGTATTAATCCGAATAATTTCTCTGAACACCTCCCATGATATGTGCGACAAAAGACTCAAAAAAAAACCAACGTCGCTACGCAATTAAAAAAAAAATAGATTAATCATATTAAAAAAAAATGTGTTAAATAATATTATTTTTTAAAAAAAAAAAAAGCTAGTTTGATATATATTTTTATTGTACGCAAATACCCTATTATGTATATTAATTTTTAATGTACACAGTTGTTGCATAAAAAGATTTGAATAAAAAAAATTATATGTTGTATGAAAATCTATTATTAATTTTCTATTACTAATGTTGTATATGCTTGTCTTCTTAAATTGTAGTTTGCTTTCATGTTGCATGTCAGTTTAAACGAGATAAGGCAGTGAAATTATGGAATATGTTGTTACTGACTGTGACGTGACCCCCATGAGTCAAGAGTAGGCAACACACGGTTGCCAACATTGTTACAAATGTTTATAGAGTGGCCACTTAGTGTAAAACTCACTATTTTGCTAATTACCACTAAAAAAAAAAGTATTTTCGATTCAGTTCGCGGATCATGACACTGAAAATGATCTCTGCAATTTAAAAAATAATAAAGTATTATATATTAGCATCAATCGTGGTACACAAGCACATCAGACTCAGGCCAGACATTATATTAGAAAAGATGGTGATAATAATAAAACTTTTACACTTATTTCAGTAATTATGGAAAGAATAAATTTGTCAACAATTGTATTTTTTATTGCAACACGATAATACATAAAGAGTAATAAAAAATAACCCTCGGTTGATGAAAAAGAATGTTTGCAAGGATATTGTTGACACTTATCATTCTAATTACCACCGGTGATATCACCAACACTCTTTCGAGTTCACAATAAATCTATTACTGTACACAAAGTTACATATCAGTTCACATCGTAACGAAAAGTAGCCCTTAGTACGCTTACTGCGGCAACAGAGGAACTTCTGAGTAAGACAGCTCCTGTTCTTCTTCAGAAGAATGGCCGCTGGCATACGAGGGACGGCCACTCTTCTCCCTCAGTCAGTACCTGCACCAATTATGAAATAGATAGTCGTTACCTGTTTTTATGACCAGGTATATTTTGATTGACTGAAATAAACTGTTGAAAGGGTGTGATATGACAATGGAATTACAGGGTACAGAGGAATAACACCTAAATCCTCAGGAATGGGAACACATGGGCGGTATCATGGGTATACTCTGTTATGTCCATGGTACTGCTCATGTCTATAGGCGACGGTTACCACTTTCCATCAGGTGGGCCGTCAGCTTGTTTGCCATTTGCCATTAACAAAAAATAATTTTCCAAATCGGTCTATAAATGACGGAATTGTGACGTAACAAATATAACCTAATTGAGATCCTATTTATGTACATATATTGAAAACACATGGACACAGTTTTATTATAGTCTATTTAAAATAAACAACAGGACAATTTTCAACCAACTACAAAAAAAGGAGATTTTCAATTCTGTAGCTCGTTTTTTTTTAATATTTGTTACTTCATACATAAATTCGTCAATTGTAAACAGATTTGGAATATATATATATATATATATATATATATATATATATATATATATATATATATATATATATATAATATTATTTATCTGAAAGGATATATTGACAGACATGTCCCATAGGAATTATATCAAAATCGGTTCAATAGTTTAAAATAATAATAACTGGTTTTGATATAATAAAAGTAATTTACCAGAGGGAGACTTTGTACAAAAGTCGATTGCTTGGGTACCTCTGTCTCATTCGTGTTTCTACCGTGAAACAGTTGTGTTTGCATGACTGTGTTTCGCGGTTTGAAGGGTGGGTGAATTTACTGGGTACAGAGGAATAACACCTAAGTCCTCAGGAGTGGCAACGCATGGGGGGTATCATGGGTGAAACAGTATACTCTGTTATGTCCATGGTACTGCTCATGTCTATAGGCGACGGTTACCACTTTCCATCAGGTGGGCCGTCAGCTTGTTTGCCATTCTAAGTTGTACAAAAAAAAAGTAGTTTTTTTATAGCAAATATATATATATAACACAATTTATATTATTAAATCAATTACTTTACCTTCTGTATGCATCGAGATTTTCCCTATCCGATTCTGCATACGGCGCCCAGTGGGCTGGTGCAGTCTCATTCTCTTCACGATCACTGTTATTGCTTGTGCCTGGGTTAGGCAATAATTACGTTAAGTCTTCCTAATTTACAAGTGTTACAACACCTTATCACCTTAACAAAAAGTAATAAGTAATGACCAAAAAAATGAAGTTAGAAATCGATTGAAATTAGTAATAGAATAATTTGAGAATCATTCGAATGAATTGCTCAGTCAAATAATTAGTAGCTGGATTAGTAAAGTCACGCATCGCTAAGTCAAACGAATATTTCGACTACGCAACCCCCTTTAATAACATGACCCCCCCCCCAGGGTCGCGAACTTCGGTTGAGAAACGATGACTTATTATTGACGATAAAATTAATTTCTGTCAAGGATAGACAGAAATTAATTTTAACAGACCTCTTTAGGTACTTCTACATTCATCAATCTTAGTAGCGAGGTGGAGGAATTGAGATTGAGAGCGGCTGGTTTGTTCCTATTCATTTTCTATAATAAATACCTAATAAGCTACCAGATGCAACGTCAAAAGAAAATCGTCTATAAACTTGAACAGCATTATGTAATATTACACAAAAAACTGTGATGTTGATGGTGGACGGTTCTTTATGGCAGTCTATGGGGGAGGCTTATATCTAGCAGTGGATGGATAATGGCTGAAACGATGATGATGACGTTATTTAAAAATGAAGCACTAACAGTGTTCGTGGTCAGCAGGCGTGGTGGGGGAGGTGGAGCCGGCGCGGTCGGCGTGCGGCGCGCCGGCGGCGGCGAGCGGCGCGGCGCGGGCGGCGGGCGGCGGCGACGCGGCGGCGGGCGGCGACGGGCTGTCCAGCGAGATCACGCCGCCCGCGCCGCCGCCCGCCCCTGGCGACCGGTAGCCGCTCGACGTCACTGCCTCCACTGCGTCACGCGTTACAAAATTATCATTTAACATTTTATTTCAACAAAACAGACCTCTAGACCAGGGCTCATAATCTTATTATATCTACTGCCCACTTTGAGAATACATTATTTTTTTAGCCCTAATTTTTTTACCTACTTAAAAACCACTATTACTTCAAGATCAACAAATCACCCCCCAAGCCTCTACACAACGCTCCCACTTTTTTTTCTGGGTCTCTCACTGCCCCCCTTTAGCGCCCACAAGGCGACATTATCGCCCACTTTGGGAAAGGCTGCTATAGACCTAATAACAAGGAATTACATAGAAGGTATGATAAAATAAAAACTGTAAATCATATGATTGCCTCCTTTCTTCTTATGCAAATATAATTAGTAAAAAGAGGACGAAAGATACACTATCAGTTGCTGTTTTTGTCATATTCATAGCAGGTTAGTGTATAGAAAATGTTATACGGCCGTATAACCCTACCAAATTCAGATACAACCTGCTTGCATTCTACATAAACTGTGTAGAATATATAATGTAGTAATGTAAAATTTGTCACTGACAAATAATTGACATATCAAACATTTTCTATACACTAGCCAGCTATGAATTGACAAAAATAGCAACTAATAACTCTTTCATCCTCTTTTTTTCTAATTATATTAGCATAAGAAGAGACAACCATATGATTTATAGTTTTTATTTTATCAATCCTTCTATGTAATTCCTTGTTCTTAGCTCTAGACAAGTTGCAAGTGAATGCATCGATGAATGAATAAGACATGTGACGTTTCTATCTCATTCCATCTCAAGAACGGATGTAGGTTCCGTTGATGAATTCGCTTGCCACATGTTTATAGGACCAGATATTCCACCAAATTGAACTGACAGAAAATAATACAAAATATTTGCTTCTGTTTGTTCATTCAACTGTCTACTACATTGACACAATATTGAAACAGAACACAGAATAAGTAAGAAATATTAAAAACCCTGCAAAACAAAGTTAAGCATTGAGGGCACGTAAACTATAGAAAGGCTAAAGGACAAATGATTTAACACTTACCACTGGAAGAGTAGTCGTCGGACTTGACGGTGACCTCAGGCGCTGGTGGGGTGCCTTTTGGCAGTGGTATCTTTCTTTTGAGAGGCAGCTCATCCTCCGAGTCAGATGTGAGGTCTACGACGGCCTCAGCTGGCTTAGGCGCCCGGCTTTCGCCTACTGCTGCGCGTTTGCCACCACCGCCGGAACCTTCTATTGGTATCACTTCTACAAATGATTAAGTTTAAATTTAGACCTCGAAAATTGTCTCACTTGAGATTGTAATGCAATATTTTAAAAAAATGCCAACAAACACACCAAAGAACTGGCCCTCATGCTAGGGTACTTGTGTTATGAAAAAACAGGCAATGAATATCTGGGAGCATTCCAAAACATTCAGACTGACCAGAATTCGAACCCAGGACCTCATTAAGGTGACGCGCCTACCACTGTGCTATAGAGGTCGTCCAATTAAATATTAGGTTTTCATTCCTTTTTCTAGAGATCTTCAATACAATACAACAGTGCTAGACAAGGATGTCACGTAATAAAACTATACTGCAGACTGTCTAGCACGGTAAAAAGCTAATATCGTTCTTTGTGGGGAGATGTATACCCAGTAGTGAATGTCGATGTTTATCATATTTTTTTTTAAAATAAAACAAAGGATTGTAAAATGCCGATTGTTAATTAAATGCAGTAAATATAAATGAATAGATTATAGGAGTGTGTCGTGTACCAAGATCGTCCGAGATGAGGGTGACGGGTTCGGTTGTAGGCACTTGTTGCTGCGGCGCCCGCGCAGGCGGCGCATGCGCGGACCAGTTGCCGTCTGCGTGAAGCTGCACCTCGTTGCAGTCGCTGGCTAGCCGCGATGACGTTAGCACCTCTTGGAAATATCTGCCACCCCAAGAGAATGGATAATTATTTATTAAACTCACATAATCATTTCACATAATGTTGTTACTGTATGTTTTAGTGCAATAAAAAATATATATATAATCACATGGTCAATGCAGTAAGCTCATAAAATTCCCATTGTGCATGTTTATAGGCATAGTTAAAAAATTAACATAAGTTTTAAAAATAATAGAACAAGGTTTACTATACTATAAAATTACTTGTTGTAATCAGAAATATAAATACTAGCTTTTACTCGCGACTTCATCTAATTCCTAATGACCGGTATAAAATTTACTAACCGAGATAAATGTAACCCAGGCCATCACGACCATCTGTTGTCCTTGCTAAGTGTCCTGCCCACCTCTATTTTAGTCTACAGGCCAGCTCAGCAGCATCGATAACATGTGTAATTTTCCTTATATCTTTATTTCTTTTTCTATCTTTTTAGGACTGAATCTTGATTCAGTCCTATCATGCTTCTTTCTGCTCTTTAGCACACTTGAATTTTGTTTAGGGAATCTTTGGTCAGTGCTCAACTCTGAAATCCATACATAAATATTGGAAGAATTACTGTGTGCATTGCCTTCTTTTTCAGTGTAACAGGTAACGTTGATTGAAAGATTTCCCTTAAAGACCAATATATACACCAAGCTTTTTAATTCTGCATTGTACTTCTGTGTTGGTCGGAGCTATAAAGGATATGTTCATCCCTAGATATATATATTCTTCCACATAATCAATACTTCGTATCTCAACAATAAGAGGTAATTTTTTACTATTGGTAATAGCAAAGGTCTTCGAGGAGTTCATTTCAAACCACATCTTTGGCTTTCTTTATTTAAGGTGTTGAGCATGTATTCGACATCGTTATTATTTTCAGAAATCAGCACAATATCATCAGCAAAACGCAAATAATTTAAATATTCACCATTGATTCATCCCAGGTTCTCCCAATGTAATTGCTTAAATATATATTCTAGTAATGCAATGAAGAGTTTGGGTGAAATCTCGCTGTCGTACTCCTTTTTTTATGTCAAATGGTTTTCCTTCACGTTCCAATTTTACTATAGCCTTACAATTTTTAAATATTGTCTTCAATATTTCAATATAGCTTTCTTCTACACCTTGTATTAGTAATGCTTTCCACAGTGATTTATGTAAAATCGGGTCGAATGCTTTTGAATAATCAACAAAACCGACGTACAGCTCTTTTCTGTATTCTGTATATTTTTCTATTAGTTGAGTCAATGTAAAGATATGGTCGATTGTGGCAGTTTTCTATTTTTAGTCAATATTAAATCTATTTCATTTTTTGTCTTACAATCAGGCGAGATCCAAGTCCACTGTCTCTTCTCGTTTTTTCTAAAATGTATATTCATAATAGATATGCTGTTCAAAATAAAAATCGACTAGTAATTGTGCCCTTTCGTTTCTTTTTTTATAGTTACAAATACCCGTAACGTTTTTTTCATCCTCTTTTCTAATCCCAATTTTAGTTTATTTATTCAACTTCCAGCAGTAGTATTTCCGAATCAAACCGAATTCCGAACGTATTTCAAGAAAAGAGCATATTCCCTTTTAAAAGGCCGACAGCACACCTGCAATGCCGTTAGTATTGTGGGTGACCATGGGCGGCGGTAGTCACTTACCATCAGGTGAGCCGCATACTCGTTTGCCCCCTGTGTTGTAAAAGAAAACTCTTGGTAAATATGTTCGATATCTTCATCTTTTGATCTCTCAATAGGGACATAACATTATGTTATATTAATTTCTTTATTAAGATTGATGTCTAATCACATAATTCTGTTGGAAATATATATAGTGTCCAGAATATAATTTTTAGATCTTTTTTTATAATAAAACTTACGCCATTCTTACCACTTTTTTGTCCACTATAAGTAAATATATATTTTTCTTTATCAATTATGTGTCTTCCCTCATTCTTAACTTCTGCTAAGCCAATTATATCTCATTTAAATTTATCGAGAATTTGATCAAATTCCAATTGTCTTTCATCAGTGACAAGTGATCGCACATTGTATGTGCATATATTGAAAAAAATATCTCTTTTATTTAAGTTTCTATTTATATCTTCGTTTTTAATTATATATTCTTCTGCTTTTACTTTACTGCGTTGACTTTTATTTATAACTTCATTTAAATACATAATATCACTATCTTCCACGTCGTCGTTTATTTACTTAAGGTTGGAAGGTTTTCATCTACTATTCCCACGGTGACCAACTATATTGGGAAAATGCTGACAATTAAGTAATGAGACTGATTCCATAAAAACCGTATATTTGAAAATTATTCTACAACTCTGCCATCCCCTTCAAAGTAGTCCCCTTGGGCAGCTATACAGCGATTCCAGCGCGTTTTCCATGCTTCGTAACATTTCTGGAACGCTTCGACTGGGATGTCCGCGAGTACCCTCGTCACGGCCGCCTGGATGTCCGTAATCGACTCAAAATGGGTTCCTTTGACCACCGATTTTGTTTTAGGAAACAAAAAAAGTCACAGGGTGACATGTCGGGCGAATAAGGCGGCTGTTGCAACACGGCGATCCCTTTAGAGGCCAAATACTGGGACACGCTGAGGGCGGTGTGGCACGGCGCGTTGTCGTGATGAAGGATCCAGTTACGAGCGATGTCTGGGCGCACCCTGTTGACTCGTTTTCGCAATCTTTCGAGTACTTGGCAATAGTAGACTTGATTCACAGTTTTCCCCGGTGGAACGAATTCTTTGTGGACGATTCCACGGCTATCAAAAAGGCAATAATCATCGTTTTCACCTTCGACTTGCTCATGCGAGCACACACGTTTACTCAACACGACACAGCAGGCGAACTAAACAAGCTAGAGCGATGGCAAATATATCAATGGAGAGAGGAAGGATGCGGGAGAAGGGAAAGGGAATTTCAAGGTCGCAGGGTTACCACAATCGCGGCAATATAATCAGTCTCATTACTTAATTGTCACACCTCGTAGTATTCATGACCTAATAGGTTTTTAGTAGATAGATAGATACCTCTGTCCCATTCGTGTTTCAACCGTGAAGCAGTTGTGTTTGCATGACTGTGTTTCAGTTTGAAGGGTGGGATATGGCGTGAATTTACTGGGTACAGAGGAATAACACCTGAGTTCTCAGGAATGGCAACGCATGGGGGTATCATGGACGAAACAGTATACTCTGTTATGTCCATGGTACTGCTTATGTCTATAGGCGACGGTTACCATTTTACATCTGGTGGGCCGTCAGCTTGTTTGCCATTCTAAGTTGTATAAAAAAAAAATGTATAAATTCATGGATATAAAGTTGCCAGTTTGCGTCTATATCAACTATAGGCAAGTAATAAAAAGATCAAATAGCAAGAGGCTATATACCCGTCAACGACCAGGGAGTCATAAGGCGCCGGGCGGTCGCAGACGGGACACAGCCACGTGGGTTTCCGCTCGTTCATCTGCAGGAAGAGCGAGGCGTCGAAGCACTGTAGGTGAGGACAGTTAGCCGGCCGGCACGGGCACGACATGCGCATCTTGCCCAGCGGACACATCAGCGACACGCGCAACGACGTCGTTGCAATCTCGCTGTCGTAGTCCTCTGATAGCTTTTCTTTGACTGGCAATCAAGTATGAGTACTATAAGATTTTTTAACAGGTTGAAAATGGATCTTCAATAAATACTGTTATTATATATATATTTAAGTTATTTATATTGTCAAGTTATATATTTCAATACGAAAACTCATATTCATTGCATCAGTACTGGTTTTACTTATAAAATTATAACTAAATGATATCTACATATAGACAATACGTCTTTAAAAAAATAGTATGAGAGTTTTAATAAGTGCAGTAAAAGTGAAAGTAATAAATAGTTATTAGAATTTTCATCTGTCTGTACCAGCATCACGCAAACAGTACTGAATCAAAAATACATTTTACAGTTGTGTCTCTAAAGGTCTAACATAAAATTTGGTCTATGTTTTATATTAATACACCATATAAAGTGATCTATTTAATTTTCTCAAAATCAATGGGTGTGATATTGCAGGCAAAGTCTAGTAGCAAAAACAGCTTCAAACACCTACTGAGCGACCGCGTGTAGTCCGGATTCTTGGTGCCCTTGTTCTTGAGCCTGACGAGCAATTCGGCGGACGTCAACTTCCGCACCATGAACACGCTGAGAACGTACGCGCGCGTGAAATCCGCCGCCCATGTCACGTGGATCGTATTCGCCACCGTCGGGGACAGCTTCACCAGCGACGATATATTGACAGGCCGCGGAGGCCGCTTCGGCTCCGGCGTCGGTTTGTTTGTTGGAATTGGATTCTGTGAATAAACACTGCAATGAGAGGGGTTAGAAGATAAGGATTTATTAGTAATGCGGGGTCCCCATTGCTAATAGCAATTTTGGTCGACCTCTACGCGGATATCGTCGTGATTAGTCCCTAGTGAATGTTCGTTTCAATTGTGCAATTGAACTGATTTCATCCTCACGTATAATATCCCACTATTCCGACCTCGGTGTAAGTACCTCGCCAATAGATAGCAAAGGCGAATTTAATATTTATTATATATATATGTAGGGTTATATATATATATATATATATATAACCCTACATTGCGGTGCAATCTGGTAAAAAAAAACACTTGGAATGTAATGGTATTACTTATCGCAATAATTTATAATGGCAACCCGCTACTTGTCACAAATTTTTCTATCTGTCATCCAGTGTAATGAAAATGGATTGTACTCTCTTCTGTCCATCATATGTATGTTTTGTGATCTTCCAATAAATAGTGTTCAAATTGTGGCTTTCTCCTTACTTGTTTTGTATTGAGTTACTTGCTTTGTACTTGTACCTCGTTACGACAATGAGACTGTTATACATTTTTTTATAAGGCATCAGTTTACTCAGTGAAAATTGTGAAGAATGCCTGTATTGTTTTAGAGATTAGTTTATTATTTCATATTAACCAAATTGAAATTAAATGTTTTGTAATACTTTTTAATTAGATATAACTGCAATGATAAAAGTGGTCAGACAATGAAACTCCCATCAAATTTGAGGTATTCATTTGTACCGATGACTAATTGTATAACAGATAACAGCTCCCTTAGACATAGTATAAACGAATCTATCGATAGAATCGTTATCGCTAGCACGACCATGAGGTATAATGAAATAAGAAAATGCATTGTTTTGTTCTTTCTTCTTGATTTATACATTTGTCTAGGGAGGGGGGTCTCTGGGTAGATTCAAACTCTATTATATGTAAAACATTATTACAATAATAATATAAAATTAATTTTAAAATACTCACTGGTAGTGGACACATTTTGTTATTTACTTTAACATTAACACTAGGTGGGAAGTGGTCTTCTTGCTCACACGATGTTTCTAAAAGGCAAAATCTCAGTTGTGCCTGTAAAAGAATTTTAATCCATAGGAAATGCTGTTTGTTTGCTGGAATAAGCATTATTTCTATAATTACTTTTAAGCAAAATTATGAAACTGTCCAAATGGAGTTTCTTATAAAATATTGTATGTTTTACAATATCTCGTATAAGCTTTGTAGACTGCGGTTTAGCCAGTGTTAATAAAAAGTATTCCATAATGGTCCATATGTGCACCAAATTTTATTCAAATTTATTCATCTGTTAGCAATGTGATTGAGTAACATACATCTTTACATACCATTATCATTTATAATACTAGTTCCTATGATTTTGCTTGCCTAAACTAGGGCAAAAATATGTATCCACGTATGATCACCAATTCAGCTTGTATCTTATCCACTGCTGGATACAAGCCCCCAACATTTGCGATTATCCGATTTTCGCAATGGGAGCCATATATTATTGGTCTTTTTCGTTGAAGAGTTTATTTCCATAAATCACCATGTTGGGCAATCTAGTTAGAGGCTGGATTTTTGAAAGGGATTTTAAAAAAATTTAGGGGAAGCTATGTATCATATTTCAGTTAAATCTATAAAATCTTACTAAGTTATAAACATAAATGTCTTTACAAATTTTCATATTTATAATATTGATTAAAATCCTATAAATTAGGAATTCTCTCAAATTTTTTTTTTTATTTTTATGATCCTAAGACATCCATAATATGATATTTTTTGTAATCGATTGTTTAAACCATCTTAATAAACATATGATTTATGATAAAACACACTGGTTTTTACCTGTATTACATAATCTAATTTATTGCTAGTTCCAACTATATCTTTTCCCGATGCGATCTCTGTGGCTTGCTGTGGCGTCAAATGGAATATGTACGTGCCCTCCTGCATGCGGCCCGCTTGCATGGGCATCATGGTGGAGGGTTTCATCAGTTCCGCCAACACATCGTAGAATGGAAGCCTGATGGTCACATTATATTTTTATAAAAATTGCAATAAGGTGACCGAATGAATTAATATGAGGTTGGTATGTTTCAACTGATTGTTGTATTAGCTGTTAACTGCCCACTGCTGAACATAGCCTCTCCCATAAGGGGTTTTTTTTAATGGATGATAATGAAATAGTAACCCTGCCTGCGCTATCGGTATACACTGGCGGGGCACCAGTGATGATTGGTGAGGATGAAAAGACAGGTCAGATTAGCCCATCGTGACTAAACGGTAAATTAGTCACGATAGTTTCCAGGGGGAACCGCGTAGAGGTTGGCCCGTTAAGATATATTGATAGCAACAGGGACTAATCTCCACATTATTAACAATCCCTTCCCCCCATAAGGGGGTTTTGCCAGTAGTTTCCACGCTTCCCAGGTAAATTGGCAACAGCAGTTTCGCTTTTGATATTTTAAAAGAGACGCTGCTGTCTTTCCCCTCCACTATAAAGCTCCCTTAGTCGCTCTTACCACACCCACAGATAAGGAAGGGGTGACCTATTCTATGCCGGGGCCTACAATTAATTGCTTGGACTTAACTTTCAAATTATTAATAACTGGCAATTAATATGCAATAAACATGAACTTATATACTAAAAAAAAAAACAGAAAATATGTAAGAACAAATTCACCCAGTACGCGCAGTACTAAATTGACAATTTTTACTAAGTACCTTCATTGTCATAGACAGATATGTATATCTTTAGATGGATAGAAGTTGTTAATTATTCATATTATCACTTTAAATCGAAACAACCATTTTAGCAACGCTACTTGGTGGCAGAAACAATACTGCGGTACTAGTATACTAATTCTATAGTATAGTATTCTCTTATGATACATTTAGTTATTATTGTCTATGGATGTGTAAATCATACATTAGTTTGAATTTTTGCAAGAACTGCAATGTTTTTTTGGAAGAAATATTCAATTTTACTGATAGTAATGTTTTCGATTTCGCTCCATAACTAATTAACCCTTCTTTGCATGATTTTTTTTATTGCTAACATCAAAGTCATATAAATCATGTTAAAAATTAAAGGAAAAATGGTTAAAACAATAAATTTGACAGCTATGTTTTTTTTCTGCAATGGATGTTAAAAAATTATCCAGACACAATCAACTTAAAGTGAACTTGGTCTTTTATATAAGGTTAATTCAATTGCATTCAATGTCATGATGGAAATTTCCACCAGTATGCAAAGAAGGGATAATACAGTAATATATTGTATTTACGCGATAGGTAGGACTGAACGATAACCGCAGAAGTCAAATTCATGTAAGTCGGGAAAAAATACTTATGCATTTCTGTGAACTTCTAGCTATGCATAAATTTTTTGGAACACATTTAAATATGCACATTTACTTAACAATAGTGTGAGGGAGAGTGTTTAGAGTTGTTTGAAGACTTTGTATAAAAGTTGTACATGGCTGTTTCGGTTTGAAGGGTGGAATATCGCAGTGAATTTACAGGGTACAGAAAAATAACACCCAAATCCTCAGGAATGGTAACACATGGTAGGTATAATGGGCAAAACAGTATAACAGAGTATACTCAATATGTCAATGGTACTGCTAATGTTTATAGGCGACAGTTACCACTTTTCATTAGGTGGGCCGTCAGTTTATTTGCCATTCTAAGTTGCATAAAAAAAAAGTGTCGCATTCAAACAAATCGACGAAATTTGATAGTCGCGTAAATGCGTGGTAGCGTAAGTCGACGTATTACAGTAAAATGCATGTGCGATACTTACTTTTTAAATTTAACATCTGGATGTACAGGGAAGGGCGTCAACGGCGCGGTGGGCGAGGGCGAGGGCATCGGAGCCAGCGTGGCGCCGCTCGCGCCGTGCCCGTACCCGTGGTACATGCTGCCCGCGTACAGGGGGTTCTGCCGCGCCTGCCATAGTACTTCTGCTTCATTTGGCCCAACACATTCTATTGTTTTTTCTAATGGTATTAAAGATTTAGATTTTTTTTTTTTTACTGAATGATAATGTAATGATTGATTTTTATTACATTACTAATAATATACGCTGGCGGGGCACCAATGAGAGATAATAGGTGATAATGAAAATGGGGGTCAATTAGTCCATCATTATGAATACACGTGGAATTTAACAGGATGGTTAACAGGAGGGACCACAGGGAGGTATTACATTAGTGTAGTTTTAATAATGATATATAGGGGGAAAGGGATTGTTAGCAATGGAGTTTGACAGCCCCATTGCTAGCAATATACCCCTACTAGGTCGACCTCCACGCGGTTCCCCCTGGTACCATCGTGAACAATTCTTGTTGAATTCGTCACGATGGGCTAACTGACCTGCTTTTATCGTCACCTATCATCCTTCACTGGTGCCCCGCCGGTGTATACCGATAGCGCGGGTGGGGTTACCATTCCGTTATCACCCATAAAAAAAAATTATATATACATATATTAGGTTATAAGTTTTAGAGGATAATATGATGACTTCTTTTATCTTCAACTTTGTCAGCTATCGTTTGTTTCTGTAGGGTAACAATGACAGTAAAGACAGTTCTTAGGAGTTGTAAGAGATGAGGTATCATAGGTGATATATTTTATGATGTATAAGCTTGTATGAATAAGAATACTAGTCTACAAGTGACTTTTCATAAAATGTCCCCATCTATTTTTTCCATTCTATATCCTGCGGAATAGGTTAAAACTCTATAATGAATAGAATTGGGGTATTTAATAAATAGCAACTTACAGTAACAGGCATAGCTTGTGCGCGGGAGTCCTGTGGGTTGTACCCAGTGACGGCGGGGTGCTGATACAGCGTACGGGAACTGGGCAGCGCAGGCGCCAGCGGATCCTTGCCTTGGGAGCCCGTACCATGCGCCCCGCCACTCGACGACAGCGGCTGGTTGTTCCTGTTGAGATAACCCTCAACTCTTAATACTTGAATCAACTCATTTATATCAAATAAACATGATCATGCAACATAGAATCTTACCAAATGTCCGCATCCATTTACTAATCATAGCCAGTGACTTTATATAATATTGAAGTGCTTCAGAATTCCAGATGGTAACATATTTAAACACAAAAACCTATATCTTACAAGCTAAGTTCCACCACCAGAAAACCATAGGCTCTCATGCATAAACTTTATTGTTTGACGTTCTTCCACAATTGTGCCAACATAATGCAGCTTAAGTTAACATTTGGTTGACAGAAACCATGCTAGCAGCTAGAAACGAGGCAAACGCGAGCGAGATGTACAGACACTTGCCTAGAATTGGTACTTTTTTGCGAGCGGTGTCCGTTCTCAGATGTTTTGAGCCGGGATCTAAGTTCAGAGGAGGTCCCATTTTCGGCGGGCACGCTTTGGGTCGCGTTTCCTACCCTCGCTGAAGACCGTGTTTTAACCATTGTTGACGGGCGACCGTCTCATGTCAACTGAAATTCATGTGTCCGAAAACGGACAGAAGCTATCTTAAAACAACAGAACTGTAAACATGAGTTTTCTGGAAAATTTCTTCAATGTTGAATAGCAGCACTCCTTATTTCTCTTACAGCACATACTTGGAAAGTTGGAAGTGAAAGGGGCTCAATTTCAAAACATCTGCAAGTGAATAATTACCCATTTTAGTCATCAATGGTTAAAACATGTCTTACAGCCATATTATTTGAATATGTAAACAAACCACAAATAACCTGAACCGATGATAATTACTCAGAATAATGTTGGTGGTCCCTTTGCTTAAGTTAAATTATTCCACTGCAGCTGTGAAGGAGCTTAGCTAGGGAGAGAAAGTACATTAACAGCTTTCAACAACTGACATAACCAGTTTGGGAGACAGGAGCTATTGCTAATTTTGTAAGAGAAATAAGATGTCCTGTCTATGAAATTTTCCAGAAAACTGACAATTGCAGTAACAAATTGCTCTAACAAGGCCTGTTGAGAGAAACTTGTTTTTACAACAAAATATTTTAGATATTAGGACCACCACAAAAATTCAATGGAAATTATAATAAGTTATAAGAACTTACTCGCAAAATTGATTTAATTTTTGTGGTGAATATGGTAAAAAAATATATTAATATTTTGTGATTTGGGACAAGAGTTAATTATCTTTTGGATAGGGTTAGAAAATTTTAACTACCAAGTATATACCTATATAAGCTGTGAAATTAAAATAAATTAATATATATTTATATATAGATACACTAATAAAATAGAGCTCAATAATTGCCTGCAATAGCAACAAGGAATAAAGTAAATCAAATTATATGATAAATAAAAAATAAAAAAAAGTAAATAGATTAATAGTTTATTAACAAAAGATTGTTTTTACAATAGAACACTTCTTATTAGATCAGTTTCTTATAATCTGCAGTTTTTCCTATTTCCCATAAGGAAAACTGTAGGCATGCAAAATACTTTTGTTACATATTAGTAGGATAATATATAGGACATTTTCTATATGCCATCCTACAAGTTGTTTTGGTCTAGGTCAGTAGAAACTTAAATCTATTCTGCAATTTAGCCATTGTTTTCTATAAGTAATCTTTACAATTCCTAAAGCTAGTGTTATGAATAAAAAATTTTGTTTACTAAAATAGTAGAACTATATTTGAACATAGACCTTAATCTTGATATCTATACAGGCGCCACCAGAGGGCATAACCATAAGCAGGACAATTGGATTCCTCAGAATTATTCAGCCCATTATTAAAAATTTACCTGTGGTTTGTTTATTGAACAAAAATTAAAGTTTTTATAAATAAAATACAGTTCTGAATTTTCTATATGTGAAATAAGTACATACAGCCTTTTTGGCGTAATGGTTCCCATTATAAAAAATCAATATAATATGGTAGTAAATTTACAATTTTTTAATTGTATTCTAATATTATTGTTTTCTGAAGTATTTTCATAAAGTATTAAATATAGAATTGTAAATGAAAGTAAAATATTAATGGACGTGTATTTTCAAAACCACGTTCAACCGCTCACGAATGTAATGCAATTTATACAGTAAATCGGGTAAAATATTACGATTAAAAAAGTATACGATTCATACTACATTAAATAAATTTAATATTTTTATATAAGCAATAAATAAAAACGAATGCTTATTTAAATTAAATTAATTGTGGGAAAACGTACACAAAATAAAGACAATATGGATGTCAGTGTGCCAATATTAATTTCACTCACCATGATATCGCGTTACCGTAATCGTAATATCTACTCATATTAGCAGAAGTTATACAAATTACACAATCATTTAATTTTAATAAAATTAACTATTTACGAAAATCTCTCATAAAACGCCATGTCTTGACGCTCATTCATAACTTTAAGCGCCACATTGACCATAGACTGCATTATATTTTTTTAAAACATGTACATTAGTTTTGCTATAGGCATAACAGTTTTGATAAGAAGTTAACATTGTTTAGTTTGCTAAAACTTAATTGTAAATAATATTAAAGTAGCTTTAATATATTAAGGATCATAATAAAACAGAGCAGTAGTGCATTTTGAGAAAATACAATTAAAATTAAACTGAAGGTGATAAATAAAATATATTTATATATATTTAAGGCACTTATACATGAGACAACCATTGACAATAAAGAAGACTGTGACAATTTCCGTTTCCTAATTGTGTGTGCTGTACCATTCTATTATGTTCGGATATTATATGTATAAATAAAGTTATGTTAATTTCTAGACTTTCACGTTGCTTTCAGCCGGTGTAACTTAGTAGAAACATCGAAATTACCTGGTTATCTAATTATTATAGTGTACTTAAAATATCGCGTGAATTCCCATCTCTTATAATCAACAAACAAAAGAAGCGGAAAAGGGAAAGAATGATGCGGATTACTAGTTCCATTGCTAGTAATATACCCTATCAGGTCGACCTCCACGTATTTCCCCCTGGAAACTATGGTACTGAATTTCTGGTGTGATCACGATGGGCTAACCGTTCTACTTTTTCATTTCACCTTTCATCTCTCATTGTTGTCCCGCCAGTATATTTCGATAGTGCAGGCAGGGTTACCATTTCATTGTCGTACATTAAAAAAAACACACACACACAAATAAAATATTATTCATACCATGAAAAAGGCAACTTACAGTGAATTCACAATATTTTCTTTTTAAGTTTTTCTTTTTAAAGTAGTGTTGGTGTAAATTTGTATTATAATTAATACTATATTACTATTATTATTAGCGAATTGTACTTTGCTTCTCCATCGCATTTATTTCTTTGTGGATACGAAAAATAAAAGCGACGGACTCTTATTATTTGAAAGCTATCTTGATTAATAATTTCAGTAAATATTAGTTTTTTAATATATTCCCATGTTTATTGTCCAAATATTACATATACCTATGCAAATACCTAACATATATCGTATATAAATAGTGTAAGAGTTTTAATGAAAAGTAACTATAATATATGAGTAAATTTTTTTAAACCACGTCTTAGCAAAGACACTTTCATAATTGCAACCGTCCAAATTGCAGTCATCAAAATGTCATTACTAAATAATTGTATTAAATACTTTCCGAGAATTCAAAGCATAAGTTTTTTTATATTATTATTTTGTTTATTTCCATATATAACGGTTACTACTTTTCACTAAGTCGTCAGCTTGTCATTTTAAGTTACATAAAAAATAAGTATCTATTATAAGTAAATATTAGAACATATATAAATATAAAAATAAATAAACTTAACAAACCATTGACAAATTATTTTAAATAAAATTATTAACTTCAATGTCGTTTCGCATGTTGCGAAGCAGAGACGTGTATAATATCCGAGCATATTACGTTCTGAACTTAAAATCTAATTCATGGTTGTGTGATATAATATAATTCTTCAAAAGATTTTTTCTGAAAATGTTGTTGATTAAAATATTTGTAAGTATACTATTGTTTATATAAATATGTTAGGTAAATGAATAAAAACTTCTGAAGTAAGATATTATGAAACTATTCTAAAAGTAATAATATCCGGAACAATAAGTCTAATGTTCTGAACGTAACTTAAGTAGAAGCTTTTCGGAAACGGAAATTAATTGTTATTAGTTTGTTGATCTGGTTTCCTAATGTTTTTGGTTGTATTACTTCCGTATTACATTTCGATATCGATAAAGTATTTTTAAAGTAATTAATTAAAATTAAATAGTTATTTATTATATATTTTTTTCAATTTTCAGCTATTATCGAGCGAGATTTATTTGTGTAATAAAATATTAATTAATTATAATTAATATATTATAGCTAAATACTACAGATAATCCTTACTATATTATTTACTCTTAACGGCTTAACTAATCACTATGAAATTTGATATATTGGTACTATATAGGACGGAAATGGAGATAGGCTAGATTTTTTATCTTAATCAATGAATATACCCCGGTTATGCGAACGAAGTCGCAGGTAAAACCTATTATTATTATATATATAATAAATATAGTTAGTCAGAGCATGTAATTTTATTTGTTAATTTCTATTTTCTTTATCAGTGATTGTAAATCTTTTGAGAAAATAAATATTTAAAAATGTAAATATAATCTGTATCGGTTATTTATTAGAATTATAATTAATTTGTTTTACAGCAGTGGAATTGTACTAGTATTTATTTATTATTTAAAATTTAATGCATAGTCTGTAATTATTGCAGAATTTGTATCATGTCCATTATTATATTTTTTTTTAATGTATGATAATAAAATGGTAACCCCGCCTGCGCTAACGGTATACGCTGGCGGTGTACCAGTGAGGGATGATAAGTGAGAATGAAGAGGCAGGCCAGTTAGCCCACCGTGATGAATACACCTGGCGTTCAGCATGATAGTTTCCAAAGGGTACCACGGGAAGGTCGGCCTGACAGGCCTGCTAGCAATGGGACTGGTAGTTCCCATTACTAACAGTCCCTTCCCCCTCATCATTAAATTGTGTGCACATCGTATAAACCATAAAGGTGCGTCCACTGTTGAACATAGATTTTCGTCATATTTCACTTTTGTATTTACGCGGTTGGGGACGAGTAGGCCATGCCCACCTTAAAATTTTCTGGTGCCCACCACAAGATATGCGCATAACTTTAAGAAGATATCTTTGAAAGTACATATACAGTTTTTATAAGGGACCAATGATTGCCATAATGTGATCTAGCGCTATTTACATTCAGCGACTCCCTACAACATTATTGGGATCATATTGTTACAATGCACCTTCATAACTTCTAAAGAGAATTTTCTGGTCGATAAAAAATACAAAATTCTAGAAAAGAGCATTGACTATATATATATATATATATATATATATATATATATATATATATATATATATATATATATATATATATATATATATATATATATATATATATATATATATATATGTTTTAATACATCTAGGAAACAAAGGTCATTGAGTAGAAACATTGCAAAATTTCTAGTACCTACTATGATTCATCGGGAACCGTTAAGAACTTTTTGGATCCTGCCTCGTCAATTAACCCACTGTGACGGATTCAACAAAAATTAATCACGATGATTTTCAGGAGAGACCACGTGGAGGTCGGTCTGGCAGGGTATATTGCAATGGGGATTAACATACTCATTACTAATAACCCCCCCCCCCCCCCCCCCGTCCTTTCAGGTGAAAATCGCGATACAACGGCCTGAGCTGAGGTTCGAACCACTCTGCGATACTCTCAGACTAAAATAACATATCCGGTGAGAGGTTGCCGTGATGTCAGGAATTGAGTTCGCAATTTAAAAAGTCCTTGCTTTGGTAAGAAGCGGTAATCTGACAGATAAATTTCATGTAAAGTTTCCTCAACTTTACATAGAATTTTTTTTTTTGATGGGTGAAAATGGTATGGTAACCCCGCCTGCGCTAACGGGATACGCTAGCGGAGCACTAGTGAAAGGTAATAGATGAGAATGAAAACAGGCCAGTTAGCCCATCATGAATTAATTCATCAGGAATTAACCATGATAGTTTCCAGGGGGAGCCGCGAGGAGGTCGACCTGGGTATATTGCTAGATATTCTCAACTTGCAATGGGATTCTCAATCTCCATTACTAACAATCCCTTTCCCCCCGACAACCGCAGTTAGACTTTGATGATATTTTAAAAGAGAAGGTACTGCCCATACCTCGACCGTTAAGTGCCCTTAGTCGCCTTTTATGACACTTACGGGAAGGGAACCGTCAATTGCTCGAGAATAATGTAAATAAAACAATAAAGTGTATTTATTCACTATTAAAATTTATAATATCAAATTACTTAAACTCTAGACATCGTTTGGAGAATCCAAAGACAAAATTCTAATATAGATGAGATAGCCGCAATGCGCTATACCAAAGAAGCAGATGAAAATACCAATAATGATTATAATCAAATTTTTAACCAAATGAATGTTAAATTTCCCGTAATCACCCGGATACATTAGGCACAGTTCCATCGTAGCTGGGAACACCAAGGCCAAAAGTGTGGTGCAGAGACTACCGACGAAGGCTACAAAAGGCCCTTGAAACGGGATTAAGTAGCCTATTAAAACTGAAATCAAATAATAAAGTAAAAGTTTATATTTATATATATATATATATATACATAAATATACATATATGTACATAAATATGTATATATAGGGTTTGATACAAAGCATTTTGTCGTCATGTTATACAGTAGAATAAATATTGTTTGTTAAAAATTATAATATCAGAGGCATTTTGTGTTGATTTCTAATTATGAAGAAAGTGTTTTATATAAATTCAATGCAGTTATTTTTCAGAAAAATTTACTAGGATATGATATATAATATCTACTGAAGATTGCTTTTCAGAAACCACATCATTATCATCATCATATCAGCCTTTAACTGTTTACTGCTGAACATAAGCCTCCCCTTTAGGGGGGTTAGCCAGTAATTACCACGCTTAGCAGGCGGATTGGCAACAGCAGTTAGGGTTTACAGATGATTTAAGAGGGACGCTGCTGCCCATCACTCATCTTCCCTTAATCGCCTTTTACAACACCCTCGGGAAAGAAAGCAACTACAATTTTGTGATAATTTCAGTTTTAAAGTAATTTTGAGATTAGGTGATTTTTTTTTTTATACAACTTAGAATGGCAAACAAGCCGACGGCCCACCTAATGGAAAGTGGTAACCGTCGCCTATATACATGAGCAGTATCATGGGCATACCAGAGTATACTGTTTCGACCATGATACCCCCCATGCGTTGCCATTCCTGAGGACTCAGGTGTTATTCCTCTGTACCCAGTAAATTCACGCCATATCCCACCCTTCAAACCGAGCACACAGCCATGCAAACACAACTGCTTCACGGTTGAAACACGAATGGAACAGAGGTACTCAAGCAATCGACTTTTGTACAAAATTCTCCCTCTCTTTAAGTGGTTTTGCTTACAAGAAGTGCACACAAAGACGGGCCGAGCGATGGACTCCAATATTTTCAATGCGTTATCAGACGGTGGTTCGTTTAAGTGGTGATTCTTAACCACCTCCAATATTATTTGTATTCCTGGGTAGCATTGTATCGGGTATGCCAATGCCACTGCGATCATGTATAGACCTATAGCTGTCATTGCTATACTGTAAAATGGAAATTTTATTACAAAATCCAACTGGCAGTAACCAGCGGCTTTACTGTTAATACAGAAATATTGTTTATGTCTGTATGTAACAAACATTCAATATCACACCTCAGAACAAGAATGGTCACGCACAGTGCGCTTTCAGAAGAGCATCCTCCTACGAACTCTCGGGTTGTGGAATAACTTTCCTGTCGAGGCCTTCTCTAGAGACTACAGCATGGAGTTCTTTGAAAAGGGCATACTAAGGTTTCGTAAAAGTTGGCAACGCGCGCTTGACATGCCTGGTGGAACAAGCGTCCAGAGGCTATGGTAACCTCGTTTATTATTAGACGGAATGTTTGCTACCAAAGTAGTATAATAAAAAATGTTCTTTGGACTTTTAATAGTACTCTCTCCTAATATTATTGGGTTAGTTAGACATTTCAGAACTTATACAAACTCGTATATTGGGGTCAATTCTAAGATGCCATTTCTTTGAACCTCTTTTTTAATTTAATCGTTATGAAAATACTATTTTATAACCTGTCATAAACCAGATTTATAATAGTTTTAATGTAATAACAACCGGTTTTAACATACGTGTAATTAGATCAAGAAAGTTCGACTAGTTTCAGGATCAATTCCAGACCCTTAATCATAAGCGGCTATAATAATAATTTTTGTTATTTAAATTTATTAGAAAATTTAAATATTTTTCTTTATAATAAATATTTTGTTGTGACAGACATCAAATTGAAATTTTTATTTCAGAGAAATGACCCCTCATATTCGACCTCATTGTTAAAAGGAAGAACAGAATTTTTATACTACTGGGAATACAGGAATAGCAAACAATTTGAGAAAACAGAGGGAAAGTGATACATGGTTTTACTTGTAATACTGATGATTGGTAAAACAAGGAAATAATGATAAACACCCACTAATTATCAAAAGGCAACGAGCGCAGAATATTCTCCTCCATTGTACCAAATGACCAATAGCCAAGTGTCCCAAAAATAGTAGAAACGAGAGTTGGTACGAGGATCCCAATTATGATTACACCGCACCGTGATGTCATTATTGTTGGATCTTTAAGCGCCTTGTCCAGTGATAATACCTAAAATTTGTAATAAGTTTAATAAACATACCTGATTGTATGCAGTTGCCATAGCTTTTATACCTGTAGCTCATATAAATACAGTCGCTAACTGTCCACTGTTGGTCATAGGCCTTATGGGAATAAGGGGGAGGGGGTAGTAGTAGGTGCCACGCTTGTCAGGCGGGTTGGCAGCCGCAGTTAGGCTCTGGTGATGTTTTAAGAAGGACGATGCTGCCCATCCCTTATCTTCTCTTAATCGTCTTTTACGACACCCAAGGGAACAGAATGTGTGGTCCATTCAATGCCGGGACCAAACGGCTGTAGCATATACACGCGGAAAATTAATCTATCGATAGAAACGTTTTCGTCACCACACACGTAAAAAAAAGAAGGCTGTTGTCTCAATTCATCTCGTGAAGGTCTAAGTAGGCAGTTATGGCGACAATAATGCGTTTTTATAATTTTTTATCACCGTACCTAGTACTTTCAATGTCCACATTTTTCGAGCAAGTTGTATAAAAGGGACGCAAAAGTATAACAGATACAAACAGTTGTGTACGAAATCTTTCATTGAAAATGTTGTTATCGCATTGAGATTTTGTCCGAGTATAGTATGTGTTAAATATGCCATCAACATTGATGGATTTTAAATTTGTAATATTTTTATAATACGTTTCTAGTCCTTTCATACATTACATACATTAAGACAGGTATTACAGAAAACTTCGAAGAAAATCAAGCTTACTACTCCAACCGCGCTCATATTAAAAAGGAAAGTGCCTAAAGCAAATAAAAATGGTAGTGTTTCAGTGGTGGCCACTATAGTTTCTCCATGAGGGTCTTCAAATATGAGGTAAAATATCAGCACTAGTCCCACGAAGTTCATCAAATTACCTGAAAAAATTGTAGCTTTTTTAACAGCATGTATATAAAACTAATGATGCGTGCCATTTTAGCAAATCCCTACCACTTAGGGTTTTCTGGAAGAGTAGTCTAACAGAGTTAAACTCACCTATTGTTCAACATTATACAAAATAAATTATAACTCTTACTTTATAATAAAGATAAATAAATAACACATCTAAATTATTTTTCTTTTTGTAAATTTAATATAACCCACATTTTATAAGTGAAAAATTTTTTAAATACGGTTATGATTTTGAGTTTATCCATTACAAACAAACAATCAAATCTTTTCTCTTCATAATATTAGTATAGATAAGCAAAGAAACAATGGACATGTAAATTTTAATTGGCATGTAATAAAATATGTTTTATATAAAAAATATATATTAAAGAATATCCATAGTTTATTTATATTATATATAAAATTCTCGTGTCACGGTGTTTGTTACTAAACTCCTCCGAAGCGGTTTAACCGATTTTTATAAAATTTTGTGTGCATATTGGGTAGGTCTGAGAATCGGCCAACATCTATTTTTCATACCCTCAATGATAAGGGTGACCCTCCCTAATATTTTTTTTTAATGGACGAAAAAGATATTCTCCAAATAATGTATATGGCAAAACAACGTTTGCTGGGTCAGCTAGTTTATTTATATACTTTTGTACATTTGTTTATAGTATAGATTAGATTATATCAAAAATAAACACAAGTGGATTTATCCCTTAAAGGGATTTCTTTCATTTTGTAGATGTTTACAATTTGATTTAATAGTAATAAAAGATAAATTATGTAAACGTGTTAAATCAAATTCAAACTCAATATTAAATCAAATTCAATGCCATCGAGCAAGATCTCAGGTTTAACGCTTAGTTTATTTGCTCCGCTTCAGAAGTTCCACTGTAATCAAAATATTCTTACCAACTAAAGACACGTAGCTGACAATTTTTAATGTTTTCATGAAGTATTCTAGTAAAAGATATGGCAGCAGTAGTGCTAACAAAGCTGGCCTTGAACTTTCCCAGTCCATGATCTAAATGAAAATATGAAGAATTTGAGTTTTCAGAAAAATATATTTTTCCTTAGGTATATTTTTATTGAATGTTCAAAGCTTTTTATAATACTCGTTACAAGCGCCAATCATTCAAGATCAAACAAATAAACATTAAAAAAAAATAAGTGTTATATACTGTGTGTTATGGTAACCAGACAATGACTTCCTTACCACTCAGAATACTCATGCACGAGGCATATAAAAAAGTGCATTTACTAAATTGGCTCAACCGAGAAACAAATCGGTGACCTTTTTTTAATCTACATTTATTTTGGAATTTTTCGTTTTTAACATGTCAATTTCATAATATTTTATAATTACCTACTAGAGCTATAACTAAACATTCTACTTCCTAATTCACTTAAAGTAAACACAAGGTAACTTCGACAGTAGGAACATGCATTATTCTCTGAACAATATCCATATCAAATTTATTCATGTTAATTTTTTTTTAAATGTTTTGCCTACACTTTGATTCACATTCTATCAATAGGTGTTGCACATCTTTAGGAATCGGTGATTTCATTTAGGTAAAGCAAGATGACAACGCAGGGGGAAAAAGGGGATTGTTACTAACAACCTCCCTGCTAACAATATTGTCCATCAGATCGATCTCCATGCGGTTTCCTCTGGAAACCATCATGATGAATTCTTGTTGAATTCGTCACACTGGGCTAACTGACCTGTTTTCATCCTCACCTGTTTTCATGTGATAGATCACAGATAAAAAAAATATAAACAAATTTTATCGATAGGTATAATTACTGTTAGTGTACTAACATCACGTAAACTGTCCGTAGTAAATATCACAAATACGGTACATATTCCAATTTGACTCATCATCATCATCGTTGCTATGATAGTTCTGCGAATAAAAATAAATGTAACTTATATGTATGTGTATATTTGTGTATTGGTACATATGTATATATTTATTATTGAATGTATATATCTGTTACGTATGTGTAAAAATATTATTGTGACTTCAACGATTGCCTACCTATTTGATTTGTTTATCTTTTTTGATTTTCCTTCAACAATTGTCAACTACATAACCTACGAAATTAATTTAGAAAAACCTGTTATTGGCCATACTACTTTGTTATAAAATGTATGTTAATTTTATTTGTAAACCGCTGTTGGTTTTTTAAAATAAATAAATAAGTAATGCCTGCAACATTATTCGTTAAAACTTTGCTGACCGATGACGAGTAAACACGCCATTACACTAGCGTGTGGGTACGTCCTCCTACCACGACTGACAAAACCATTCGAGTTACAAAGCGTTCATGGCCAAAAAATTATTTCTCTTTGTATTTAGGTTTTACCACATTTTTAGTTTAAATCCAAAGATTTCAACTATGACGGAATTCCCGGTCAACAAACTGCTAATCTAAATTTGCTCGCGGTCATACAAAATCAATAAAGTATAAGTTAAATCACAGTGTTTTGTCTTAATAGATTACAATTGAACTTTCGCAACCAGTAATGTACTCGTACTTGTATATAACATTCAATATTACTTCATTTTTGTATGTGAAGCAAATACAGCTTTACAAAATGTCGCTGTATTTCTATAGATGCAACATGGCAAAACACGTCAAAAAATTAAGTTGCAGTGTTATGCCGTAACGATTAAAATCATACGATGTCTTGCCACGTTAGCGCTAATTCTGTGTTATACTATTATTCGTTAATGGGAATGAGATAGATATTACCTGGAAATAGCTGGATTTTAAATAATTTATCTAATGAATCAAATGATCCAGCTCAAGCTATGACTGACTAGAATAAGAAAAGTTTTCCTCAATCATTTATTATTTATTTGCAATAAAGATATAAAAAAGGATGGCTAGATTACTAGAAACACACATAATCAAATATAAGCGCTTTATTTACTGTTCATAAAGTAACTTATTAAACAAGAATTGTACAAATTGATGTTTTCAAAGGTATAGTGTAATTATTTATTTTAAAATATATTGACAAGCTATAAAAATAAATGTGCGAGATTATTTTATTGTTTTTTTTTTTTATACTACTGAGGTGGCAAACAAGCATACGACCCACCTGATGGTTAGCGGTTACCGTAGCCTATGAATCCCTGCCTATGAGCCTATGACCCTGAAGAAACCTCCTTACTACCCTTTTGAAGAGCCTCATGCTGTAGTCTTTTGAGAAAACCTCGGCAGGGAGCTCATTCCATAACCTGAGTGTTCGTAGAAGAAAACATCTCTGAAACCGCGTTGTACGCGACCATTTAGGCTGTAGGGTATGAGGGTGAACTTCCTGTCGATGGCGAGCCGTACGATGATAGAAAGTGGCCGCAGGCATCATATTGAATAATCCCTCAGAGCACAATCCGTTTAATGTTTGTTTAAAGTTTTCTTTTTTTCAATGTTTTTTTAGGTATTATTTTATTGTTTTTTGTTAATTAATATTAATGTCTGTGATTAAACTGTTCAGGTACCTTTCAAAATAAATAAATAAAAGTACTTACGGGCCCCTTTCACCTATATAACGACAAATAGGTGGGCCATGAAGCAGCGCGATACGGAAACCATACCGGTACGAAATATAAGGAATTCTTAGTTGGCGGCTGATTTCATTTAGACACCATAACTGAAAGATAAAATTAAATTTTGTTCAGAAAAAAGTAGCAAATTTAATCGTTAAACAATGAAAAGGGAAGTAAATCTGAAAATCTAAATGGAGAAGGAAGGAAGAAAAAAAATAAAAAAAAATATCAAACAAAAATCGGTGTTGAATTGGCGAAGATATCACACACATCACACAACACAAATTAAAAAAATTTCAATTTTTCGAGTTTTGTCGACCTATTGCATATTCGGTTTTAATTACCTTTACAAATAACAAAAACGGGTAAATTTTTTATCAGCTAATTGTCAAATTAGCTGACAAAAAGTTGACCCGTTTTTGAGTCTCGATACTCTATCTACATAACACAAAAATTAAACACAGATTAATCATGAGAGCATTTTTAATCCTTTTACAGAAAATAGTATCTTTTTTGGAATGTAATAAAATAGATATTATATAGCTACTTACTTAAGTTTTCAAAATTGGAACTAAATTGAATTTGTATGATCCATTACTATTTACAATTAATGAAATTTTTAATTCTAACCAACGTCAAATGAGTGTGGATCATGAGAGCACCAGTAGCCAATGTTAGCAGCGGCCCAAGGATGATTCCCGATTGGCTGATAGCCAGTGGCAAGCCCAGGACACCTGCACCGAACCCGGTACGTAGAAGGTTGAAGTACGCCATCCATGGACTGAAAATCTAATCTTTTGCTGTAACTGTTAATCAGTAGCTAGTATTAAGAATGAGCTGCCCTCATACGAGTACATACATACAAATGGAAACTTATGAATATTTCAATGTATAAACATTTTTGTTCATACATATTTGTGGGAATCGAACCCTGGTCCTCAGGCTAGGATATTCTGTATTATGAGGAATCAAGTAATGAATATCTAGAGGCACAATTTAGAACACTTAGATTAACAGTAGAGCCTTGGACCTCATGAATGCAAAGCGAGTCGCCCCCCACTGAGCTATGGAGGTCGTCAAATATATTAAATATCCGTTGTTCAATATATATTATTGAAATAAAAAACTCAGTCGAAATGAGTATTGGTAGATATCCGGCTAGTAGGAGCAATGTCGGATTTTTTTATAACACAGGGGGCAAGCGAGCATGCTGTTCACCTGATAGTAAGTAACTACCAGCGCCCATGATCACTCACAACGAATGACGGAAAGAGTGAGAACCTTTTTTCCGCGATCAATATCGAAAGAAATGCAATATGTAGATATTAGAGCGGTACCGATGTACCCAGTCCTAACCAGCAGCTAACGGGGGGAAAGGGATTGTTAGTAATGGAGACTGACAATCCCATTGCTAGCAATATACCCAACCAGGTCAACCCCCTCGTGGTTCTCCCTGGAAACTATCATGGTTAATTCCTAATGAATTCATCATGATGGGCTAACTGGCCTGCTTTCATTCTCATCTATCACCCTTCACTGGTGCTCTGCCAGCGTATCCCGTTAGCGCAGTACTGGGTTACCATACCATTTTCACCCAGCAAAAAAAAACACCAGCTAACAAAAACAACACAATAATGAGTAATACTTATGGTAATAACTTCGTTGGAGAGACTGGCATGAAGGTACATAAATACCTGATAGGACATTTTGGTTCTCTGTATAGTCGTGGATCGAAGTCATTATCATCAGGCCTTTCCGGAGGAAGTTCACAGCGTCTAAAATCTATAATCGAAAACCTGCCTCCGAGGGAATTTATCATAAGCTTGCTAACAGCTTCAAAAGCAGCCCTGTAAAACATAAATTGTTTTTAGTTAATTATAAATTATTAGGGAAGGGATTTTTAGTAATGAGAATACTAAGCCTTACCCGGGGGAAGGGACTGTTAGTAAGGGGTGCAACAGCCCCATTACTAGCAATGTACCTTACCAGGTGTACCTCCATACGGATCTCGCTGGATACCATCGCAGTTAAATTCTTTTTTTTTGATACAACTTAGAATGGCAAACAAGCTGACGGCCCACCTGATGGAAAATGGTAACCGTCACTTGTAGACATGAACAGTACCATGGACATAACAGAATATACTGTTTCGACCATGATACCCCCCATGCGTTGCCATTCCTGAGGACTCAGGTGTTATTCCTCTGTACCCAGTTAATTCACGTCATATCCCACCCTTCCAACCGAAACACAGCCATGCAAACACAACTACTTCACAGTTGAAACACGAATGGGACAGAGGTACCCAAGCAATCGACTTTTGTACAAAGTCTCCCTCTGGTATTCTTATTGTTTAGATTAGCCAACTCACTTGTTTTTATCTTAACCTATCAATTTTTTTCTGAATTTTTAAAGAAGAAAAGCCATTTTTAAAGAAAACATTTTTATCCATTCCAAATTAATAGATACAATAAGATTTTATTTCACAACAGATGTAAATCGTAAAATAAGCAAAAAAATAGCATGCGACCAACACAAGCAAAACAATCATCCAAATCAGTTCAATTTTATAAGAAAAAAAAATTGAAAATAGAAAAGTAATTTATTATAATCTAGTTACTCACATACTTTTGTATGGTGGGAAATATGATGGGAACAGTCACGATAAAATGACACGATAAGAGTATATACCTACGATAAAAAAGATATTTACAGAGATCGATATATCTAATGAAAGATTTATACTTTTCTCAAACATGCTTGGAAATGTGAGCATTATTTTGACAATCTTCTTAGAGGTATATCAAAATTGCCGTACTGGCCAGATACATGCGGGTATCGGCCGGCAAAAGTTGTATGAAAATCCAAATCTGTTGTGTTTTGCGGCCAGATAAATTACTATGTAAACTCATATCTGTTCTGTAATTTAAAAATGGAATGACCTTTTACTTTTAAATATGGCTACCAAAGAGGTAACATAATAAAAAGTTTTATTTAAATTTCGAGCTGGCATGCAAATAGAAAGCTGTTTATTGAAAAAAAAAACAAAAAAACATTATGGCGCGTGAAAATATATTATTGTTCGTTATTCGTCATTGAATTTAAAAAGTAAAATTGTGTTTTTGATTTCCGCGCATTGTTTGAAAAAAGTACTATACAAACCTTGGCCCCAACTAGGCATTGATGGACTCACGTATGTGTGCCTCGGCTACGCCTCGGCCTACATTTGCATGTTCGTCCATCAATGGCTCAGTTACTGGCCGCCGCAGTAATGTACTGATGCTCATCATGAGTTAACCAAATCTCCCAAAATTGTTACCTATTATCACATTGCTCTTCAGAGGGACAACTACAAAAATGAAAACCGCTTTATCGTTATCCCATCCAATAGATAGTCTCTGTGTTCTGTGATGCTAATATCGATAAAAAACTATCGGTAACTAAGAAGAAGAATGTCTTTCATTTTGTTTACACCCTGAGCTCGAGGAGGAAGGGATTGTTAGCAATGCGGACTAGCAGTTGCGTTGCTAGTATCTGTACTAGCTATCCTATCCAGGTCAATGGAAAAAAGCCTATTGTAATAATATACACCTGAAATTTAGCACGATGGTTTTCAGGGGTACCACAGGGAGACGGAATATATTAACAACGGGATTGATTCCAATTGTAGTGATTAATTCCAGGTAAATTCGTTACAATAAACTAAGTGACATATCCTAAAACAACTAAAAAAGATCTACTCATTAAAACAAAATAACACATCACATATACACCATTGTGAGTGGTATACCATTAGCAACACACGTAGATTCCAAACAGTAGGAACACAGAGTTTCTAAAATAAAAATTTACTTATCCTCACCTTTACCTATCATCACTCACTAGTATTAGGATATTTAGGATAGTATTAGGATATCGATAGCACAGGAGAATTTACCATTTCATATGCATTATTAAAGAAAAGACATCCGATCGCCGTACTTTATTATTAAAATCGTCGAGAGTCAAGACACGAAAATAAAGAGCACTAATACCTGACATTAATGACAGGTATTAGTTATTAAATCAACGTTAAACCAAAAATATTTAACTAAAAATTTTATTCTTAGTGATAGTAGTGTACAAACTAAATAGTAGTTAGTAGTGCTTATCCGCTAAACCCTATAACTAAACCACAAATCTTTAATAGTCCATCTTTCATAGACAAAATCAAATTCACCTTCTCTATATTTATTCTATCTTGTCTATTCTAAAATAAATGACAGCCACCGAAGTTGAGTGCTAAAATAAAAGGCGGAATAGCTGTAATTTATTATATTTTCATGAGCGTTTATTATTTTCCATTAATATCCTCACTGAAGTATGATGTCAACTACAGAAGGAGAATTAGACATCGAGGTCTCCAATGAAAGAGAGGAAGGGGAGGTTAGAACATTTTTTACGCCTTTTCTAAGTTCTTTTTAATCTCGACCTTTAGTTCATTTTTATTGTGAAGTTGTTGTTTTGATTAACTATACAAATAATTCCATAAAGATTTTTAATGTAGTAAATAATGATTGTACCCTTTTAGGTTTTACAAATAAGTGTAAGTACATATTTACAGACATGGAGTGACTTTGTTTTTCAGTTGGAGGATTCGGACTTAGAGGGGGGTACATATATTCCCCTCGAACGTCCGGAGACGTTCAACCCACCTTCGTTAGTGCATATGCAAATACAAGATGAGCAAAGTGATGAGGAATCCCAGGAATCCTCAGCCACAGAGTCGGATGATGAACGGCAACGCCGACCAAAACGATTCAAAATGAGGCCACGGCGGCCACAGCCGCAGACACAGTCAGAAAAGAGAAATAAATACAATGTTTGGTGTACAGCTTTGCAGGTAAATTATTTCAATGATAATACTACATTATATGTGTTTTGTCTTTAAATAAAAACATGTTACTTTGTCCTTTATAATTTCCTGATATTCCATATGCCTGTATATTTTTTTTAATTGCATTGACATTGGTTTATTATTTTACCTTTAAAATACACTTTTACTAAAGGACTAAAAGCAAAAAAAAAATTGTTAATGTCATTAAAGTTTATGGTGTATTAATATATAAATTTACATTAAATAAACTATATATAAATTCATCTTGTATCTAAATTTAAAATATATTTATGAAGTGTACCAGAATAACAAACTGTAGCCTTTAATATGGTCATTTCAGGAAGACCTTTTGACTGAAGATATGGTCAGCTGTGATGTTACAAAGAAAAATAGATATGGTGTTGAATCTTATGATTATACTATTAAATATAGATTAGATGATAATTATGTGTCTAAAAAAGTATTTAATAACAGCGATGACAGTTACAATCGCTCATCAAATAAGCGGAGTAACACAGACAGATTAAACGCTAAACTGAGGCTTGGGAAACGAGTGAACAGTAATTTAGCTAGAGATGAGAAACACAAGCCGAGATATTTGCCTGACTTAATGGTAACAGCTGAAGAGTCTATAGAAATGATTGCCAATGATATTGCTGAAAAATTGTCTGAAGAGAAAAAGGATTTAGTAGGTAAGTAATTTGGAATCTTAACACTTAACAGATGGGCCCCATAGATTTAAGATTTTCCACTGCATGAAGGTGACTGTTTTACAGCATGCTTTAAAAAATACTGTTATAATTGATTTAATAAAGTTTTATTGTAGTTATAATTTTTTAAATCCATACATTCATGTTTATTTATTTCCTTTAAAAAATTTACACTAACTAGGAAAGAGAGCATATTTGACTCATCCGTTAACTTTGGTACCATATTATTGGAGTTCTTAAATTATTTTCTGGGGAGAAGAGAGACTGATCCCTTAAAAATATTTCATATTAAGTTGCCAGAAAAAAAAACAACTAATACATTGTTTTTTCACTACAGGTAGAATTGTGCAAGTATTAGGTGCCCATAAAGCTATGGAAATATATAAGGAAACACAGAGGGTTGAGGCTGATGGTGGTATGCTTGTTATGGTAAGTTTAGATTGTGTCTATTTTTAGGTTTATAAATCAAATACCAACCATTATAACCTTTAAAAAAAGAGCATATTCCTTTTTAAAAGGCTGGCAGCACACTTGCAATGTCTTTGGTTTTGTGGTGTGTTTTGGTTGTGTCGTTGATCATAGACGATGGTAGTCACTTACCATCAGGTGAGCCGCATGCTCATTTGCCTTCTGTGTTGTAAAAAAAACCAACTCAATGGTTTTTCACGTAAGAAGTAAACATCACAAATGGTTTCTCTTGGATAAGAATTAGACCAACTTCCTGTCAGCATAGCTCCATCTTTTTTAAAAATAAAATTTAAATATTGTCTTTCAGAATGGTACCAGGCGGAGAACTCCAGGAGGTATCTATTTCTTTCTATTGAAGCGTGATGTAGATGTCTCTCAGGAGATGATCAATCAAATCTTCAATGAAGACCGCAAGGAGACCTCACGCCGGATAAGGAAAGCAAGGGCCAAAAGCCGACAGAAGGTCATGGAACAGTTAAAACAAAGTCTAACAGGTATGTATTGGTTATCAGTAGCATTTTGATGCTCATTGCTCAGAAGTTAAAACAGAAGGGGGAGTACTAAGGACATGTAAGTGTTTTTAGATATGTGACCTATTCTCAGGACTGGCAACAAATAGAATAGGATAGAAATAATCTTTATTCAAATATACTTGATACAAGTACTTTTAAAATATCATTTTTTTATGATTCTACTGATGGGTTTGGAATGTTGTTATCTTCTAAGAAGAACCTGCAATAATTCAAAAAATAATTCAAGTTACTCTTTTTAAATTACTATGTGCAAGAAAATTTTACATTGGTATGGGTATTGTAACTATAATTAGCATTATGTTCCGTTTTTGAATATTATTAAATGGAAAATAAGCAGATTAGTCCCCACAAACAGCACCCCTTGACAAATATGATGGATGAACTAGCCATCATTGCGCTCAACCATATTTACGACCCAGCTCATCATGCCATCACCTGCCAACACCGTATAGCGAGCATGACTAATTTTATTAACGTCTATCGGTTCTTCTAAATCTATATTCGATTTGCTATTCCCTGGTATAACTATTAAACTAGCATCACTATTAGCTGATTTTTGGGACAAGACCATATTGCAAGCCGATTCAAATGTTAGATTGTTGTAACGTCTTTCTTTGAAGATCTTTGTCTCGAATCCTACAAACTAAACAATCACGCAAAGTGCATCCAATATCTTTAAAGCTGTTAGAATAAGATCTTTACCGCCAGCTCTCTCTCTCTCTCTCTTTGCAAACTATGGTGGCTTCCGTACGTATTTATTTTACTATTAATAAATTATTAATTTGTATCTACTGTTAAACTCAACAAAAGTTACGGTGAATTGATAATATCTTCAAATTAGCAATATAATCTCGAACTTATTCCCCTTCTTCCTGAATTCGATTGTGAAATTTAAAAGATTCTACAATTTCATTTAGTGGAGGGTAGAAATGATTGTTTAAAATGGCTTCCATATTTAAAAATGTAACCTTACTTCCCTGGGGCTATCAGTGAAGAAATATAATCAAACAAATCAGGACCAGATACCGCTTGTAAATTCGCCTTCCTTTTTTATCATCCGCCTTCATTTTATTTGCTTCTAAACAAAATTCAAACCTTGAAATGTAGTTTTCCCAGCAGCCATGTGCTACATCAAATTCACTAAACTCTATTCTCATTTTTACAATTGAATTTAGAACAATTGTATTTATAATATAATGTTTGCACTTTTTTATTAGTTTTTCTCGTCGCTACTAATGTGTAACGACCTGGGAATGTCGAATTCATCGGAACACGCGTGTCAACTCACCTAACATAAAACCAGACTGGAGCCTATTTCTAGGTACCCTCAAACACAATATATGACAATAATCACTTGTAAAAGTAAAAATGTAGCAGTGACAACCACGGATCACATCGTTTTAGTATGTATATGAATCTATACATGGTATGGTCTATTATTTAACTTGTTTTTTTTTTTTGTTTTAGATTCCGAGTTACCGTCACTACTGTCGCGGGGTGAAGCGACCGTTCAATCAGAGCACGGGTCTAATCCGCCCCCATCGCCGGCGACGGATGCACGCGAGTGCTCGAGCGACACTGACGGCCACTCGCACACGGACGCGAACGCGCCCTCTCCCGCCCGACCACGCTCGCCCCTCCCCGATCGGACTCGCGCCATCCAAGACTATGAAGACGACGACTTCCTTGAAGTTATGTGCAACGATGATATGGATCTATTCTAATCCTAGCTAATTCGACCTCCATGGTGCAGTGGTAGGCATATTGCTTCGTATATGAGGTCTCAGGTTTAATACTCGGTTGAGCCAGTTGAGGAAATTGTAATTTAGAATGAGTCTGGGTGTTCTTGGCTGTGCCTGATATTCATTGTCTGGTTTGTCATAACTTCTTAGCGTAAGATCAGACAATTGGTGTGAGTGTGTGGCACTTATTATTATAAGAGTATGTATGGTGCTCAGTAACTTGCCCCACTCGAACTCAGCGGAGCCCCTCGCGTTTGTACGTCAACTTTGTTGGATGTACAAAGATAGGGCTGTGTCAGTTAATTTTAAACCTTATTAGGTAGCTCTAGGCTCTAAAATGTTATTGGAATTTTTGATATAAAAATCATAGCCTTTATTCATATTAGGTTGTTTTTTTTTTCTAATATTATGCAACATTATAGATACGAGTATAAGGTAAACCAATTGCCATTATCGGTAATGACGTATTAACGTGGTCTACAACTAAATATATGTAAGGCTGTATCTTAAAATTAAGATTGTATTGAATGAATCGAAGAATGTTTATTTTAAATTTTTATCACCCTAGTCTTAGTGTGATATAAGATTTTGACGCGGCTTAGGCATTATATAATTTTGGTTTGAGACATTGTATTATGGGATGGCGAATGTAAATGATGCATTTTGATCAGAAGAGCTTGTTTTTTAATTTATTTGATTCTATAAATGGACATTTCATTTTCGGAACAGTAATATGAATAATGACAACATTCGAAGAATGTTCCATTTTTGAATAATAGAATGAAACAAATGTTTTGATACATTCATATAATGAATAATTATTTGAAAAAATAATTAAAAAAAAATAGAAAATTAATTTTAAATAGCAGATTTCAAGTTTAGAGTTTGTAACTGGTGAACATTTATGAATAGATTGATGACTTAGTATTTAGCATTCCATTATCTCTGCCTACCCCAGTAGGCGACAGTTTTCATTTGATCATGAAACAAGAATTGAAAGGACTTTCCTTGTACTTGTAATATCCTAGGAATGAAAACAAAGATGTTACGTTGTATCCACTATTACTTGGAGATACCTATTTAAAATGATAGCGTGATTCAATTTAGCCGAATAAATAGTTCTTTAAATAAACTTGCATCTGATGAGATTTGAAAGTGTAAAAAGAGACGGACTCATGTTTATTTTATTTAAGACTAGCTTTATGCTAGCTACTTCGTACGTATGGATTTCAGTACTACTTCTGTAGGAAAACAATTTAAATACTCGTAGACCGCTTCTAAACGACTTATTAAGATAAAACATACACCAGTTTTTATGTTAGACCTTCAAGAATACAATTGTCCATTTGCATTCAACTTACTGCAGTAGTTTTTGTGTAATGCCAGAGCAAAGATACAAACAAAATTTCGTTAAATTATAATTGTGACTATTGGTCTTAAATATCTTTCATGTACAAACATCGTCTGAAACAATTTTATTATATTAGTAAATGTATTTGTGCAGTCTTTGACATTTCATCTCTAACTACCTACTTAGAGAAATGGTAAACAGATTTATCCATAAATGTGTATGGATTAGTGATTGAATGAGAAAGAAGTCGCCGAACATCGCTGTCTCAGTGTATTTCATGCGCGCAGTAGCGATAATGTGTTTATCGATAGATTCGTTTGCCACTTATCAAAGAAAGCTGGCCTTATTTAACAGAGGAAGAATCTGCACTATCAAAATAGATGAATAAGGCCTAACAGGCTTAAACTTTATGTTTGTATTATTAAAAGATCACGTATCAAATTTGCGTGTATTTGAAACGTGAAATGTTTCAAATACACCCAAATATTTGAAACAAATATTTGCGTGTATTAATCAAATTTACTTTGCATCTATGTTCATTTAAAAAAATAATAGAAATTTTTAGATAATATTATTTCTAATATTTTGATTTAGATTCTAACTTGACTGCTGGACGTACGTATTGACGTTTTTCGACCAAAGAAATCTTTGGGCAAAATGTTCAATTTCTCTGATTTTTAACTATCTTGTATAAAAACCAGCTAAATCGAATTTGAAGTGTCTAATTTTGTTATTGTTAGATATTCTCTAATTTACCCATATTAATGTATACATAGTCATACTGCAGTCTAAAAAAATTATCAATTATTCACGTCCAGATAGTCTAGAATGCGATTGGTTTTTCCTTACACTGTGGTCATACTCTTGATAGTATACCAAAGGATACCACGTCACATCGACACATGACACCATATGTTAAGTTCCTTATGAATATGTCCTGTATTTTTTTTGTATATTGTAGAATAATGTTTCGAATACTACATTCACAGAAATGGTTCTGGAATCATTATGTATTAAAACAATTGTAATTTCATTGTTTTAAATTGTAGAATATTATTTTATTGTGGTAAATTTAACAGTATCTTTTGGAAGCTACAATAAAATGTATCTATGCATATTTTTCCAGAGGATATACGATGAAAAAGTTCAATTGAAAAAATTGATCCGAGTTCAAGATGTTGTTGTAATGAATATTAGTAAGAACGGCCATTTAATCTGGCCAACAACTTTAAAACTGTTGCTGCATAACTCTAAAATCTATTTTTCTATGCTTTTATTAGTAAACAAATTTGGCATATCTTTTTATCGAATTATTAGCGCATTAAATAAACAAATAACCATCAGTGTACTGTTGAATTTTTTCTTTATTTTTAAACTACTCAATTCGATAAGACATGTTGATATTATTTACTAATTGTGCCATAGAAAAACAGATTATTGATAAAAAACAACCAGAGAAGGCCTTGGGGTTATAACAAAATTTTTGACGGCGTACCAAAAAAATGTCGCCCTTCCCTGTAAGGCCGGTACTGAACGTAACGTTTGCCAAGGAAATTGATCTCGAGTGCAGATTTTGTGGAATTGGCCAATAGACTATTATGAAATAGCTTTACGGTAATATACGAAATGAAATTTAGAAAATAGAAACCTATGTGTAATATAATTATTGTTCAAGTATCGAATGACTAAAACGTAGAAAATAAATGGGGCATTATGGTGTTCACATCCGCCTATAAAATATTTTTTATAACTAAAAACCCGTATCTGTGGTTCGAAAAAACTTGGGCTGTATAAAATAGCGGTAGAAGTAGACAATAATAGTTTACTGTCGTTTATTTATAAGCCTAGCAGAAGTCGGCAGCAATGGTACGGCCAGTCTTAGAAATTTCATTGCAATATTTCTGTCATCTACCAGAAGGCTTCGTATTTATACTGGCATTCTTTGACTCTTAAATTGTTTGGTTTCTGATAATTTTTTACCAATTGAAAGATCCCGCGATTGATCACGATCTCACCTGATGGAAAGTGATGACGTGGTCTAAGATTAGTCTATTCACATTTACTTTAAATTGGTGCAAATTATATTTGAATGGAAAAATGTAACATATATATAATCATAGATGTATTAGTTGTAATAGCCTGCAAGGAGTACGTTTAGTAATATTTGGGTTATTTCTTAATTTGAGCAACTTCAAAAAGAGGAATGTTTCTAATTTCACGGTATTTTTTTATTGGTATAAGTTTACTAATTTTAAACCGTATTTGATTATTCTGTTTGCAATCGATTGGGATTGTTCTCGAGCGATCTGCTTTTTGTGAGGATTTTAAAGTTTTTTTTTGTGGAGTAATAAAATAAAATACAGCACCCGGTAGTGATCAGTGATTTTGCAACAGAAATTTCTGGATATTGTTTCAAATCATTAATTAGGATTTTTTTTTCTTATATTTCATATAAGTTAATGGCAAGCTTCACATTTATATTTAATCAGATAATCTTATATGACACAAATATGATCAACCCCACTTGATATAATTATGTTTAGAAATATTGGGTTACATACAATGCGAGACGATATTCCTTTAGCTACTTATTATATTAATTTGTAGCTCGTCAACTTCATGGTGAGTACATGGTGGTTAAGCCCATACTTATACAACTCCTAAAATTGTCTTTCTATTCAGAAGTGCTACGAACGAAGTTGATGAGTTCTAGCCGACTCCTGCATGGCACGTACCATTTCGTAATCTAAAACGTCAAGTATGTTCAACAGATGAATAAATGTAACTTAATGAAGCGTTTATTTGGCAATTTATTGCCAAAATATATCTGTGCGATAAATGTAAACGCGGAGTATTGTTTTTTTACGAAAATAAATACATTTAATTTGATCAGTAACACACATATGTGTACAGTGACGTGAATATTATAGAACAGACTCTGAGATACTTTGTATAATAAAATTTGCAAAAGCTTTTGTTGTTTTATTGTAACATTCTTTACTATATTCGAACGAATCCGACAACTTTATAATATCAAGTTGTGATATTGATATTATTGAAATATTAAAGGAATTTCATCAGATCTTGGTACTTTTACAGGTACCTTTTCTGTAAAGATTAAACTTTGTGAAAATTTTAAGCTAAATGAACTGACAGAGATCGCTGTAATTTCAACCCTTCTACACAAATGGCAAATGAACCTATCCACAAATACGTCTCCAGTAGCGCAAGCGTTTAGGGGGAAAAGGGATTGTTAGTAATAGAGACTGAGAATCCCATTGCTAGCAATATACCCAATCAGGTCGACCTCCGCGCGGTTTCCCCTGGAAACTATCATGGTTAATTCCTGATGAATTCATCATGCTGGGTTAACTGGCCTGTTTTCATTCTCATCTATCACCCTTCACTGGTGCTCCGCCAGTGTATCCCGTTAGCGCAGGCGGGGTTACCATACCATTTTCACCCATCAAAAAAAGTAGCGCAAGCGTGACAAAGAATTAAATCGTCGTTACTGTCACGTTTTATCTTAGACACGCAATAAGAATTATAAAAATAAAACGAGGTATGTACAATATAAAGAAGATATTGAAATGAGTGAAAAGGGGAAACAGTGTTAACGGTGCACTGCTCTCAATTATGATAAGCAAAAATGTATCGAGCAGAGCTCGCCATAATTCAGCGAGTACTAACAACTACATTTACTGGAAGCAAATCTGTAGAGATGAAAGCTTTGAGAAGAATGTGTGGTATATTAAATGATAAACAGTGTGATTAGAGAAGAGTGTGGATTGAAATACGATGTAATGACAAAAATCGAAAAGGGTTGGTTTAGCCATTTGAAAAGGATGGACGAAAGAAGATTTGCGAAAGAGATTTATCGAGCAAGAATTAATGGAGATGTCGATAGGGACCGCACTAGACGAACCATATACCGAGCAAATAGGCGACGTAATGAAAAAGGTCCAAATTATAAGTACCCGTAACCCGTAAGTATGTATGAAAATATTGATGAATGTGGAAGAAGCGAAAGAGGCTTTTTTGAATTGAAGCATTTGGCGTTGCATTGTTGTTGCCTACCATGAGGAGGGACAGGCTTGACAGATGTGTATATATGTATGTAGAAATAAAACTATTATAGATAGAGCACAAGTTTATTGCTTTATTCGAGTTTTCTACAACATTATAATATCAATTATAATACAGAGAGAACATCCAAAAATAAATGTGTTGTCATGGAATGGATTGAAATTCTTTTATCAGTCCAAAGCAAGAAATAAAATCAGGGTAATATATATCAAGAGTTTAAGTTATTCGAACCTATAGATATTCTATTCATAATATGGCAAGCAAGTTAACGGTTGCCTTATTGGAAAATGATAACCGTCGCCTATAGACAGAAAGTATCAGACAATCTCAGAGAATAATAATAATATATATTCTTTATTGCACTTGTAAGTTACATATAAAATAATCTATTTATAAATGTTGTGAGCATGGGTGGACTTATCTCTGACAGAGATCTCTTCCAGTCAACCCAGTACAGTAAGAAAGCATTTCGTTAGCGGGCAGCTGAAGTGCTACAACTATTAATACATAAACAAATATACAGTTAAATAAAATATTAAAATATATATACTGTGGTAACCATACTTTTGATTTAGACGCTATCTCTTCGTATCATATAATTTCAATGCCATTTCCCACCCTTGCTACCAAAACATAATGCAAGGACAGCTACTTAGCGGCTGAAACACGAGTGAAATATACTATAGAATAATCTTCGTTATTAGATTATAATATAATATTATTGTTATTTAGGAAACTCTAATAGAAGAGTGGTGACTGAATGGATGTATATAAGGGATCTTCCACATAATATTAACATGAGGACCACTGCACTGTAGTAATTTGATAACTTTAATGAGGCATATGTCTTAGGGGTGTCCAATTAAGTAAGGACCATATTCTTACATACTCATACACTATCCAGGAAAAAACAGTTCGTATTTGGACGTCATGCACTGTACTATGCATAGGGAGATATCTATAATACAACACTGGTCAATATTTTGGAAATGGGTAACAGTGACTGTACATTATAGGTGTTTAAGGCACTGATTCTATTACCAAAGTGCAGTTTTCGAGAACAACTTTGATCTTGTGAGTACTGTGTGAGAGATAAGATATAGGTAAAGTCCACAATACTTTTACTAGTAGAATCTCTTACTTGATTAGTTTAACTTTGCACTAAAAATAACTATGATGTTAAATGAGATTTACACTGTTAAATGCTGTAGAAAGGAGCCTAATACTACACCAGAATGATAGCTTAATTTGTATTAACTACTTGTTACTTTCACGTACTTAAATTTTTTTCCCATTTTTTCACTTTTATTCATTGATTCCACGTTTATTTTGCAAAAATTAATATTTTTTTATGAGGTCTTCATTATGATGTTCTTAAACCAAATTAATTTGTATTTTATATATGAGATATTTTGTAAAAATATTTGTTAAGTAATTATGAATGCTTTTTTATGCAACTTAGAATGGCAAACAAGCTGACAGCCCATCTGATGGAAAGTGGTAACCGTCGCCTATAGACATGAGCAGTACCAAGGACATAACAAAGTATACTGTTCTGCCCATGATACCTCTCATACGGTACCATTCCTGAGAACTCAGGTGTTATTCCTCTGTACCCTGTAAATTAACTGCCATATTCCACTCTTCAAACCGAAACACAGCCATGCAAACACAACTGTTTCACATTTTCAAAATTTGTAAATAGATACTCAATTCCTGCAAAGATAATTTACGTGATCAAAGCTGTGATATTCAGCACGGAGTTAATAAATAGAATGATCATATATAATAATATAATGGAAATACTGTCAATATAACAAAGAGTAGACAATTTACATAAATTATATATATATATATTTTTCACAAAATCTACAAATAATAAGTTAAAAGTAAAATGTAAGAATGAAATGTTATATTAATACAGAGTACATATTAGTATCAACAATATAAATTTGTAATTCATAAATGCATATAATAAAAAAAAAAACTACATAATGGGGCATACATGAACACACACATTATAAAAGACTTAAACATAATTATATCTTCAGTTCTAGAGTATTTTAGACTTATCCCAATAATAAATTAAATAATGTAAATTAATATTTCTATATTTTCTTTTTTCATGTATTGATTGTAAGCCATTGCATTAGATTTTTTGTATTTTCTCATAACTAGTACCTAAGAATGATTTCATGGTATCTTCTGTACATAGGTGATTCAAATTCAATCTCCATTAAAGATTATATATTCTTGCATAAAATATATCATGAATGACTTTATGGGAAATCCAGCATCTGTAATGAATAATCAAATTTCAATAAAGGTATATAATATAAAAATAATTATAATTATAAACATATAAAAAATGTATAGCTGTTTGATACTAATTACGCTTATTTGGCCAGAGGTATTTGAATAAACTTTAGTACAAAGATAGATCATTATTATCACAGATTAAGAAATATGGCAATTTTGTTCCAATTTCTGTGTATAGCAGAATGAAACTAATATTAAAATAAGGTTCATCTGTCAGAAATAAATCTAAACAAATACAGATTAAAAATATGATGTATTTGGTGCTCCTTTCCATTTTGGATTCGCTGGAACAGAATTTCTACAGAGTTAAGCTTGCCTTTGTTTATTTGCTTTGTATTGCCATATTTCTGTATGTTTTATTAGCTTGTACAATAAAATATAATTAAATAAGTAAATATAGTAAGTCAATATTATTCATATTTAATATATTTAATTCAGTTATGCCAGTATTACATTCACTACAATACTAATATTCAAGAAATGACTATGACTAAGTAGTTAATAATTGAAGTCAATGAATTATAGTTATGAGCATATTTATTACTATTATTTATTTAGATGTAATCTAACAGATGAAGTACAAACATACCAACTGTGGTAAGCATTTCTCAACATGTTCAAGTTCAACCTTGTCACAAGACTCACGCAGAGCCTGAGTAGATGCTCGCAGGCAAGTCTCTGTGACGAGGCACTTAGCCACCTCCACGATAAGGGACAGTGCATCATTGCCTAGCTTTGTTTTATTGTCTTGAAAGGAACCATGAAGAAGTTCTTTGATCACTTCCTAGAATAAAGAATGTAATCAAGAATAATTATAAACTCTTTTATATTAAAAGGTGTTAAATATAGATTGTAACATAGTAACATGGCAAGAGTCAAGAGAAAAACAAGGTATTGTTGCAAAATCAGACAATATTTTTCATTCATAAATTTTTATAAAAAACAAAAGTCAGGTAATATTGTTTACTAAATATGCCAAATATAATAAATGAAAATAACATTAATCACTAAATTTAAAAAGCAGAATTTTACAGCAAAAATTCCATGACAAAGTTTATATGGAATCAACATGGAAGAACTGAAAGAATTAGTGAAGATATCATATAATATACACAAATAAAGACGAGTTAAGAATCTCCTCTTTTAGAAATTATTATAAAACCAAAATTTTATACAATAATTCTTTGATTATGTGATGTGGGTATGTATTACAGAAAGATTATTTAAAAATCACAAAGGAGCCGGAAATAATTGGATCATGCTTCTGATGGTGAAGCTGCAATTTCTTGTAATAAAAATAATAATAGGTTAGTAATTTTTCTTGTGGAATATTGTGAAGAAATTAAATTATTGAGAAACTACATTCAGTACCAAACAATTAATCTTTTAAATACCTGCTTTAGGGAACTTTTAATATTAGATGCCACAGACGCTGGATCAATATTATCGTCATCGTTCTCAATACTGTTACGTGCCATTTGTAATGAGAATTTAATTTTTGAATTTAGAATAATTTTCAAAATTTCGCTTAATTCAAAATTAGAGTTAACTCGACCTTTACTTGACAGATGGTGTCAAATGGTTGCGAACTCGCGCATTTATTTGACATAATTTGATTTGACTTGACACTCATTCATCTTTCATTTTACTTGCTGTTTACTATTTTCATGATTATTCTGTATCAGGTATTTTATCTGTGACCAAGCTTAGGCTATACCATTAAAGTTCATAGTGGGTATAAAATTTTTTTTTAATGCTTAATAAATGGAATGGTAACCCCGTCTGCGCTAATGGTATACGCTGGCGGGGCATCAGTGAGGGATGATAGGTGAATAATGAAAAAAGCAGGTCAGTCAGCCCATCCTGATGAATACACCTGGAACTCAGCACGATGGTTTCCAGGGGGAACCGCGTGGAGGTCGACCTGACAGGGTTGCTAGCAGTGGGACTAGTAGCCCGCATTACTAACGATCCCTTTCCCCCGGTATAAGCAATTTAAATTTTATACTTAAATTATTAGGAATAGGATGACTACCAGTCCCTGTCATCAATTAGAAAAAAAAAATCAAATAAGCTAAGAACCTGGTACTCCCTTAGTACACAAGTACAAAAGAACAGTCAATTTATTTTGGACAAACTATATGTTAAATTCCGTGGAATTAAAAGCCAATAGTCCTGCATTAAAAATAGATCGTTAAAACTGACAGTTTTTTTATTAACTCTTTGGTGATGGGAACATCGATATTCTGTCATGTTCAAACATAGGTACTCAATGATATTTCTAGAACTATTATTTTGAGCATATTTTTCTTTTTAATATAAAAATATTAGGGGGAAAGGGATTGTTAGTAATGGAATCCAATTTCCCCATTACTAGAAATACACCCTATCAGGTCGACCTCCACGCGGTTCAATGTGGAAACTTTCGTGGTTAATTGTACTGGGATTCCTCACGATGGGCTAATGGTTCTGCTTTCATCGTCACCTATCACCCCTCACTGGTGTCTCGCTAACGTATACCGATAGCGCAGGCGAGGTTAACATTCCATCCAATACCCAATAACAAACGAATGTATTTTATTTCATCATATGCTTGGTTTAGTTGATGAAATATAAATTATGGGTTTGTTTTAAAATTTATATTACAGATAATATCTATTTGATAATAAAACAAAATAATCTAGTTTAAAATATTAATTTAATTTAATTTTCACTTATTATTAGCAATTTTAATAAATACATAACACGTTCTCTAATATCATCAATGGATTTGTGGGATAGACACTGCGACAACGTATCTAATACTGATTTTTCATCGGCGATTTCTGTTATAGTTTTGTCTTTTCGCTCCTCGGGCGTAAGATTCTCTTTAAGTATTTCTAATATTAATTTATCTTCGTCTCTTTTCCACTCGGGTGCTTCGGATTTGACTATTTCATCTTCTGATACTATCATCATAGACACATCTGATTCACTGTAATCTTGCACTTCAGTTTTAGATATGGTCAATTCTGGTGTGTCTATGACATTTTCATTTTGTGATTCCTGCAAAGAGAATTTTTAGATTTAGGTAGTTAGGTAATATTCTTAGTTTTAGATTTTAGGGAGAATTTATAGTTTAAACATAATAGGAATTAATAATAAACATCCTAATAGGGATTTTTTTTTAAGTAAACTTAAATTTAAGCATTTTTGTAACAGATAGATTTATTGTTTTATTAACTCCTTTATTATTTCCTCCAAAAAAATCCATTCCACTTATTATAAATACAAACAATTACAACAAAAGATTATACTGTGAAAAAATAGGTCAAGTTTATCGCTAAGAGTGATAAAATAATAAAGTAATATATAATAGTATTTTTTTTTTTATGAATTTATCGCTCATTCAGAATGTAATTTCAGCCAAAAAGAACAGGCGAGGAACTAATACGACGATTGACGCGACAATTATTAGTTTACTTTTCAATTAAATTCTATAAAAACGAGAATATAGTCAAAATTATTCAACTTACTATCTTGACGATAACATCTGGAAGTTGCCTTTTGGCATTTTGATGAGTAGATATAGTCTCGGTGTCACTAGGGGCTTCATCTTTGTCATTAAAACACCTCCCATTAATCATGGAGACGTCTGGAGTTTGACTTTTGATGTCTTGATCATTTATTGCAGGATCAGCCCCTTCGAGGATTGTAGTGTCACTGTGACCATCCTCCTCACCACTGGAATATTATCAATGATATATCGACTGTACATATGAATGGTACAATAGATACATTTTTTTATATAATCTTCACAATTATTTTATTCTAGATGTTTTCCGTGACTTCGCCTGTGTAAATCCGTAAGTTAGGATAGAAGCTACCCATAGCGTACCATTCATTCAAACCTGTTTAGTAGTTTTTACGTGAAAAGAAAAACATCCATTTTACATATATGGATGTTTGTTTTACATTTATATATGTAAAATTTTACATATAAGATGCCAATCTTAACAATCTTTTTATATATAAATTCGTAATCTTCTAAATATTTGTTATATAATTATCACTGAATTTATTAATATTGTATAGCACTATCTATATTCCGCATGTCGCAAAGCGTTGTATGGATGGCAGTTGATACGTTGACAGTTTTTACTTTAAAACTGAGCGACATTTTAAAAATCGAAATTAATCAATTAATCATAATAGACACTCTCCTAATTGAATAATTTGTAGAATCCATAATTTACATTGAAGTAATTCTTTATCTAATATTAAATACCTGTCACTGTTGCCATGCTATAACACACCGAGTATAACTTAATTGTCTCGGGTAGTCTACCCGAGGCAAAAGTCTGCTTACTACTACTTAATTTTTTTTTATAAATTTATACAATTAACCCTAAGGAAACAATGTGATAAAGTTTTAATAAAACAATAACATACCTGGACGAGTTGTCGGCTTCATAATCCATTGTGTGTGTACCGTCTCCTTCTACTAAGGTGTCATCTGCTTCTTTCTCCATTTCTTCGTTCATTTGCTTTTTCTCCTCCATTGGTGTTGTCATATTCGATTTTAATTTAGTCTCTTGATCATCCTCCCTGGTAAATTAAATACAGTAAATGCTTATCTTCGCTGTGCGGTTCCGGTATAGAATGAGTTATCCTTTCCTGTTCCGTGGATGTCGTAAGAGGTGAGTAAGGGAACATAATGGTAGAGGGGTGGACAGCAGCATCTCTCTTAAAACATCACCAAAGGCTAACTGCGATTACCAACTCGCCTGACAAATGTGGCAACTATTACCATAATCCCCCTTATGGAGAAAGCCTATGTTCAGCCGTGGACAGTTAACAGTTTTTCGTTAAGCAATTTGTTATAGTCGTGAACAGTTGCTACTTAAATGAACTGATCGACTGTCAGCTTGTTTGACATTCTAAGTTGTATAAAAAATATTTAACTCTATAATGTTCTTATAATGCGATATTCAAACAGCATTATTATCTGTCGTTGTTCTTACTCTATAAATAGTGATAACATTTGGTGTTAGTATCTTACAATTTCAATACTGGTAGTTTTTCATGTATTAGAAATAGTAGTATATTCATTAGAAAGCAAATGGCTGGCTGGTATTTGAAAATTTTATACCTACTAGGAATATTTTTTTTTTATACAACTTAGACTGGCAATCAAGCTAACGGCCTACCTGATGGAATGTGGTAACCGTCGCCTATAGACATGAGCAGTACCGTGGACATAACAGAGTATACTGTTTCGCCCATGATACCCTCCATGCGTTGCCATTCCTGAGGACTCGGGTGTTATTCCTCTGTACCCTGTAAATTCACGCCATATCCCAGCCTTCAAACCGAAACACTGCCATGCAAAGACAACTGCTTTACGGTTGAAATACGAATGGGATAGAGGTACCCAAGCAAACGACTTTTGTACAAAGTCTCCCTCTGGTTTTTTATGGTACAATCAATATTTTGGGTAGAAGTGTAATATAAATAGATGTATCAGTGCGATAGTGATTTAGGAGACAAATTCATTTTCTAGTCTCGTCGGAATAAAGCCAGTGTCGACTCATAAATAATATAGTTCTATTTCAATGGAACTTAATGAAAAAGTAACCAAATTTTATTGAAATTGTCACAACACACTCTCCCTATATAAAATTAGTAACAAATCGTAACATTTAATCAATCAATCAATTGATTTTTTATTTGTACTGCTATTGGAATCCAATCATGGTAAGACAGGCGGCTGGTTGTAAAACCAAATTCCAAAAAAAAAAAAAATATAAAATCATATTACTCAGACCAAATAATTGAGATAAAAGCAAAAATATGATGATGACTGTATTGTAGATCAACGATTGTAAATCATTGATTTGTTGAGTCAATCATGATTGTATTGTAAATCATGATTGACTCAAAGTCAATCATGTTTGTTTACATTTTTATTAAGTATAACGGACTACAGTTAAGTTTAAAATCATATTATGCCGACTCCAAATAATTGGAATAAGGCCAGGAAAATGACGATGACCGCTATTGGACATCACCTATTGAGTCAATTATTTGTTTGTTAACATTTTTATAAGTTCAATTGAAATGGACTATAATTCTCTACGGGCCTGACCTGGCTCGCTGTCGGTGCGGAAACAGCTGGAAGAAGTGCTGCGCGAGCGCCGGGTAATACTCCAGCGTAGCTAGCACAGCGCTGCAAACGCTGCATGCGTTCGCGCCCGCCTGCGAGTACACATTCTGCACCGCGCACAGGATCCTGTACTTCTGCCTCTTATCCGATACGTGCTCCTGAGGACCGTGCGGTTGTTAATGGATGAAAATGGTGTAACAAAATGTTCAACTGTAAGATAGTTTGCTGTTACCGAATAGTGATAGAAATGAAAAATTGATATATTGATTCAAATTTCAAAATTCAAAAGTACCAGAGGGAGACTTTGTACGAAAGTCGATTGCTTGAGTACCTCTGTCCTATTCGTGTTTCAACCGTGAAGCAGTTGTGTTTGCATGGCTGTGTTTCAGTTTGAAGGGTGGGATATGGCGTGAATTTACTGGGTACAGAGGAATAACACCTCAGGAATGGCAACGTATGGGGGTATCATGGGCGAAACAGTATACTCTGTTATGTCCATGGCACTGCTCATGTCTATAAGCGACGGTTACCACTTTCCATCAGGTGGGCCGTCAGCTTGTTTACATTCTAAGTTGTATAAAAAAAAAACACTGAGTAAAACTATTTTATTAAAGATGTTTAAAATAAATTTGAGAGGAATTTAGCACTTCTCTCTGCCTACCCTATATAGAACTTGATGCGGAGATAGATAAGTAAAAATATAAAAACATACTTACTTCAACCAACTTAACAAAATTAGGTAAGTGTGTTTGAACGAAGTAATCCTTGAATTTTCCAATCGAGTCCGCCTGTTCTGGCGTCAAGAAGCATAGAAACTCTTTGTATAAATCAACCAGTTCGATTCCGAGCACTTTGTACAGCTCATCGGCTAGTCGAATAGGGTCACCACCTAGTATATCGAATTTGGTAAAGAGACGGTACACTTTGTTTTTTATTGTGTTGTTTTTGGCAACCATTGTCCTTAATGTGAGTTTTGATTGATACTCTGTTACGAACGCTGTAAATATATGAAAAGATCGATTACACAGTCATACGAGGTCTGTCCGGAAAGTTCGTATAAAAGTGTTCTGGAATGCGAGAAAGAGGAGTGGGGAGGCCAGGTAAGCGCAGGACCCCTTCCTTATGTCCCTAACAATGCTTCAGTTCTGGTCTGACCGCCGTGCGGTGCGAACTGGCTTGTCACGCCATCTGTGAAGTTACCTCTTAACGAAACCCCGTCGGCATGGAGCCCGCTTCCGTTGAAGAGCAGCGCGTCGTAATCAAGTTTCTCTCGAAACTCGGCAAGAATGGCCGTGAAATTTTTGCCGATCTCAGAACAGTTTATGGGGATGATGCTGTGAAGGAACCAACCGTCCACAAGTGGCTAAAAAGATTCAGAGAGGGCCGAGTAAGCGTTCAAGATGACCCACGTTCAGGACGTCCTTCCACTTCACATTCCGACGAAAACGTGGAAAGAATTCGAACTTGTGTTAATGGGGACCGTCGTTTAACGGTCAGACAGGTGGCTGAAGAGCTTAATTTGGGCAAAACCGTGGTCCACGAAATTCTAAGAAACGAACTTCAAATGAAAAAAATTTGCGCCAAGATCGTTCCGTGAGTTTTTGAGTAAAAATTCCATTACGGTGACCGAACACCCCCCTATTCGCCGGATTTGGCCCCGTGTGACTTCTTCTTGTTCCCAAAAACCAAATTGGTACTTCGGGGGCGGCATTTGGGGGACATAAATGAGATAAAAAAAGCTACGACGGGGCAGCTGAGAAACCTACAACCAGAGGACTTTCAAGGAGCCTTCTCACAGTGGAAACGGCGTTGGCACAAGTGCATTATGTCACAGGGGGAGTACTTTGAAGGGGATAAAATTGATTTACCTGAATAATTGTAAAATAAAATTTTTAAAAAACTTTTATACGTACTTTCCGGACAAACCTCGTATACAATGGTGAGGATAAATGCAGACCAATTTTGTTAACATTAATTACATATGTATTATGATTTTTTTTACCTAACCTCACGTGCGGGGGGGGGGAAGGGATTGTTAGCAATGGAGTTTGACAGCCCCATTGCTAGCAATATGCCCGATTAGGTCGACCTCCACGTGGTTCCCCCTGGAAACCATCGTGAACAATTCTTGTTGAATTCGTCATGATGGGCTAACTGATCTGCTTCATCCTCACCTATCATCCTTCACTGGTGCCCCGCCGGTGTATACCAATAGCGCGGGTGGGGTTACCATTCCATTATCACCCATTAAAAAAAACCTCACGTGCTATCGTGTGTGTGCGTGCATAAGTGTGTATGTGTGAGTGCATGTATGAGTGTGTGTGCAGGACAAGATTACTTTGATGGGAATTTTTATTATAACGTAGAGTAACAAATGAACTATGACTAAGATACATATTCTGCCTTCATAATATTTATTTATTTATTAAACTTTAATACACTTAGAAAGTGTAAATGGCGGATTTAACACCATATGGTAATAATATGTCATTCAAATTTGGCTTTCATGGCCAAATAGTTGGACATAGCAAGCACACGTTGAGTGAATTATTGTAAAGTAGTTAAAGCAAACATGACTGCAAAGTATTATTGCAATTTTTTCAAACAGCAAGAAACAGCCAGCAGTCTGAAAGACCACTTAAAGGAAATGATAACTGTACAGGCATAAATAACACAGTGAATATTACAGAATAAATTGTAATGTCACATTACAATTGGCATTAATACTCAGTTTCAGATTAATAAAAACATATAGCACGACCATAAAGCGCTCCCCCTTGACATAAGATCTAATTTCCATAGATATACCATCTCATCTAATCTATATATATATATATATATATATATATATATATATATATATATATATATATATATGGTAATAATATATGGTAACAGACTTACCTAAGTCATCCATTTTCGAAATACATTTCAATTTGGATCCTAACCTTGAACTGTCAGATTCAATCTCCGTTTTATTATCTTCTGTTGTCTTCTCAATGATTTCCTCTCTTATCTCCTTCTTCAGTGAATTCAATTTCAATTGTAGCTTGTAGAAAGATCTACCCACTACACTTTTGTACCTGTACATTAATAATTTCAGTCTATTTGATATTTTCGGATACTTCTGCACATTTTTACAATAACACACTTTTCTTCTTTCATTACTTTTAAAATAATCCGTTATGAACGTCTGCCTCTGTTTACAGATTTTTCTTAATAATATACAACATTTACAATGTTCTTCGAGTGGTATTACATCCTTTTTAATAGGAACAGGTTTTGTAATTGAGTCTTGCGGTTGGACAACCGAAGTGATGGGTGTAATTGTAGAATTTACTGTAGTGGTTGTTAAGGACAGTGGTATTAGCTTAGCTCCGGTGCTTGTTTCGACTAATGTGAATATGTTTGCGGACACTGGGGGGAGCATGTTGACGCTTACAACAGGCTGGGGTTGACTGATCTTGGCCGGTTCAACCACGAAGATTTGTGTTGGACGATTTTGATTCTGATCGGGTTTCGGCTCGTTCTCTTGCGTATCTGGTTTTCCAGGAAACACAAAACGTACGGGCACGCCTTCTGGTTCGGGTTGTACCAGTTGTTTCTTTTTCGCCCGGTATAGGTGTGTCTGTAATAATAGTTTTAATTAAATCAATAGAGCCAGCGCCATCTAGCCAAATTAAAGCTAGTGCCACATTCAGTGTATCTTTAGTCGCCAATCAGCGGCAACGGAACGCGAATACACCAAGTTGCATACAATCTTCACATTTTTCATTCTCGCTATGCGAAAGGACGACCCCCCCCCCCCCACTAGATGGAGTGACGACCTCAAATGCATTGTAGGTAGTCAGTGGATATAGGTGGCTCAGAACTATTCCTTACGGCAGTTTATGGGGAAGGCCTATGTCCAGCAGTGGACGGATAATGGCTGAAATGACGATGATAGAGAAGGCATAATCATTACGTTATCGAAGATCGGAAGATACACTAAATGTGACATTAACTTAAGCAGTGTATACTGTGGATACTAGATAACCGATGAAAATTAGTGCAATCTATAGGATCATAAACGAACTAACAGATATATATATATTGGCATTATTGCATGGATTACATCTCCGTATGCGTTTAAAAACAGAATTTTCATCATGCCTCCGATCAAACTGTTTATAACTCCTCTCCATACAAAGATTGCCTGGGAGAGGTCACTTTTAGTGATAAGATTTCTTGTAATTGTTTGAATCTATAATACGTTTACTATTGTAATATTTTGGGGGAAACAATAAATAGTATCTATCTATGTAAATGCCTGTGTACCCACCCTGAACCTACTGTTGTTCTTGGCGAGGTACCGGACCCATACTCTCGGGACCTCATGCTCAGGTTGCTCGTACAGCGTGCGCTGAGGATCGAACGGCAGCAGTTTGTGTTCCACTGGCTTCACTTCACGAGTCTTGAAATATCTCTAAACAAGGAATAATAAATATACATATTTTTTTTATGTAACTTAGAATGACAAACAAGCTAATAGAAAGTGGTAACCGTCGCCTATAGACATGAGCAGTACCATGGACACAACAAAGTATACTGTTTCATCCATGATACCCCCCATGTGTTGCCATTCCTGAGGACTCAGGTGTTATTCTCTGTACCCTGTAAATTCACTGCCATATCCCACCCTTCAAACCGAAACACAGCCGTGCAAAGACAACTGCCTCACGGTAGTAATACGAATGGGACCAAGGTGCCCAAGCAAACGACTTTTGTACAAAGTTTCCCTCTGGTATACATATAGTATTCATTGCACTGGTAAATTACATTGTTAATGCATTTATAAATATGATGTGTATAGTGCGCGGCGACAGCCAGGCGATCACGTGCTGCGACACTAGCGCCACCACCGACAGAATGATAGGTAGCAGGTATACTGACATAGATGGGGTTGGTGCCGAGCCGGTCGCGGCGGCAGTGCGATATGTGCGAGTGTATGATGCGCGGCGACAGCCAGGTGAACACGTGCTGCGACATTAGCGCCACCGCCGCTGACAGCCCCCAACGGCCATGCCAGTGCGATGGCCGTTTGAACAGCAACGGATTGTCCTCCACGTATGACCAAAACTGGTCCAGCGTGAGCGCCATCAGCCTGATAACAAGTTTGTGTTCGTTACGCTCATTATTTGTACAACACACTATATTTTTTTTAGAACTCTATACCAGGGGTTCCTAAACTGTTAAGATAATGGAATACCCACCAAAAACCTTTTATGGAACCCCATTTTAAATTATTACCAATCAAAGACCCTGTAATTTAAATAAGAACAAAAGCTTTTATTAGAAATATTTTAAAAGTACAACACTTTATAATTTCCTTTAATTTTTAATGTGTAGAATGAAATTGTTTCACTGTATAAATAGTTGTACGTAACCCCTAGGTTCCGCGGAACCCACTTTAGGAATCGCTGTGCTGTACCATACAACGGTACCCACAGTTTTCTTATTATCTCAGTGAGTATTCTTAGAGTATTATTTCTTCATCCTTCAGTTTCATTCTCTGCTGTTGTGTGTGTGTTTTTAAGTATGTTTACGTATATATTAGTTTATATATAATAGTGCGCTACCTACCGTTTGTCTTTTTTAATTTTCTCAATGTTCTCTATTCAAAGGTTGTCTGGAAGATATTGCTTAGCGATAAGGCCTTATTTTGTATCATTTCTCATTAAAATTAACTGTATTTACTATTTTATAAATGGTGCAACAAAGTGTAAAATAAAATAGTGCACTCACTCGTCTTCATGTTGCATGTAGCTGTATCTCCGGGTGAGGTCGAGCCGGTAGGGCACGGGCGGCAACAGGTGCGGGTACACGAACACCGTACTGTTGGCCACCACCTCCTTCATCGTCGGGTGGAAGTCGCCCACGTACATGTTGTTCTGGATCAGCCGCCGCCGGCTAAGTGTAATGAAATTAACTCTTTTTTAATATAACTTAACCGCTTAATGCACACCTCCGTGACATATACAGGCAACGTTTACCGGCAGAATTGTACAGCTCCGTATGGATCACGGTTAATATAAAAATAGAATTTTTCAAATATTTTAAGCCCGTATCTATCACGTTGGATGATAGATTATTGCCATTCTCGGAATTTGCGTTTGTTAATTAAAATAAGCATAAATAATAATTATTTGCGAAAAAAAAAAATGATTTTTTTGTACCTAAATTGATTAAAAAATGTGCTTTAAGGGGGTTAATAAATAATCTAAATTGATCTATAATCCAATCATAAGAGAGCTTGCAGATTGCCAATAGTATTTAATCATCATCATGATTATATCATCTGTTCACTTTCCACTAAGATTAAGATAGGCTTTCTTCATAAGGGGTGGGGGTTAGGGGTTAGGTTTGCCAGTAGTTGCCACGCTTGACAGACGAATTAGCAACCGCAGATAGACTTTATTATATCTTAGATGAATAAAACTCTACCTTACCTTCTCTCACCTTCCTCTTGTATAAATCTGAAAAAAAAAAACAATTGTGATTAATTATTATATATATATTAGTACGTAATTATTACATATATTAACTATATTGTGATTGATTGTAACTTTGTAGTTTTATTTTTATTTTTATAAATACGATGTGTACGATAGTCATTTTACTCATTCATATTTTTTTTTGTTATAAACTTACATTTGAAAAAAAAAAGCTGTGTTTCTTGGCCGTTCTTCTCAGCTGAAACTGCATTCTGAACTGGGCGATAGTTTTATCAAAAAATGACTACTCAAAAATGCTTATTATTAAGTTTACTCGAACTAAAATTATTTATTACTTTATACAAAAGTCGATTGCTTGGGTACCTCTGTCCCATTCGTGTTTCTATCGTGAAGCAGTTGTGTTTGCATGGCTGTGTTTCGGTTTGAAGGGTGGGATATGGCGTGAATTTACAGGGTACAGAGGAATAACACCTGAGTCCTCAGGAATGGCAACGCATGGGAGGTATCATGGGCGAAACAGTATACTCTGTTATGTCCATGGTACTGCTTATACCTATAGGCGATGGTTACCACTTTCCATCAGGTGGGCCGTCAGCTTGTTTGCCATTCTAAGTCGTATAAACATATATAAACTCTAAAAACATTAAGAGTGTGTATGTTTTTAGGGGTTTTTTTTGGACAATATTGTAAAAATATACATACTTGACCATAGCGGCGTTTGCGGGCGTGTCCTTAGAGACGGTTTGTTCCCAAATTCGGATCAGTTCCACTGCCGGCTTCAAGTTGCACACGTTCACTACTGACTTTGGGTTTGATTCTCCTATTGAGTATAAGGTTTCCTGTTGGAATGATAAAATATAAGGAAGGATTATTTCTCATCGTTACCTTATTCTAACATACATATAATATAAAAAGATTTTGTTAAAAAAAATTAAGTTCAATTCACAACAGGCACAACCAGTTATTTTAATTTCAAAACTAAAATACTGAACCGATTTTGATAAAATTCTTTCAAGTAAAAAAAAAAAAGATTTTTTCATATTGGTTTACAACTGACGTAGTTACGAGGTAAAAAGCACAAAAATAGAAATACAACCACATTAAGAATCTCCTTTTAAGTCGGTTGCAAACAAGCTATAAACCAATTTTAGTCTTCTATTCTTATATTCTATTTTGTCTTCTCTGCAATTTAAGATAAACATGGAAATAAACGTTTTTAATACAAAGAATCATCGATATCGACTGTAACTAATTATGACATATCGTAACATACAACACAAGTAAAAATGTGCTTAAAAGAAAACCAGGAATATCAAGAAAGAATCCTAATCTGCAAAAAAATTGAGACTATGAATCCCATTGCTAATAATATACCCAACCAGGTCGACCTCCACGCGGTCCTTCTTGGAAACTATATATTTTTTTAATTATGGCTCCATCGGAGATCCAATGACTTTGCCAATGTCAAGATTAGAAGACATACTGCAATTTTATCGGTGATGCGATAAAATAATTCCTGATGAACTCATCATCATCATCAACTGGTCTGTTTTGATTCTCATTTATCACCCTTCATTGGCGTCCCCTCAGCGTATACCATTAGCACAGGCGGGGATGCCATTCCATTATCCACCATAAAAAAAAAATCTATTCACAGCAGATTTGTAAAAAAAAAACGTAAATACTAACCTATGAACTTACCAAAAACTCTTTGTATGTGGGTCCGAAAGTCCAATGCGCTGGATGTATGAAAAGTTGGAGGAAGTTCGATGTGGCCAGTTGAATGTGCATGCGGAGTTGCTGTTGCAGTATCAAGATTTGTTCGGGCAGTATCTGAAATATAATATTAAAACTTTCATTATGTCTACAAAAAAAAAAAATGCAGTCATTCAACATATATAATCATTAAAGGGCGGTCGTCCTGCACATACAAATATTTTTTTTCGTAAATCATCAGACTATAGTTGCCTTGTGTATGTAAATAATGATACAGTGATAAGTGTACGTACATAAATCCCGTCAATCGCGTATGTAAATCATCAGATAACGGTTGCTTTGAATGTGTAAATCATGAGAGAGCGATCACCCCTCGTGTGTAAATCATGAGAGAGCGATCACCCTTCGTGTGTAAATCATGAGAGAGCGATCACACCTCGTGTGTAAATCATGAGAGAGCGATCACCCTCGTGTGTAAATCATGAGACAGCGATCACCCCGCCTGTGTAAATCATGGAGGAGCGATTTTTATACATGCGGACGGGTATAGGTGATATTGAAATTGATAATGACCTTTTTTTCACTATCAATGTCAAGAGGAACCCACTTATAGATATCAAAGCTTTAGCGATATTATACATCCCTAAACAATTAACTTTAATTAATTTATTACATTAGATGCTATAACAAGTCCCGTGTATTTACTTACGACGCGGCATTCGGCCTGGTTAACGAGCACTGTGCGCGGCGGACTGAGGGCGGCTCGCACGGCCGGCGGCGGGTCGGGCACCGTCGGTGGGGGCAGCACCGACACCGATTGCTCCAACACTGCTATCTTCACCACCGGTTTACTGTTAACCAATCATAAATGGTGCAACTGTATAAAAGCTAATCCATCTTCCTACCCTTATCCCAATTATTATTTGGGGTCGGCGTAACATGTTTTTTATCCATATTACAAAAAGATTAGGCTTATAGTTTTAACTAGCCGCCTGCCTGACGTCAACCCTCTTTAGGGATTGAATAAGAGCTAATATCGTAATTAATAAAAAGGTCCTACAAAATACCTCAATGTTTGAAGATGAAGATTTTTAACCAGTGATAACGGCTGATTTGATAATGAATTGAAAAGTGAAGAAAAATAATGCTACTAATATTACAAATGTAAATGTTTGTAAAAATAAATAAATAAATTATATTTATTATATATATAGTAATAAATACAGCACAATCACTCCACCTGATCTTGAATCTAGGGTACCCTGTGTTATGAGAAATCAGGCAATGAACATTTGGGGCACATTCAAAACACCTAGACCTGAATCAATTTAGTAAACTTCGTTTCTTAAATTAGTCCGACCAGGAATCGAACCATAGACTTCATTTACGCAAAGCAACGGGCCACAACTGCGCCATGTAAATTATCGTAATGAAATTAAAATGTTTGTACTATTGTTACTCAATCACGTTTAAACGACCGAATGGATTTGAATGAAATTTGATACTAATAATGATAAGCTATAATCCTAACTTAACACGTAAGATATTTTATAAACTTATTCGTGTGAGCAAAGTCGCGGAAACAACTAGTATACTGGAGGAAATTTAATCCTAATATATAGTGTAAATGAAAAGATATTACAATATGAAATCTAGAGATAGTACTTATTGTGGGATATGTAGCGATAGATATACAGGGTAACACCGAGAGAGTGTACTATCAGTGAAACTGAATTTCCCCAAAGAAACTTAGTTCAAAAAAGGAAGAATAATTTTGCATTTTCTACACTAATACAGTTTGTCTCTAGCTTTCTTTGTTTGTCCTTTTTTTTACATATTTCTCTAAGGGAAATGTTTAGTTTCACTCGTCACTGTAGTAGTAAAAAATACCAACTGGACTTGTGATTGTTGCACGCTATCCTGATTCACCTCTTGACTTGGACAAGAAGCATTTATATTCTCTTCGTTGCTCTCTTCATATTCTGGATTATCTTCTGGCTCAATTTTCCCAATAGACAATTTTGTGTGACTCCCTTTTTCGAATGTGATCCTGTCTGACACGTTCTTTGCTGGCTGTACTTTCTGTGATTCGTTATCGTTATCTGATAACGGTTCCTGTTTGCCTTCCCAAGTGGTGGGTACCTAATAAAAAAAAAAGCAATTTAGTTGATAAATGTTTAGAAGTAATTTTAAATTTTCACATTTCGAACCACATATATAACGTCATTTATCGATAATAATTGTAATACGTTACAGTAGTACGGTACTAGGTGGCGTTGTAAATGTAAAAAAAAAAATAAGCATAACACGATGACACAGGGATGGAAAGACTAAATCCTAAAGTTTCTTATTAAAAAAAACATGATTATTGACTTCCCGTGAACAATCATAATAGTTCTGTTGAAACGTCCAAAAAAATAAATCCTTTTTGCGTATTGTTAGCTTTTTTTTTTTAAATGGTAACAAAGTTATCCTTTTGATAATTAAATACCCATTTGCATACTAAAATTTGTCCTGATGAATCGGTTGTCAACCGGTTAGTGGAAGAAATTCTTCAATTAATCATTTTTTAGCATTTATTTATTTGTTATTAAAAGATACAATGTTACAAACAATCAATCTTACACAATAGGTGTAAGATTCTGTTTCTTTTGTTAACTGACTTTTAATTGTTCATATTGTGCGCCGGAATTTTGGGATAAATTTCATAGTAGTTAAATAATACCTTTGGCTGATCATTTGCGGTCAGTTCGTTGGCCATGTTTACAGCAAGCTCATCATCTGTAGTCGCCTCTGGCATGATATAGAACAACTCTGTCACAAGATCGCTCAACTCTTTCTTAGATATCTTTATAATACTCTCCAGGGCTTCTTCATCTTCGTCGGCTGCAAAGAAAATAAGATTTTTACTATTTATCAAGTTCAAATCATCTTTATTCAAATAGTTGTTTATTTACCAGCACTTTTAAATTGTCATTTTTTATGATTTTAGGGTTCGAAAAGATTTTTTTTTTATTTTAGTGATTATTTTATTTTAATCTGGAATCAACATATTATAACTAGAATTATTGAAATTACAAATTACCAATTTCTATACTAAACAATAATTAAAGATTTACTTTAAGGAAATATTAAAACAGGCATTAGAAAATCAGTTCTTACGTGCATCAGGGTCCGCAGCAACATTATACTCTGGATCAGCTTCGTCATCATCTTCATGTTTGCTACTGGGCGCGGGGTTCAGGCACTCCTCCAAGAACTTGTTCCAGAGGTCGTCGACCGCTGGCATGGGCAAGTCGTCGGGCGGCACAAACGAACTCTCTATATGCTCTATTGGTGTTTCAGAGAGACTCAGCTTTGAGCGGGTCCGAAGCGCTATGGTGGCTTCTTCTTCCATATCTAATTTTCTTTTGGCTGCTATTGAAACATTTGCCTGGAAGATTTTTATGTATAATTTAAAATTGTAAAATGGTCCACCTGATAGATAGTGGCAACCATCGCCTACAGTTACAACAGCATGGACATCTTAATGCACTGTGTATGTATAGTATAGTAGAAATCATAGCTACATTTAATTCATTATCATTCAGTGATATTCACTAAATGATAATTATTTTTAGTATTTCACTGTGACTTCACTATGAATAAAAATATACAGTTAAGATTTGTGTTAAACACTAGTTGGATATACCTGAGGCACTTTGAACGGACCATCCTTGACGACTTTGGGGCTTGCTGTGGCTTGTGTTTTAGGTGTAGCTGGCGTACGAGGCTGGGAGTCCAGGTCACTACAAGACTCCAATGTTTGATCGTCATCACTCTGAAATTAAAATAAAATATGTCTAGAATATTATTAAGTTTACTGTGAGATTGTTATCCTAGCTCTATAAGAGAGTCTGGTCACTTCACAAAACTTTCATCCCTGTCTTGGATCTTGGCATCATACTTGACAAATTTCTACATATAATAGAATCTAGATGTAACAAAAATACCACCAACACTGTAGTACAAACATTCTAGATGCGAGCTGTTAAAAAAAAATAGTGCCATAAGACAAAGGTATAAAAGATGAACAACTTCCATACAAAAATGTAATAAGTTGAGGAACACTAATGAGGGATGATAGCTGAGGATGAAAGCAGGTCTGCTAGCCCATTGTGACAAATTCTACAAGAATTAACCATGATGGTTTCCACGTGAAACTACATAAAAGTCAACCTGATTAGGTATATTGTTAGCAATACTTTAAGGTACCTACTTATTACTAACAATACCATCCCCCCCCCCAGTAGGAAGGATTTTTTAATGGGTAAAAATGAAGGTAACCCTGTCTGCACTATTGGTATATGCTGTGAGAAATGATAGGTAAGGTAGAAAGCAGGTCAGTTAGCCCATTGCAATGAATTCCACAAGAATTAATCACAATGGATTTTAGGAGTAATCCTATGGAGGTTGACCTGATAGGGTATCTAACTAACAATGAAGCTATTAGACCCCATCTATACTTATAATAAATGTGTAGAGAGGTCAATTCTGTACATGCAATATATTTCCAAAATAACTATTAGGGGGTGATTAGTGATCGATACTGATGCCAAAAATGCAATCAGTAAAATTTTTGTCTGTCTGTCTGTATGTTTGTTATAGAAACAAAAAGTACTCGATGGATTTGAACGAAACTTGGTACAATTATTCTTCATACTCCTGGGCAGGTTTTACTATACTTTTCATCACGCTGCGATCAATAGGAGCAGAGCAGTGAAGGGAAATATTAAAAATGTTCACGCCGGGACAGGCCGCTAGTTACTAATAATTTTTTTCTTCTAAGCTAGTAGAAAATAATCTACATAATACTACTTGTTGTATGAGCCTGGCATGGAATGTCCCACCATTTCTTTTCCCGTGGATATTGTAAGAGGCGACTAAAAGAACTTAATGGTTGCGGGGCAACAGGGTCCTTCTTAAAATATCACCGAAACCTAACTGCGATTGCCAACCTGCCTGCTAAACATGGGCAGATTGGCAACTACTGACAAAACACTCTATTAAGGGAAGGACTATGTTTAGCAATGGACAGTTAAGTAATGAATGAATGAATACTAACTGGTACGTCATCATGTGTTGGTTCATATTCTTCATCATCCTCATCTTCGGGCAGCTCCTGTGCAATGAGTGCCTTCACTTCAGGCCTGGTTTTCACTGGTATAAGCTTGATGGGCGTGAGCTCTAGGTTCTCCAAATTCCATGTTGATTTTTGAGATACTTTCTTCAGCTCCCTGGTTGATACAAATTAATGATAAAAACAAGAGGAAATTAATTAATAATTATCCACAAATGGATTTATTATATTGTTTCTGATGAAGAGTTTCACAGGAAAGTATAAACTGTAATGGATACGATATAATCATTACATATTATAAAACAAAAAGCTCCGGCGCGTTATTTTTTCATGCTGTTTTCGTCAATGAATAGAGTGATTCTCGAAGGTTTTAGATTATAATTTGTTAAATTTGTGTATATATTGACTAAAATATAACGATATTTGTTGGAGTTTGGGAGCTTTCAACGAAAACGCTGCTTAAACCCTTTCGAGATATAACAAAGTAATTTTAATACTTTGATAAATGGGCAATTATAAAGTGGTAATTGGAAAACTATTTACACAAATACGATATTAATAATTGGGGGGAAAGGGATTGTTAGTAATGGAGACTGAGAATCCCATTGCTAGCAATATACCCAACTAGGTCGACCTCCTCGCGGTTCTCCCTGGAAACTATCATGATTAATTCCTGATGAATTCATCATGATGGGCTAACTGGCCTGTTTTCATTCTCATCTATCACCCTTCACTGGTGCTCCGCCAGTGTATCCCGTTAGCGCAGGCGGGGTTACCATACCATTTTCACTCATCAAAAAAAAAATACGATATTAATGTTTATTATTTTAAATACGTTAGTTGGCTTGAGCATTACATGAAGATTATTTTTTCCCTTTACACCATGCAAATTAAATGAATACCTTAGGAGATATAATAAAATCAAAATATTCCGCAACTATATTAATTTCGTGTCGCCGTGATTAGACCGGGCCGTGTGCCTCGTGACCCTGCGGCTAGCGTACGAGCCGAGGGAGGGATGGAGGGGGGAGGACCGAAAGCTTAGGTAGTATCGATGTAAATTAATATTATGTATAATGAGGAAAGATGATTGATTTTTGTTTGTTACGATTTAACTCAAAAACTACTTAACCAATTTTACCAAATGCTAAATCTCCTCGGAGTAACATTGGCTATTTTACAGTTACTGTAAAGAACCCGTGAGAAGCCGGGGCGGGTTGCTAGTGTAATAAATATTACAATTAATATTCACCGCCCTCATACTTACTTAACTTTGGATCTGGTCAGTTTTGGCGCATGACCGCTCTCTTCATTGCCCGAGTCCTCTTCCTCTTCACGTAACTTCACAAGTGCCAATACATGGTCATTTGTCACCACTTTCTGTCAAAGGACAAATACCATTAGATATAGTGATAGAACAGTGATAGACGATTACCCTGTAAGAGTGATAACAGTTATGAGTATTTTCTTATTCTATATCATTCTATGAATTACATTGTAACAAATAACAATTTCCTGTTGTTGCAAATGATAAAAAATAATATTTGTATAGTAAAATATTTATTGTACATATATAAAGTATGTTATTTATTTTTTATTTATTTATTTAACACTTTATTGTACCAAGATTACAGAATTTTTTGAACAATTTTCGATAAGTATACTATAGTACAAAAGGTGGTCTTATTGCTAAGCAATCTCTTCCAGACAACCTTTGAGTAGAAAGAAGAAATAGGTAGGTGGCGTGTTATTGTATTGGACACATTAAAAAGATTTAGTATACAATGTTGGACTTATCCCTAAGATTTCTTACAGTCAACCTTTGAGATGCTAAAAGAAATTAGCTAGGGATTAAAATTAATAATACTTAGTTAAAATAAAACACATGTACAATATGTAATTGTATACACCTACATACATAAATACATACAATAGAGTGGCTCAATTAAATTAGATATTTTTTATCGATTGGAAATAAATATTACTAATAGTAGGCTAAATATTATCATTATTTATTTGTAGGAATTTCTCTTATGAGGAGAGTACTACAACCAGCAGTAGAACAAGTACTGGGTTGTGATGAGAAGCTATGGATTAATGTATTTTTAAACAATATCATAAGGTTCAAATTATTTTATGATACTAAGAATCGCAAGGGAGGTGGCAAGCCATCTGAAGAAAAACGATAACCATTGCCTATATATAAATTGGATCAGCTTCAAAATAATTTCAATATACTTATAAATAATTACTAGTTTGTTAGTTGTAACTTTGTCCATGTAACAAGGATATGTTGATTGACTAGAATATTCATGATAATTAACACTCTTTGTTGTCATTACAAACAAATAATTAAAAAGAATAATTAATAATATATGTGAAGTATAATAGCTAAAATGTGACTTTTTCTTCTCCATCCCAAAGTTAACAAATAAAATTAAATTTCATGACCATGAAATTTATGTAAAACAATCTGATTTATATTATAATAATGATGTAGAGGACCCGGACGGGGAACTCACCAGTTTAGATTCTTCACAAGTCCTGAGGCCAAGCTGGGTGTGGGTTGTTGCGTGTTTAGAGGTAAAAAGTAACTTATTTAAATTATATACACGGAAGAGGGTATCACGATATACACAAACACAGTTATTGACGATACTGCAGCAGAGTCCTTATTCGACATCAGGTACGAATAAGCGCATGTGCATGGTAAGCCGCAGACAGGACAACTGAATGTCTGGGTGCGGCGGTATCGATATGGGAAGCATGTTAACTAGTGATGGTATCAAACTCAACTGTTATAATAACATGTAAACAGCTCAATGACTTACTTTTAAAATCTTTCTAACACTGGTATCATCTAAGTTATTCTTGATAGCTGATGCATGCACATTCTTTTCCACCTCCAGTGTATTATCTGGTAGGACATCTTCAATATCTGAACTACTTTGGCTGTATATCCTAAAAAAAAAGTTCAAAGTCACAACAAGTCTTAATCACATTGATTATGTGAGATGCCACAACCCTTGAGGTTCACAAGGCAGCCCTTTATTTTAATGGATGTATTATATATCAAATAAGGAATAACACAAATTAATCATGTTTTTTTATTGAGAATGGCTTATTACAATTGATGATCGGTTATATGTTAGTACCCTACATAATAATAGCTTTTTCCATAAAAAGTTATAACAGTGAGGGTGGTTCTAGAAAAACTCTGACACATTGAATTATTGATATACCACATGATAACAGATTGGTAACCCCAGCAGCATTAAGGGTATTTGCTGATGGGGCACCAGTAAAAGACAATAGGTGAGAATGAAAAAGCAGGTTAATTAGCCCTTTGTGATGAATATTTCTAGAATTCCACATGATGATTTTAAGGGAAACCACATGAAGGTCCACCTAAAAGGGATTATTGCTGGTAATGTGACTGGTAGTCTGCATTGCAGGTCAGCTAGCAGCGGGGCACCGGTATGCCTAGACGTAAACTTATCACACCCAGAACAACACCTTAATAGTGATGAATGAAACGGCTATTTGAAGTATCTTGATGAGATAGTGAGGCAGGAGTACTAGTTTGCTTCTACTTCTTCGGAGGATTACTCTTGCTATTATTGCTTAAGGGAGGTGCCAAATAACACAATCTGCACTATATTTATATGTATGGACTATGACTGGCCAGCAGACCAGTCGCAAAGTAGCAACCTCACTTCCTCTATCTCACACTATTTTTTTTTTCTATTTTATCAAAAATGGTACAGTGAACAATAAGATGTTTAATTTTGAATATAAACTATATGCCTATTTTCTATTTATTCAATACTATCAGAGTACTATTTTGTGTTATTTACAATCCTATCAACACAAAAATTACTATGTATCTATTGCCCTACCTACCTAAGTTTTTACTTTTAATTAAACACACGTATTCAATAATTTAAATGCTAGAGGCTGTGGTCATTAAATTATGTTAATCAATGATATGGTAACAAAAACTTAGCCAATAATAAAAAAAAAATAAAGTATAAGTAAACTGATCAATAGCTAAAAGATTAGAGTCACATACAAACCTTTTACGTTTTCTTCCACGAGTTTTTGGTTTTATTTTCGGCATATTGGGAATCTCTTTATCTGTTTCGACTGTGGCAGTCTCAACAGATTTAATTTTCTCCATTATTTATTTATAAAACTGCAATGTTAAGATACATCACTATTAATAAATTTACAAAATAAAATAATAAATAACTACCTATAGGTATTAATAAAAATCATATCGACATTTTTTATTTAAATCCAAAAGCAGAAGTGACAACTTACCGCTATAAGTGACTGCTTGTTGATGTCAATGTCATCATCAAACAAAAATATCAACCACAGAGCAACTAAAATTTATATTATTAGCCATTTCTGATTACAGACAATATTGATTTTTTTTTTAATTCCTTGTTTTTAGTTCACAGTTGGTACCTATAAAAAAAAGAACAATCTATTCTGAAATCCTTAGTAGTTACCTGACAACAAAAAACCTATAACTAAAAAACCTAGATTAAGATCATTAACTCAGATTAGTCACAAAGACAAAAATTTTGTTAAAAGGTAAAAACCTAAAAGGTGACAGTTAAGAACATAGTACAACGTAATTAATAATTCTTAATAGAGTAAGGAGGTTCATAGTTCCTACTGCTTTAGACCGATTTACGTGACTGGATCTAAGAACAAGGAATTATTAAAAATCTTATATGGCTGTATAACATTTTCTATACACTAGCCTGCTATAAATTGAGAAAAATAGCAACTGATGAAGTACCTTTCGTCCTTTTTTTATTAATTATATTTGCATCAGAAAAAAGGAGGCAACCATTGTATCATTCCTTCTATGTAATTCCTTGTTCTTAGGATTGGGTATACATTTTAATAGTTCTTTACTACTGGGATGACTTATGTAAATTTTATTGAAATTTACCAGAGGGAGACTTTGTACGAAAGTCGATTGCGTGGGTACCTCTGTCCCATTCGTGTTTCAACCGTGAAGCAGTTGTGTTTGCATGGCTGTGTTTCGGTTTGAAGGGTGGGATATGGCGTGAATTTACTGGGTACAGAGGAATAACACCTGAGTCCTCAGGAATGGCAACGCATGGGGGGTATCATGGGCGAAACAGTATACTCTATTATGTCCATGGTACTGCTCATGGTCTATGCGTTAGGCGACGGGTAACACATTCTATCAGGGGGACCGGCACCGTGTTTTGCATATTAATATTGTATAAAAAAAAAAAAAAAAATTGAAATACTAACGTCTCGTCCCGCCTTCATACGGGTGAAAATTTTTAATATAGTTTACATTTTTATCTGATCCTACCTAGTTACCTACTGGGGGGAAAGGGATGGTCAGTATGAGATTTAACAATCTTATTACTGATAATATTCCCTAACAGGTCGACCTCCACGTGTTTCCCCCTGGAAACCATCGTGGTTAATTTTAGTTGAATTCATCACGATGGGCAAATTGACCTGCTTCATCCTCACCTGTCATCTCTCACTGGTGCCTCGCTATTGTATACCAATAGCACAGGTGGGGTTACCATTCCATTTTCATCCATTGACTACCTAGCTACTTATTACTTTTATCTTACTTATGATAAGGATTAATAAATAGGTATGAATAACATGTACAAAGCAACAGCATTATTTGTTTTATTTCTATGACTTATTATTCATAGAAAACTTCATTCCATCAAGTTTTGATCTGGGGTGAACAAAATCTTGCCCAATTTAACCCTAAGAAGACACAAGTCTGCGCGTTCACCGCAAAAAAGACGCCGTTTGTCGTATCTCCTCACTTTCAGGGCACTTTCCTTGATTAAAAAGTTGAGTCTAGGAGTTCTGGGCGTTGATATATCTTGCGACGTCTAATTTTGCGGTCATCTGGAGGAGAAGACTAAGATAGCTTCCAAAGTTAGGAGTGCTCAATAGGGTGAGAACGTATTTCATGCCGGAACACCGCCTGAAATTATATAAAGTTGAAGTTAGGCTGCATATGGAATACTGTTTTCACCTATGGGCAGGAGCACCACAGTACCAACTTCTTCCGTTAGACCGCATTCAAAATCTGGCGGCTCGAATTATTGATAGTCAGCACCTTACTGTCTGACTTGACCCACTGATATTGCGCAGAGATGTTGCATTTCTGTGCATCTTCTACCGAATTTATCATGGGGAGTGTTCTGAGGAATTGTTCGGATTGACGGACCTGCTGCTGATTTTCACCACCGTACAACCCGCCACAAACTAAAGTTTCATCTTAATCATCTGGACGAGTGGCGGTCTTCCACCGTGCGTTTTTCAAGGCACTTTCTTCCACGCACAACCATTCTTTGAAATCAACTTCCAGCAGCAGTATTTGCGAACCGATACAACATAACCTTTAAGAAAAGAGTATATTCCTTTTTAAAAGGCTGGCAGCACGCCTGCAATGCCGCTGGTGTTGTGGGTGATCATACGCGGCGGTAGTTACTTACCATCAGGTGAGCCGCATGCTCGTTGGCCCCTGTTGTAAAAAAAATTGTGACAATTATAATAGTTGGACATATAGTATCGCGAAGTTTTTTTGTTGTTATTGATATTTTCTTCAATATTGTAGAACATACTTTTGTTCTATCACCAATAGTTTCCGCAGCACACGCGAGCTAAGATATTTTACATTACTAAAATTTTAGTAAAGATCCCTAATCTTTTCTAGCAATATAGCCTATGTTACTCTGGGTAAATGTAGCTTTTCAATGGTGAAAGAATTTTTGAAATTGGCAAAGTAGTTTTTGAGTTTATTCATTACAAACATATATATACACAAAAATACAAAAAGATAGGTTCAGTTAATTTCACTTAAAATTAATTTATCGTTAATATAATATACGATACGATTCTGGCCTAATATGTATCAAGCTAAGGTATAAAGTAGATCGGCTTCAATAGCTACTAGAATGCTTTACCACTTAATTAAAAGGGCATAAAATTGAAATATATTCTTATTTTAGGGTTTGATGAGATTGACATTTAAATAGGATAAAAGTTTCTGGAAATAATAAAGACGAAAAAAAAAAAATTATATTTTCAAATCAAACAATATATAATATTATTACAGTAAATATTAAATTAAATATTAAGTTTTAATTTGATCTTTATACAATTCTGTAAGTATAATATAGCTACAATAAAATCTCACTATTAAATGCCTCTGAACTTCACAATAATATTTACAATTTCTGAGCTTTTTCATTAAATTCCTCTAGAAGTTTCTTCATATCTTCATATCCTGCTATATCTTGGGCCTGTTTTAATGGTAACCATTTCAAGTCCTGATGCTCATCAGAAAGTTGCACTTCTTTTTCTGGATTCTTTAATTTTGCTAACCAATAAACAACCACTTTTGGTTTTCCATTAACATTATAATTTAATATCTTTTTTATATCCTTATATACCTGTAATAATATAATATGAGTATCAATAATTAATTATTAATTTCTAATAAAAAAATTATTAGAAATATCATTAATTCATAAACATTTTCTAGTAATAGTTCTATGACAAGGGCAGAGATGCTCTAAATTTATTTGGACATATTGTAATATACTGAATAATACAATTGTCATTACTTCCAAATCATTTTCTGTTAAGCCAGCTTCTTCTTTAGTTTCTCTCAATGCTGTGATCCAATCTGATTCACCTGGGTCAACATGACCTGAAAATTTACATGTTAGGAAAATTGAATATGAGAAAATTGGCATGCTCAAGTTAATAACATAATGTGATCATAGTAATCTAATTAATAAGACATTATCAAGAAAAGAATCATAGAACTTAAATAGACAAAGAGAACATAATAGACTATTTGACCGGTTGCACCCATGACTGCAGCTAATAATTTTTCATCTGGTATTCAATTGTTTTCGATAACACAGTACTAGATAAAAATAAGTTTTTTTAGGGAGTTTATGAGTAATTAACAACATACTTTGTTGTCATGTGTAGATGTTATCAAATAAAGCGTTGTTTTTACATTGTCAAAAAGCTTATTATATTTTTGCAAGTAAAATTCAAAAAATCATTTATTCATGTAGGACATTTTAGCCGCTTATGAACGTCAAATTTTTACATTATAATTTTATATTTTCCCTACCGTCCAGTTCGGTATATAGATCCAATTGAGAAGAACTGGCAAGAAACTCAATTGAATTACTTTTTTTTTTTTTTAAAGCCAGTTTATTTACAATGTATATTTATATAGGTGTCTATGTCTAACATTAAATGAAAATTCAGTGCATGAACAACTATTGCCATGCACACTCGTCATTCAAGTAATCGTTTAGTGAGTAATAGGCTTTGCTCAGTAAATATGATTTAACAGATGTTTTGAATTTATTTAAGGGTAATTCCAACATATCCTTTGGTATCTTATTGTAAATTTTTATACCTATTCCCATAAAAGACCTATTAACTTTTTCTAAACGATACTTGGGGACAGCAAGTTTGTCTTTAAATCTAGTATTAATATTATGAATATTGCTGTTTTTTGGAAATAAGTCAAGATTTTTATGAACATATAGAATATTTGAATATATAAATTGAGAAGCAACGGTGAGAATATTTGCCTCTTTGAATTTCTCTCTTAATGAGTCACGACTCTTCATACAGTAGATCGCTCGAACGGCACGTTTTTGTAATATGAATATATTCTTAATATCTGCCGCTTTTCCCCATAGTAATATTCCATAAGAGAGTAAACTATGAAAATAACTAAAATAGACTAATCTAGCAGTATCAGTATCAGTGTACTGTCTAACTTTACGCACGGCAAAAGCTGCTGAACTTAGTTTCGCTGCAAGGCTTTGAATTTGTGCACCCCATTGTGTTTTATTATCTAGTGTGATTCCTAGAAAGACAGTAGATTCTATAAATTCGAGAGATTCGTCATTTAATTTAATATTGCAATTAGTATTAAAACTTTTAGATAGAGAGAAATTAACACATTTTGTTTTTTTAGCATTTAACATAAGATTGTTAGTTGTAAACCAGTGCAGGAGACGCCGCAAAGCACTATTTACATCGTCATAATTATTAGTCATTCTATTAACTTTAAAAATCAATGAAGTATCGTCTGCAAACAATACTATGCCGCATCTATCCTGCATGGCATATGGGAGATCATTAATGTAAACTAGGAATAAAAATGGACCGAGAATAGATCCTTGAGGTACACCCATTTGCACAAGTGACCCGTCAGACGTAGCATTGCTAATCTTCACTTTCTGTATTCTATCAGATAGATAAGATTTTATTAAATTTAAAGCATTGTCTTTGACGCCATAAAAAGCAAGTTTTTTTAGCAATGTATTATGATCAACGCAATCAAAAGCCTTAGAAAGGTCACAAAAAACACCTATCACATCCATTTTAGTTTCCCATGCAGCAAATATGTGTCTAAGCAACTCTGCACCTGCGTCTGTAGTTGAACGACCTTTGGAAAAACCGAATTGACTATTGTGGATTAAATTATTTAAATTGAAATAACTGACAAGTTGCATAAGGATTATTTTTTCAAAAATTTTACTGAGTGCTGGGAGTATGGATATAGGTCTATAATTTATTGGGTCACTCCTATCTCCAGATTTAAAAAGCGGTATGATTTTACTAATTACTACTATTACTAAGTACTATTAAATATTAATTTTAAAATATAATATAAATATTCTGCAAACAACTAATCATGAACTAGACATTTTATTATATTAATCAGTCATAATAATAGTGTTTCAAAAAGAAATTAGGTACCTTTTGGTGGTGTCCAGTGATGCTCGCCGTAAGACGTCTGTAATAAAAGAAATTGAACAGCTTGATTCACATTCCTGAAAATTACTATACCAGCTGCTCTTTTAGGAGACATTACTATATATGTAAAAGTAGAATAATAATATAAATCTCTTATTTTGTAATCACCGAGTTATAAATTTTAAAGAAATCGAGACAGTAAGTGACTTATACCAGATTAACAACCATAAAAAAATATAGTTTTATATCAGGGAATCGAACGTAATCGTAGGACAAATCGTTATTTTCTGTTGAAATTAATTAAATAAATAATAGTCAATAAAGAAAACAATGCTCTTTTTAAAGATAAGTCCATAGATTAGAGAGACTAAAGACCTGTCTAATCTGTAAGGTTTTTCTAAAGTGTCAGTTGATATCAAATAAATCGAAAAACTGTCGTCTATCTCCATCAGCTGTTAGTCAAGTTATTTTCGTTCTGAAATTTGCGTAAGTAGATATCAAGTATAGTAGATAGGTTTTGTAGTATCAATATTACAATTTTTTTATTTTGCGAAAAGAGCTAGACTAGAGGTGAGTAATTAATAAATATTTAACTTTGTATAGAGGTTTTTAAATTTCGAAATTATAGGGTTGGTAACAGAAGGAAACATAGTCATTGGTAACACATCTAAGTTGACATATACTGATAACAACTTAACGTCAACGGATTTTATTTATAAAACAAGAATTTAAATTGCAACGGCCGGTTATTAACCGATTAAAAGTAGAACACAATACATTAATAAATGTACTCGTATTGTTATTATGTAATTATTTGTTTATTATTTTTTTATTTATATTTCTTAAAATACTTTTACTATTAGATTGACAAGTTTGTATATTTCTCTTTCTGGATAAATAATAAATACAGGATAAATTTTGAAAATGTTACAGAAATGGAAGGATATTCTATTAAATTGGGTAAATACAGTTTCGTTTTGTATTCCGTACATATTTATTATTATTTTAAAATGTGTTTATATTTTTACTAAACATCAAAGGATGTTTTAACACTTAAGTGTTTAATACATAAACATGCTTAAAATCATTCAAATTTTAGTTACCTACTTTATCGTTAACGGCTACAAGCAAAATTTATTAAATAATAATGTTTTTATTAATTTATTTAAATATTGTAATACGCTAAGTATAACATTTTAATAATAGTGTATGTAATCCATTTAAAATAATATAAAATTTCATGGCAAATGTTCGAAGTGATACGCTAAGAGATAACAAATAAGCTTATAGTGTAAATAAAAATTAGAACATTTTTCCAGATAAATTGTTATTTCAACAAAAGTTCTAAAAAAGAGCAATGTATCAATTTGGAGTTGTTGCTAAATATAATTTCTCATTTACGAGAAAATCTCAATTTGGATGAATCTAAATCATCAGTACTGGAAGCTCATACAATTGAGGAGTTTATTCTCGAAAAGTATCCAGAATTTAAATTTGAAAATGGAACAGTTGAACCAAACAATGAGGAAGAAATTTATTTGGTTGCATCTCTATTACTTTTCTTTGTGTGCGTCATTTCCAAGGATGTGGATATAAAAAATGCAATGTGCAGTAAACTGAGTGTAGAGGACCAGGAAGTTATATTGAAATTCAGTAAATGCTTGTTAGAGTGTTCTACAATTTCTTATAGGGATGTGGAAACTGCTATTACAGGTAACTTGATTGAGAAATATATAAGTATAATCCCTAATGAGGCATTTGTAGACTGGTATCATAGTGCTAAACATAACATACTAGTACCAATATTTTGTTGAACAATTATGCTAGAATTTAAAGTAGCAGGAGCAAATAATATATATTGCCATCATTACATTTAGACTTTTTTAAAATATATTGTTCTTTATTTTTTATTATTATCATTTATTATTATCCAGAAGCATGTGGTCAGGATTTGGCGTCTGCTCAAAGCAGCCACTCCATTGTTTCGGCCACTCCACCAGCATTACGGTCTTTGCACAGTGAAGTGAGGCGACTACAGGCTGCCTTTGATGCTGAACGCTTTGACAGGAACTATCTCCAAGAGGAACTGAGTAGGACTAATATGAAGCTAGAAAAGCTTTGTAAGTTCCAATAATTAGTTTTTTCCTTTTTGTTTATTTTATAATGTTATTAGAAACTAAAAAATACTGTATTATATGTAAAATTGTTCTTTTTTTATTATTTTATATATAAAGAAGCTTGTAATATAAATATGTATATTACTTTTCTACTTCTATTGATTTCTTGTTTTGTGCGTATAGCACTCTAAGACAGCAAGAGGAGACAGGGTTTCGACTCTTACTGATGGACTGTGTTGTACACCCAAGGCCACCAGAGTGGCTCGGAATATGGTTATGGTGTGTTGTATTAAGGAAGGGGTAGGGGTCTCTGAGATGCGCTCAGGCGTAAACCTGATTGTATGCGAATGGTGTTTTGAAATTTTCGTTCTTGCCGATGAGGACTGTGTGTGTGTGGTGTGGTTAACTAATTAAGCGAAACAAGTGCTCCATGGTAGGGGGGGAGGGCATTAGTCAATATTATTGGATCGTTAGGGTCCAAGATTGCGTGCCTCGGGCGACGACGTTGGAGTAGGGAGGGGGGGGGGGGAGATCCTATACCCCAGGATATACCTATCACAGTAGATATTACTTTCTCTCTATAGGAAAGAAAACCTTCAAGAACTCTTAACCACGATTTTAGTAATGGTTATTTTTGGCATTCTATAAATATATTCTGTACCCATAATTGTGAGCTTCAACTTATTTTCTATCAACTTGAAAGAAGGAAGTTAATTTGTATTTTTTTTTGTTTGTTACCTCATAACTCCATTATTTGTAAACTGATTTGGGCAATTCTTTTTTTTTATTGAATATATGTATTTTCAGATTGCTCTTATAGAAATTATTCAAAATCTGTTTAGTAGTTTAGTTTTTAAATCAAAACAACAGGTTATATCACAATAAAGTCAGTGTCTTTTTGTGGAATTCGATTTTAAATTTTTCTACTAACATTCTACAAATTAATCAAATTATAAAATGAAATAAATTTTCACTTTTACATTTGTGATATTGGTAATGAGATTCTAATATATTGCAACCATTTTTTCAGTAAAGGACAAAGAAAAATATAAATTGGACATAGTGAATCTCAAAGCCAAGATCTCAATGTGTTGTGGACAAGAGGCAGAAGATCGAGGGGTAGATGCCACTGGCGAGGGCACCCTGAAGCTGACCAGGCAACTACAGCAAATGGAGGACAAGCTTGTAGAAACGCAGTGCCAACTTGATGATGCTCTATATGAAAGAGATACATATAAAACTAAGGTAATTATAAATAGTTTTTTTTTTAGAAGGATGGTAATCCTGTCTGTTCTATCAGTGTACGTTGGTGCCTCTCTAGTGAATGACGATACTTGAGGATGAATTCAGAGAATTAATAAGGATGAATTATGATGGTTTCTAGAGGAACCGTATGGAGCTCGCCCTAACAGGGTATATTGCTAGCAATATAAATGTTTGTCTTAGTGATAAGACCACCTTTTAGTACCTTTCATGTCTATAATTTGATTTGTACTTAACTGTATTTTAATAGAATTTTCTAATTGTCTTTGTATATTTTTATGTATAAGGTGCAATAAGGTAAATTAAATAGATCATAACATAATTAGTCTATGCAGCTTGTCCTAAATGATCGTATCTATGACCAGCAATAATTGAAATTCTTGTCCATAAAAAAACATTACTTATAAATGTTAATTAAATTTTAACTAACCATTTATATGCAAATTGGAAATGCATATCAAGCTGGTGGTCAACCTGATGCAAAGTTCTTTAAGATCGTTTCCTATAACAGTATTATTTATTGCTAAAGAATGACGGTTATGAATCATAGATACTGTTTGTTGTTTATTTTTTTATTTCTTTCTCATATTGTATAATATTTATTTACATGGGCTTTACATGCATTCTTGCCTTTGGGATTACCCAACTTCTTTCGGCGTTGGTTGGAGTTTTTATTCCTGAGTACGATTTACGAAATCCATTAGTATAATATTATGATACAATAAAATTTATTGTTATAGATTGATGCTTTAAAACACGAGCGTGACAAATGGCTGACCCTTAGTCAGCAAGAGGCATCGCGAGTTAGTCAATTGACTGAGGAGTTGGAAGTGGAACGTCGGCAAGTACAATCTCTCCGGGATTTGGTGACAGAGCTCCGTCAACACAATCAACTCAACCGATTAGACTCCAGCCAGCTGGAGTGTGATGACCCTGATACTAGTATTCATTCCATGCAGCATAATTCATGTAAGATTCTAAATGTATACAATTTCTGGATAAAACGTATGATTAAGTTATTATAATTATCATTAATTTTAATTTGTGATTAAACAAAATTTTAATTGCTAATTTAGTTATACGGTGTCTTTTTGCAACTTCTAATATTAATATGTATATTTTATTACCGATTTTAGCTATATGTAGTGAAGCCTGCGCTAATGTCGTAGAAGTACAATTAGGAGAAGAACGTGCTAAAATTGTTATTCTTAAGCAACAAATACAAAATTTCCAGGTATGTATTTTAATTTATAAACTCAAATATTGAACTAGTACATATTTAGAATTGTTATACATTATTCTGTAATGTTTAGGATCAACTTAATGAATTAAACCAGAAAAGTGAACAAGAGAAACGCATGATGGAATCAGTTATATACGAAAAAGAATCTGAAATAGTTAACTTAAAACATCGTGTCAATGAAGAATTAGAGGAGCAGAATAATTTGAAATCCAATTTTAATGATGAAATTAGCAAACTCAACAATGAAATAAATGAACTGGAGCAAAAGCTTAAACAAAATACAGATCAATCTAGGCGAATGTTTGAGATAAAAATGGATGAAATAAAAGTCTTACAAGAAGAGAAATTATCTTTATTGCAAAGTTTGTCTGATGAAACAACTAAACTTGATAATATTATCAAAACATTGAAAGTAGACTTAGATACAGAAAGAAATACAAAAATATCTATGAAAGAAGAATATGAAAATCATATAATGAAGTTAAATGAGAAGGTTTTAAACAGAAATAATGAATTAGTGGAATTGCAGAATAATTTGTTTCAAAAGAGTGAACAGATAGAAGATCTACAAGCAGAAGTGAGAAAAGAGAAACAAATAAATCAGGACCTCACCAGCAAGTATTGTATAGAATTAGAACAGTTAAACGAACAAAGAATGCTAATAGAAAATATGCTAAAACAGAAGATGCAAGAAAATGAACTTATACAAAAAGAATTAAATGAAAAAGTAGCTTATATTGAGGATCTAAATAAAACTATTGATGATATGAAAAAGAGCATTTCTGATCTGAGAATGCAAGCAGAAAATATTCAGCAACAAAAAGCTTATGAAGTAGAACTCCTACAAAAGAAATTGGAGCATAATTTAGCTTCTGCAGAAGAATTAAATGAACAAAATAATGATTTAAAATTGACAATTTCCAATTTAGGAGAAAATTGTAGAATTTTAGAGAATAATAAAGTGGCATTACTTCTAGAAGTTAAGAATCGTGACGCTAAAATTCAAGAAATTCAGAAAGAATTGAATGATACTAGGAATATGTTTAAAGAAACAAATGAAAAGTGGTTAATTGAAAAAGATGAGAAAATTGCCACGATCAATACACTACAGATGCAACTGCAAAATGAATTAGATTTTAAAATGCAAGTGCAAAATGAATTGACTCATTTACAAACAAATAGGATGTCATTGTTAGATGATATCGACAGTCTCAATACGGAACTTTTAAAATTAAAGAAAGAAATGGAAGTAAAAGATCAGACTATTCTTGGAATGGATCTATATCTTCAAGAAGAGAAACAGAAAAATGAAAAATTAAGAACAGATTATAAAGAACTGCAAGAAAATTTCAAAGTAATCTCTGAGGATGTTAGAGACAAAGATATTGCAATTAAAGATATACAGAATATTTTAGTACAAGAAAAGAAGTGTCACGAAGATGAAATCCATGAAAAAGATAAAAAACTAGAATCTGAACATAGTCAATTATTAGATATACTTGATGTTAAAAATACAATTCAAGCAGCTCTTACCTTGGTAACTAATGAAAAAGAAAAACTTGAAATAGAAATAAATGCACAACATACAGAAATATTAAAATTAAAAGAAGAATGTGCAAAATTGAAAGAAATATTAGAAGAAAATAATTCAAGTAAGCATTATTTAGTAACAAATAACATTATTTAGTTAATTTTGAATTGTATGTTGAATATTTTAAACAATTTCAACTCTTGTAATTTTTCAGCAATTGAATCTTTACATACTAAATTAGAACAAGAAACAATAAATCGTATAGCCATCGAAAATAGTGGTAAGTTTTTATGTTTTGATTGGTAAAGTGCTGGTAACTTTAATATTTTTATTGTTTATCCTAGTAACTGTTTATTTTGCAATAAGAAATTTCTAATATTTAGTGATGTTATAATGAAAGTAAAATTATGGCAATATGCATGGTTACTATCTAATTTACAAATTGACACTTTTCCATTAAATATTATATACAGTTACTTATTCACAAACTACAGTCAATTCCAAATCTTTAGCTTGTATACTTTTAACTTTAAATGGGATTGCTTAAGAAATAAATAAATTGATACCAGAAAAAACATTTTTCTATGATAGGAAAAACATTTTTTGTAAAGTAACTTACCAAAACAACATGCATTAGAATTATTCTGTTGTCCTTTCAGCCACATACAGTGAAGTACAGTTACAAGAAGAACGTAAGAATACTGATATGCTTAAGCAACAACTCAAAACTTTACAGGTAAGACTTTAAGGTTGTAAGTGTACATTTTTAAATGTTAAAATTGTTTGTTAAATAATATTGTATTTTTGTTTAGGATCAGTTACATGAAATAAATAAAGAAAGCAAAGACGACGAGATTAACAAACTTAATAATGAACTGAATGAATTAGATCAAAAATATAAAAAAAATATTGAAGAGTTTACACATGTGATTAAGACTAAAACACAGGAGTTAAAAGCTATGCAAGAAGAGAAACAATCTTTATTAAAAAGTATGACTGATGAGAATATTAAACTTGACGATGCTATAAAAAGTCTAAAAGCAGAATTAGACATGGAAAGGAATATGAAAACATTTATGAAAGAAGAATATGAAAATCGTATAATGGGGTTAAATGAGAAGGTAATAAATAGAAATAATGAATTAGTGGAACTTCAGGACAATGTATTTGAGAAAAATGATCAGCTTGAAGAACTATACGCAGAACTGAGAAAAGAGAGACAAAAGATTAATGATCTTTCTAGTAAGCATTCTGAGGAGTTAAAATGTATAACTGAAGAAAGGATGCAAATAGAAAATATCTTAGATCAAAAAGTTCGAGAAAATGAACAATTACAGAAGAAATTACAAGACTATAATGAGGAACAAAATAAATATGATAATGATTTGAAACTTACTATTTCTAATTTAACAGATAATTGTAGGGTTTTAGAGGATAATAAAATGTCATTACTTCAAGAAATAAAAGATCGTGACTTGAAAATTGAGGAAATTCGAATAGTAACCGAAACTTCAAACAACATATTTAAAGAAGAAAAGGAAAAATGGTTAAATGAGAAAGATGAAAAAACTGTTACAATAAATGCGCTTCAGCTTCAATTGCAAAATGAAGAACATTTTAAAATCCAGTTAGAAAGTGAATTAACTCATTTACAAAAAAATAGATCTACATTAATTGAAGATATCAATAATATCAATTTGGAGATATCAAAGTTAAAGAAAGATGTGGAGGTTAAAGATCAGACTATTGTAGAGATGGATTTAAATCTAAAGATGGAAAAAAATAAAAATGAAAAATTGCTGATGGATTATGAAAAATTGCAAGAAAATATACAAATAATGTCTAAAGATATTTCTGATAAGGATATTATAATTAAAGAGACTCAAAATATTTTAGAAGAGCTAAAGAAACATTATGAAGGCGAAATTAATAAAAGAGATGATATGTTAGCATCAGAACATCAGAAATTTTCAGACGTACTGGAAGAGAAATATGCAATTCAAGCTAATCTTGACTCAGTTGTTAATGAAAAAAATAAACTTGAAAAAGATAAAAATGAAAAATATACAGAAATACTACATTTAAAAGAAGAAACTGTGAAATTAAAACATTTGTTGGAAGAAAACAGATCAAGTAAGTATTATGGAATGGTATGATGATCCTTACCAGTTTTTTTTTGCATCAGATTACAATGAAAAGAAAAAGAAAATATTGAATAATAATACTATACGTATCAATCACGCGACCAAAGTCGCGAGATATCCTATTTTATATTAGGATATAATCTAATTGAGTATCAAAAGAGTTACAAATATCCATTCATACAATCGTCTTTCCAAATTGTCATACTTATATTTATCAACATGTCAGCCTTTAACTGTCCACTGCTGAACTGAAGCGTTCTCCTTTAAGGAATTTGGCTAGTAATTGCTACGTTTGGCAGGCGGATTGACAACCGCAGTTAGGCTTTGGAGGTGTTTTAATAGGGATACTGCCCATTTCACCGCCTTCCTTTAGTCTCTTCTTCTGACATCCACGTGAATGGAAGGAGTGGCCTATTCTATGCCGGGACCACACGCATTTATATTAATAATAGGATATATCCACACCTAGAATTATGTACAGAGTGAAATAAAACTCGTTGACCGAAGAATTTATTCATGCATATAGAATGTAGTTTATTAAGACTGAAATTTCGTGTTCTCGACATTTTTTTGTCTTTTTTTTTTTTAATCTGTGTATTTTTAACCAAATAACATCTTTGTTGAAAAAATAGTTTCGTTAGTAGAGTACTCTTTTCAAAGGTTACTAACAATTTTGATTATACTTTGTTGACATAAATAATAACTTTATTAAGTTGTTTTAATTAAAATAAGCAATAAAATTCATAATGCTTATTGAAATTACCAATAAGCACCATGGATGACGCTTATCAATAAGCGTGCTTTGCTAATAATCTATTTTTAGTTTCGGTGTCTTTCATGATGTTGTTGTATTATTTTCTAGTTTTTAATACAAATTATTTTAGGAATTTAAATTCTATGTCAATAGTCGCTAGTATAATTAGTATAAACTAAAATACGTTATCAGATTTTAGGCTAATTTTAAAATTAATCGTCTTTTCAGATGTAACTAGTGAGGTCAATGCGAAGACAGAAGTAGAAAAGCAATTAGAAGAAGAAAGAGCTAAGATTGTTGTGCTCAAGCAAGAAATACAGGCTTTACAGGTATAGATTTATATATTTTTATTATGTTACAAGTTTTAAACATAATTAATGATACTTTATATATCATTATGTACTCAAATGGAATGGTTTTTCCTGCTTAGGATCGACTAAACGAGATGTGTGAAAAAAGAGAAACCGATAAACAAACGGTAGAGGCGGTTATATTAGAAAAACAAATTAATATAACTCATTTGAAAAATCGTATCGATGAAGAGACTGAGGAGAAAAATAATATAATAATGAATTTTAATGACAAGATAAGTAAACTCAATGCCACAATAAATGAATTAGAACAAAAGCTTGAAGATAACGATGAAAGATCTAAGCATATTATCGAGAAAAAAATGGAAGAAGTGAAAATTCTCCAAGAAGAAAAAGTATCTTTATTACAAAATCTTTCTGACGAAACAACTAAATTTGAGAGCATTATAAAAAGTATGAAAGCAGAATTTGACGAGGAAATAAATACTAAAGAATCTGTAAAAGAAGAATATGAAAATCAAATAATAACATTAAATGAGAAGATTTTTAATACAAATACTGAATTAATGGAACTGCAGAAAAAAATAACTGAGAAGAATGAACAGCTTGAAAAATTAAATGCAGAAATGGAAAAAGAAAGACAGAAGCTTACAGAACAACAGGGGCTTACAAATAAATATTCTATAGAAATAGAAGAGCTAAATAAACACACAATGCAGATGGAAAATATTTTAGAACAAAAAGTCCATGAGAGTGAACAGTATCAGAAGGAATTGGAACAGAGTGTAGCTTACACTGAGCAATTAAATAAAGAGATTTGTGATTTAAAAGTGACTATTACTAATCTAAAAGAAAGCTGTAGAATTTTGGAGGACAATAAGCTGACGTTACTTTTAGAAGTAAAAGACCGTGACGCTAAAGTTGAGAAAAATCAAAAGGAAATTGATAATACAAATACAAAGTGGTTACAAGATAAAGACGAGAAAAATGTAACCATAAATGCATTACAGGCGCAGCTACATAATGAAATACTTATAAAAATGCAATTACAAAATGAATTGACTGAATCACAAAAAGTTAGAACTTCATTACTTGAAGATATCAATCGTCTGAATATGGAACTTTCTAGATCTAAAAAAGATGTTGAAGATAAATATCAGGCTATAATTGAAAAGGATGTTCGACTAAAAGAAGAGATGCAAAAAAATGAAAAATTAAAAATAGAACATGAAGAATTACAAGAAAACTTGAAGACAATGTCTAATGAAATTGCAGCTAAGGATTTAGCGGTAAAGGAGATAATGAACGTACTGAAAGAGGAAAAGACATGTTATGAAGACGAGATTCACAAGAAAGAGGCATTGTTAGAATTTGAACAACAGAAACTGTTAGATCTACTTGAAGAGAAAAGTGCTGTACAAGCTGATCTTATCTCGGTCATCAAAGAAAAAGTCGAACTTGAAAAAGATGTAAGTCAAAAATCTATTGAAGTATTACAATTAAAAGAAGAACATGTTAGACTGACGCAGATGTTAGAAGAAAATAGATCAAGTAAGTGACTTCTGTAAAATGTTTTATTTGTATGGGTCTGTCTGTTTTATCTCTCTATCGCAGCTTCCATTCATTGCAGCTCACTCTTAATAATTCTAAAATAAATAGTCTATAGAAAGTAGAAACTGCATTTCCTCATTGTTGTAACAAATATAGATAAAAATGCAAAAGAAATATAAAGTCTTAAATATTTGGTAAAAGTACTGAAATGTGTATCAATCCCCGTGATTGCAGGGTGAAGAAACCAAATGTGACCTGTTGCGTAGTGATAGCTATCCCGCATTTTATTCATTATGTATTAAATGGAATGTGGATTTGTGCATTGTTTTTTAATGTATCAGTTAACTCAAAAAGTATCCCCAACTTATAGAAAAATATTGTATCTCATACGTATTCTACATTTATGGTGGTGGTATCACTAATTATAATTGTTTTGTTGTATGAAGTTATCAGTTTCCTTCTGTCGTATATCTTTTGTATAAAAAAATCTAAATTAGTATGGCTAGTGAACTGTTTGTAATGGTTGTTCTGTAAGTATACATTAATATAATTACATTTTTGTAAAAATATTTTCAGTCTATACATGTATCTGTATATTATATATATATATATATATATATATATATATATATATATATATATATATATATATATACTGGAAAATAATGAATATATATATCAGATAAATACATTAGGGTTAAAAATAATATTTTTGGAATTTTTGGATTTTTTATGTAAGTTACTTTGTGTATATGTTACGTGGTAACTATTGTACACTATAAAAGTAGTCCTGTTTAAATGTCAGTTCTTTCCTTCTATATAAACATTTCTAGAGCTTTCAGAGTGATTATACTATCTGTAATTCGTTCATTAACGTATTTTTTGTCTTTATTTTTCTAGCGTTTGTACTATTTTAAAATATTTTCTTAATCGTTATAAATTCAGTTACATAAGTAGCTCATCCAAATTGCCTGAAATGTTATTGTAATAAAAATGTATAATAAATATCTTCTATTTTAAGCTTCTATTATTGAAAACCGTACTCAGACTCGTACAGTGGTTTCTGAAATTGGTAAATATGACATTACGACAGAAAATCATTATAGGAAATTCAATATATAGTGATATTATTGCTGATTTTATATAAAACGGTGTTTAGAACTGGTAAAACTGCGGTCTTTAAATAAGTTGAAATATATGGAATTAAAAACTTTTATATTAATACAATCTTTTTGATGGCAGATACCGACAACAAGCTTCTGGAGGTGACCAAAGAACTCGAGGTTAGTAAAGAAAATTGCCAGCAGTTGTCTAGTCAGCTCAAGAAAATAGTACACCAGAAGAATGAAGAGATATCAGAACTAAAAAAGCAAGTTTCTAAAATGAGCGTCACAGAAAATAGAGCGACTCAAATCATAAAAGTCTCAGCCAAGTACCAGGCGATCATATTGAAAAGGATAGCGGAGATTAAAAACAATTCTGTACTGAAGGAGTTGACTAATTTCGGCAACACTACAAATTGTGATAACGAAGTGCGCCGCAGCCTGTACGCTGGTACTATCACTATAGAGGATTTGGAGAACTTCTTGGAAACAACCGAAAGACATTTACGGCGATGTTCAGAGAAACAGGTTGCACTGCAGAAAGAAAGAGATAGATTGATCGAGGTGAATAGAATTAACGAATCTGAGATTATAAACATGAAAAAGTTTTTGACAGAGCTATCAGTTAGCTTCAAAACATTCAGTAATATTAAGGATCTGTATGCGCAGAAGTTGAGCAGAATAGTGTCGGTACAGAGGACTGTGCGACGTGAGATATTGAATCTAGATGGGCACATAACAGAAGCGACTATGTGTAAATTAGAGAGAGGTTACGCAGCCGTTATGCAAGACTTGTCAGAGTGTTCGATGAACATGGAAAGATGGATCGAGCGGTGCATCGACAGGACAATTTCTCCAGAGAAAATACAGCAGGCATTCACGTGTGATAATGACCGTGCATCGCTCGCGTCCATATCGTTCCAAAACAACAACCTAGAGACACAGCTAGAAGAGATGGAGAAGTCTTTCCAGAAGTTACTGGAAGAAGTGTTACGGGCGCAGAAAGGCGAGGGTGTGAAGGACGCGCAGTCCATCACCGTGATGGAAGTCCGTGCCGAATACGAGGACAAACTCAACAGAATGAAGGCTAAAATGGTCAGTATAATACCTGTACTGTTATTGATATTATTATATCAGGTCGTGTGGTGGTTTTATCTCCAAATGGACCATTGAATGGGGTGGCTTTTTATTTCAAGTTTGACTGTTACTTGTAAATTCAGTAATTTATTTAATAAAGTATGTTCTAGTAGATGCTTTTGTTTTATTTCTTTTTCTCAGTATAATTTTTGCTTTAGTGTTGATTGAAATATAGGAGTGTGTTTATAAACAATGCTTTATATTTTATGGCTCGACTGTTGGAAAAGGTAAACACACTTATAACTTAGCATGTTTCACTAAGCATGTCAGTATTGCATGATTTTATTAGCGTGTTTATTCTATATGATTGTATGGTGATTGTGTTTTTTATTTTACAGAAAGAACTTTACCATGAGCAAATCGCGGTGTTCCAAACGCGACAGAAAGAAGAGATCGCGGCGTTGGAGCGAGAGTTGCAGAAGACTAGGCAGAAGTCGTTAGAGTCGAGCCGCGCCTACGAAGAGCATATCAAGGCTCTGACGACAGAGCTGTGGACAGTTGGGGAGAAGTTCCTCATGAAACAAGACGAGGCAGAGTGGCTGAGGAAGAAACAGCGTTACGGATCGCTGATGTCTCTACAGCATGTGCATTCGGTATAATTCGTTATTTATTTATTCATTACAATAAATTAATTTAGAATAGCTAAATTGTATTATATAGTATATATGCGTAGTGAGGTTGTAATTATACATTGTATGTGTTGATGATATGTTCAGAATGCATTAGAAGTCAAAATACACAACTAATAGTCAGTCTGCCTGCCAGATATTTTGAATTTCAAATATTGTGTATTCAATCAATGACATTAAGTGATATGTAGGGCGTAGTCTAGTCATTGCGACTTGTCTGTAAAGTATAAATTATTATTTAGATAAATTTTACGCGAAAGGAACACATAAGGAACGTCAATGCGAAAACAAAATTGAAAAAACCAATTTTTGTTTTTGAATTCCTCATGATCCTTTGAGCCGGATAATTTAAAAACAATCTTCTTTACAAGTGATTTCGATGATTTCAAGAAGAACACAGAGGCTTTTTTCTTCACAAAACATGCTTTAGATTGGGTATAATCAGTTTTTCTTTTGTTTGATTGCAGTCTGGTTTGTTGCCGCCACAAGACGAGCCGTCACGACCGTCCGACGCGCATTCGCTACGTTCACTACCAACGTTTAATAATAACACTCATAGTAAACGTGGTAAGTACTGACATTTTATAGAAATATCATTGTATATGATATGTTTTGCATTTGTAAAAGAAAAAGAAATGATCATAGGTGTATTTAAAGGCTGACTTCTGTCTTTCTTATCCCGGAATTGTCTGATGACTACCCTAGGATCTGAGCAGAGCCTTCAGTACGTTTGAGAGTATGTATGCGCATTTTTAAGGAGTCAGGCCCCGTCTGGAAAATAATCTTAAATACGTCAAGGTGCCAACTAGGCTAAGGATGGTGCTTCGATTAAATGCTGTATTATATTTATTAGTTTGCGAGCACCAAAGATCATGAAAAGTTCGCATAATCACAGGTTTTACTGCTTAAAAAAAACTTGTCTTTCAATAACAATAATAATAATGGATGGTGAATAGCTTTGTCCTGTCTGGAACAACATCTCAGGCACTTGGGATTCCGAGGCGGCTCATTCCCGGGAAAGATGCAGAAAGCGGTGCTCTTAGATAATACCCTTATAGTACGCTGGTTTCTTTCCCTGGAACCCTGAACCTCGGCACACTGCTTCTGCCGGGAGGTTAGTTTGCCATCTCCTTTCCTTAAGAGGAGAAATGTGAATTTTGAAAAAAATAAAGATAATAAAGGCTGTAACTAGCTCAATGTAATTGTACCTTGTAATTTTAAATTGCAGAGGGTCGCGGTCTGCACATGTCTGACGAGGAGGGTGAGGTGTTCGACAACCGCTGCCTGAAGGAATTGTCGTCGACGCCGCGCCGCTCGCCGCCGCCCGGGCTGCGCCTATCGGAGCTGCGCTGGCGGAACTCGCTGTGTCCGCCGCATCTCAAGAGTTCCTATCCGGCAGAGACGCAGTTTGCGCCCGCTATTGACGAGGATGATATTAAGGTATACATGCCGCGTGGTCCTGACACAGAACCGGCTACTCCTTTTCCCGTGGGTGTCTTAAGAAGCGACTAAGAGAACTTAATGGTCGAGGGATGGGCAGCAGCGTCTCTCCTAAAACATCACCAAAGCTATCTGTTCAATTACCGGCAAAACTCCTTTATGGGGAGACCTATATTGAGTGATGGACAGTTAACGGCTGCTATAATAAACTAATAATTTATTTATTTATTTCTTATTGCATTCCATAATATAATTAGTACATAACATTTCAATTATGGACCCTCTTGGGCCACAGCAAGTAGGAGAGAGGAGGACAACACTTTTTCCACTTTCGAAATAGTCTAAGGATCTGTTACAATATTATCCAGTCATTGAAATTGTATCACGATAAGTACATATTTTCTTATTATTATTAGTAATAGCTATACGTACCCACGATACCCCAATGCAGGACAAAGGCGTCTACCATTTCGTTTACAAAATACCTGTATTGCGCCATCTCAAACCAATCCCTTTTTAATGGATTTAGATCATTATGCCGTCGTTTCCTGGACCATCCTCAGTAACACTGTTCATTTATAAGCACCCAGTGGGTGAATAATCTATTCCCACCTATCTGAACTAGACTGCAGTACGTTCATTAGAAACCTAATATTGGTTCCCCGGGGGGAAAGGATTGTTAGTAATGCGGATTACCAGTCCCATTGCTAGCAATATATTCTGTGAGGTCGACCTCCACGTGGGTCCCCCTGGAAACCATCGTGCTGAATTCCAGGTGTATTCGATGGACTAACTGACTTGCTTTCTCATTCTCTCCTACAATCACTGATGCTCCGTTAGCGCAGCCGAGTTTACCATTCTATTATCATCCTTTAAAAAAATGTTTCGGGACGAAGAATGCTGTTCGGTATATGATCAGTCATTTTTGTCTCTTAAAACATATTGTTACATTGCTCTTATATATGTAGATTATTTAAAGGATGAAAAAAATATTTTGCCGGATCAGTATTCTCACCTGCGTTATAGATTTACCAAGTCGACCTTCACGCGGTTCCCTCTGGAAACCATTTAGATTGATTTGCCGTTGAATTTGGTACGATGGTCCTTCGCCAGTGTATACCGATGGCGCAGGCGGGATTAACATTCCATTAACATTAAAAAACATAATCTTATTGATTCTACAATTAGTTTCCAATTGATAAGAAATAAATTACCGTGTATTGTTTACAGTGTGCTAATGCAACGAATGGCGTCGGTCGGCAACAAAGAAAAGAAGTTGGAATCACAGCTTACAAAAAGCCTGGGCCACCCACACCTAGCAAACAGGCCGGGAGATTATCTGCCACGGTATGTTCTATACAAATAAAATGTTAAATTAACATGATATGAAATGAGAAAATAAAAAAAAAAGGTGATCCTAGTTTCTAGTTCATTTTGGTTTATTAACATTGTATATATTGCATTTTAAATTTTATTAGAAGACCGCAAAATTATGTTAAAAGTAGTTTCTCATTAATAGAAAGAGCTTTTATACAAATAGCAGACAGAGAAGTTATATAAAATTTATCTCATTGTCTCCACGGGGGAATAAAAATCTTACATCAGTTTTTTAAGTATCTCTCATCAGAAGGAGAGAGAGACACAGAGAAAAGAAACAATATATAGAAGGCTAATGTCTTGCCTATGTTAAAGTTTTAGTAATTTAGTGGAATGAACCAAAATACATATTTAAAATTCACTAGTATTCTGGTTCGACTTCGCGCGGGTAGGTAGACTTTTCGAAAATAATATGTAGTGCATGTTACTTGCTGATAATTTAGCTTTCCATAGGTAAAAGAATTTTTTAAATCGGTTGAGTAGTTTTTGAGTTTATCCATTACAAACAAAATATTAAATATTTTCTCTTTAGAATATATTTAATATTTTGTTTATAGTAATAAATACAAGGTATTGAAAATTTCACATAAAGAGCCTCTCTCTTTTACGTCTTACGTAACATTCTAATCATAAATCACGTTATTTCTCAGCAAATCTTATAAAAGGAGAGTTTCCAAATTTTAAAAATATCTTATCTAAGGGAATCTAAGGCCATTCCTAGGGAATATATGTCCGACAAGTTTATGGTTGATTTTTTTTCTCTTTTTTGTACATACCAGGATTCGGAACTCCGCGAGTCGCTACGCGTGGAGATGGACCCGCAGGCGCAATCGTCGCGCAAGACTAGCACACCCTCTCGGATCCGAGCGTTTTTCAGATCTGCTAGGGGTGACACTATTGAAGTAAGTATAATAGATATATTTGTACAAAAATTTTTGCTTCGGTAAATAAAGTCTTTAATGTGTTTGTCGCGGACTTGCATAAAATATATGTGCAGTATAAATTAATTATATATTGTATTCTATAATCGCCGTATCGATCCTGGCATAGAATAGGCCACCCCCTTCCTTTCCCGTGGGTGTCGTTAGAGGCAACTAAGAGAGTTTGTGGTAGAAGATTGGGCAACAGCGTTCCTTTTAAAATATCTGTAAAAGCTTAACTGCGCTTGCTAACCTGCCTGCCTAGCATGGCAACTACTACAAAACTACTGTTAAGGGCTGAAATAATAGTAAAAAATCTATATTTTAATGAACAAAGCTTTTTATTTTCGTTCTACTATATAGGCTCTAAATTTTTTCTGTCACCATTGTAAATACTTTAATTTCTTCTTTTTTTGTACAGGGAACTCCTCGGAAACGATCAAGCATTTTCAGGAAGAAATAACTTTAATAATAATAATATAATAATGTATTTATTTATGTCTCCTCACAAACAACTTAAATTTACACATAGGTATTTAGGCCTTTATGACATGTACGCTAAATAAATGTTTTATTTTTATTACTTTGTTTCTTTGTTGATGTTCCCCGTATCATTAGTTTACTAGTGCTTTGTACTCTTATTTCTATGAGGAAGTTTTCTAACAGATGTAAATAATCGTTGAAATTAAACGCAGAAATTGATAGAATTATTTTATATTTCATAGATTACACCACAAAATCACTGTAGCACCAAACATTACAAAATGTACAAAATTGTGCCTGTTTATTGATCACACACATTGATGATTTACGATACCATTCGTTATATGAATACCCACTATCTACATTGAAACATTCTTTATTACAAACATTTTAAGTTACGTGCAATCGACAGCAAAAAAAAAAATATCAAAGGGTTATTGCACTATCATAATTATATGGGCTCTAAATGAAAATTGATTTAATTTTCTTTTTTACTTCTGTGTTGGCAATTATTTATACGGAGTCTCTGATGTTAAACGGCAACCGTAATTTATGGACACCTACAATATCAGGGTTGTCACTAGCGCGTTATCGACTTTTAAATAATCGACCATCAATATTTCTAAATCATACTAAAGCACAGCGCCATCTAGTACCAAACTGAATAGAATCTTGTAACATAATATTTTTAGTATTGTAAATGCATGTTAAATTTGTAGAAAAGCCCAGTATAATACGAATTGAATACAAATGCTACTATTGTACTATAATCGAACCCGCAGTCCTCGGAAAACTCCACAGATTAAATATAATAAAGTACTATATTGATTTAAATTATGGTAGTGTAATAACCCGCTTAAACTATTCCAAATTAAATAATCTCAATAAAATGCATTATATATAATAAAATCAATTGTATTTACAAAAATAATTCTTCATATAATTTGTAAATTAAATATGTATGATTAAAAATCAATTTAAGAAAATAATGTCAAATTGATTAAAAAATATTGTGCTTATATCGGCACTCATTTCATTTGTAAAGTTTTTTGTACGCTACAACATGTTTGTCAGACGACGGACAGTTTGTCTGCGGACTCTACAAAGTCGTATATCTATCTACTTGATATTAAATTCAGATATTATGATCGGTCCAACATTTAAAATGACGTCCGATCTTAGGAATACGATCTGTCTTCCCAAGTGGACTTAGAGACAAAAAAAATATCTAAATACAAAATGTCCGTCGTGTGTAAGTCAAAATTTCTAATACACAACAAAATATGTCATACACTCGCTGTGCTTAAGAACAAATAATCTTTGTTCGTGATTATTCTAGCCTGGTGTGTGGCTCGTAATCTCGTCATACAAGGGCAAACTTATTGATATGAACTATACATAATGTTAAATGAACATGTAATATATAATATTAATGTGACAATAAAATATATAATCGATTATTTATATAAACGCATTAAGGTTTAATTTAAATTACAGAACAATCTTATACTTACATTTAAAATAGTATTCCGTTAACAGATTATTTTCAATTGTTGATATAATTAATCATTTCTATATGTAAATAACGCAACACATTTTGTGGGGGGAAAGGGATTGTTAGCAATGGAGTTTGACAGCCCCATTGCTAGCAATATGCCCTATTAGGTCGACGTCCACGTGGAACCATCGTGAACAATTCTTGTTGAATTCGTCACGATGGGCCAACTGACCTGCTTCATCCTCACCTATCATTCTTCACTGGTGCTCCGCCAGCGTATCCCGATAGCGCAGGCGGGGTTACCATTCCATTATCACCCATTAAAAAAAAACGCAACACACATTAATTTAATTAACAACAAAACATTATTTGTGACCTATTTGGCAGTTTGAACGTCTAAGGTGGCCGAATGGGCGAATAATACTTATTAAATAGGGTAATACAATTTAAAAGATAACGCTCTATATTCGAGTATTTTTTCATATTTAAATGTTAGTGCATTGCGGTTATATTAAAGTTTTTCGAATATCACTTATTATAAGTTACATTAAAGATAAGTCAGTGGGGTCAATTCTGAATCGCTAATTGTTTAAACCTATTTTTAAAATTATAATTTCATATCACACCGAAATCTTTATTGTAAGGACCAATATGAATTAATTTTGCTAATAGTTTTAAATAAACAAAAATATTCTAGTTCAGGACACAACAGTAATTTTACGAAATTACTATATTAAAATATTCGGAGATAAGATTAGAGAGATGGCGATTTAGAATCGACCCAAGTGTATATATAGAATATTGTTGTAAAATTGAGATATGCTATAATGATGGTAGCGATCACGCTTGGCAATTGGTAATCAGTGATCACAGACGAGAGTAGAGTTACCATGTTTAAATAAAATAACACTCTTCAAATGTTATGATATTATTTGCACACTACACCAAGATTTATTATTGGTGGGATTGATCATTTAAGTAATGATGTTGTTAACTTATTATCACTAAGCATGTGATGTTAACTTTACAACAACAACTAATATTGTTATAACATAATAGACTTTAATATGTTATAACAATATTAAATATAAATGCGACAATTTTTGTAGGCTCCATAGCAGTGATAAAATAAAATAATACAAAATGATTAATTCGAATAAAGTTTGATTAAAATCAGCTGCGCATTTTACAATTGCATTGTTAACCCGCGTATGGTATTTACTGAACCAGTTCGCTTTCAAATTGTTAATTTATAACAACTTACTAAACGTTTTATATTGTGCAAAAATAGAAATAGAAAATTAAATGGAAAGATATATAGATATATTGAGTATTTATATATATTAAACTTTTACATTAGTACTTACACATAATAAAATGTTCAATTGTTTATTTCATTAACAGTTAAAAAAAACTTTTTTAAAGGGTTTAAAACAAAAATGTACAATTTTGACAATATTACATATTAAAATTGCGATTGGGTCATTATTTTTTTTCAGTTAAAAAATCACTTTAACGACAAACTTTTACACTATTTAAGCTTTAAAATTCTATAAAAATGTAAAATTTAGAAATAAAAAGAACAAATGTATAAAAATTTCTAAATTTATTAAATAAATTATCAATTAGCATTAATTTGTGCACATTTTTAATTATAAGCTAATCTTTCGACGTAGGAAAATACCATCAACAAATCTAATTGATCGTACAGACGGCGCCATATTTGCCCACTATTACGTTCACCACATTAGCAACGATCGATTGTATCCTACTCTAACTCATCTGGGTTAACTCAGTACTTATATTTTTATTTCCTATAATAATTACCAATGATTGTTTAAGAATTTCCTAATTATAAGAAGTGAAAATTGAAGAGCTCAATTTGAAAATAATGAGAACAATTTGCGAATATTAATAAATTATATTTATAGCTACTGTTAAATTGTATTATATAAATATATATTATACATATAATTTATATACTAGTTGCAATAGCGTTTTTCCTATCATTAACATTGTTAATCACATTTGCGTGTCTACAGTCGAGTCTATTTGAATTGCGCGCGTGTACAATAACAAATTATAGACTTGGTAAGTTACCCTTTGCATGCTTATTAGACCCACCATAGATGATGGGATAACAAATAATCTGAAGATCATTGAAAAAAATATTAGCGTCTAACTTAAACGGTATAAACACTCTCATTAGAAATAGAATAGGTATGAGATGAAACTATGTTATCTATTTTTTATTTAAAAAAAAAAAAAATGTTTCCATAAACTGTAAAATCATACTGATTAAACTGCAAAAACATACAAAATTATTTTTGAAGTTTGACCTTGAATTTTTAAAAAAATCTATATAGAATAATAAAGTGATAAGTATTTTTTATTGAGAAATTGTATAATGAGAATTTACCCCATCATCTGTTATTATTAATGTCTATGGAATTTGGGTAATTCGTTTATTAGCGGGCAATTATCATTGGGCATGTTGGTTAGGGACCGAACGGCAATCGCTACCGACTCAGATTGTTCACACTTTGGTTACTATCACTTGAGGAATAATAATTCTGTAAGAAATGCAAAAGTTTAAAATGAACTGTGAGCGATTCTTGTTTAGCTGCTGTCTTGTTACGATTGGTAGTTGCAAACACTGATGTACCATATTGCCGCTTAAATTTATTATTCAGCGACTGAGTTATAATTTATAAATTTACGCCTTATTCATAATCAAACATTTTATGAATATATTTTAGCTATTGAAGTGTTTTGTCTTTTTTTTCTAAATTCGCAGTTTTAAAGAAAGTGACAAAATACTGTAATAGTTAAAATAAATTTTGTACAAGATTTTAGTTTTTATAAATAAGCAGGTTAGACGCATAAATTACTTACTAAATAAAGGTCGAGTACATCATGTTTACAACTATCCAATAGCATAATCTACCAGCGATAGTATCCAATGCGCTATCAGCCTAATGTCGGTAGCAGTCGAGTATATCGGTGGGCACTTAATATTGGTAATTCGAGTAAATTATCTATTTTATAATAAATCTAACGGCTATCTATGTATCTATTCAAAGTAGGCTGCGTTTACCTATTGTTCAACCTTCAAATTTAATGTTTGTGATCTACCTAATTATAATTACAAGCGCTGTACAAATTTCTATCTACTCTCTTAAGTATATAAAGATATCTAACTAATGTTTACTAATTATTATTATGTACAAGAAAAGTCATTGTGTAGATGCCCTAAAAATCTCATTCGATTACATTTGTGACTGCCTCTCTTATAAAAAAAATTATATTACTGTCATAGCATTGATTGCATAGAGATAGATTGCAACGGGTCACAATCATCAGTAAAGTTAATAAATCAAATAGAATTAATTGTAAACCAAATCCTCATTAAGTAACTTGTATGAAAACTAGATGGCGTTAAATAAGCGCCATACAAATTATATCGTTTGCTTGGTTTTCAAAATTAGAATAACTTGTGACCTGAGAAACCAAACAACGACCAACTCAAAATTTTCAGAACTTAGTCAATTTAGAAAAAGTTTTTAAACTGATTTGACCGAGAATTCAATCATCCAATCACCAACCACGGGGGTTATCGCAGGCGCAATGAGATATTTCAGCCACGAAGAGCGCCGACGGCACTTGGCGGTCGTGGTTCGGAAGGTGATGAAGGTGTGGAGGGTGAAGGAGACGCGGTCGGCTATAGGCAAGCATGTGGATTGTGTGAACACCAGCGCGGCCACAGTGGTGCCGCCCGAATTCCTCGAGCTACCAGTCGTGAGCGCTGTGTATCAAGACGTAAGTACACGTCTGCCGCCGCACCCTCCGCACGGTCCGACCACAGCCGCTCCGCCATTGCTGCCGTGCGAGGCCATACCCGTGCGTCCAAACCCCCAGGGCCAAGCTGTTCAGTCCACTGACACGCGGCACCGCCTTCCACTCGCCATGGCAAGGCGTCTCCCATGCCTGCGGGCATTGGTGCCTCTTCTATCCAAGGCCGATGCTCGTATACCTGCTGCCATGAGCGGTAGGGGCCGCAGTGCCCATCAGAACTGTCACGCCACGATCCGAATCCACAGTCTAAGTACCACGCGTCAACGTGCGAAATTACCGAGCGGAAGCCAGCGTCGAGGACCGCTCGTGATTCCGGCCATCTCGATGCGCCCCATATTTGCACGCCGAAATGTTTAGGATCCAATCTTTCCAAGTATGGCGAACGTGTTAATCGAGACGACCACAAAAGTGTTAATTCTGGCGCTTTACCACCGTTGGCGCTCTCTAACGCGCTCATAGCCCGTCGTGTGAATTCAAACCAAAGTTCCATGGGATCGGTATCGTTAAAATGCTGCGCCCAGCAGCGTTCGGAAACTTCGTCGCCGCCGAGATGAAACAGATCGTCGACTTCGGTCACCTGAATAATCTCAGCGTATATGCGTTCAAGTAATTCGTATACGTGAGGATTACGTGGATTTAATTGTCCACATGGAGGTTCGCCGCAATAGGCACTCCACGGTTCAGCTTCTATACAATATGCTAAATGACCGAGTCCTGCCGCAGGGCCCCAATCCCAAGCACGGCCTACATGCGCCGGTGCATCAACTTCTAATAATACGCGAATACCTCGTAGCTTTGCATGACGGACTATTGCTCTCACTTCGTCCATTGTGTAAATGGCGCCCGGTCCATATGCTCCATGTTGTGCTAATTGAGGTGCACTATTTAATCTCAGTGGGAATGACTGAGAATCACTCACATGCCAATGAAACGTGTTAAGTTTGCAGGCGGCCATAGCATCGATTGTTCTTATTAATTCACCTACTGGAAAATAGTTTCGCGCGGTATCTAGTAGGAATCCTCTATATTTAAAGCGTGGTGCGTCTTCTACAGTCGCTGCTTCTAAAACTAATAGACTCTGTGCGTAAGGATCTAGCCAAACTAGCTGAGATAGAGTTTCAAATCCGTGTCGGGCGCCACAAAATGAATGCGCCGTTATATCAACCACTAAGGAATTACCTAATGGTCTTAATCTTAATTTGTAGCTTTCATCGGTATCTAACCGCATGCGGGGATCTGCGCTGCCGTTAACTGCGACACGTACTAGTACATCTCGCGGTGGCCCTACTTCACTGCGTCTATTTTCACCGCTGATACTTTTTTCTAGATCTCGCATGTCCTCTTTCATGAGTGCAAAAGCATCATGTAGATGCTTCTCGACATCACGGGATGGTGAAGCGATAACTTGCAGAGAAATTCCTGCAGATCTTATTGGCACCGCGGCAGTGGCGAGACTGACAGGTCCTGTTGGTTGCGGCCAAAGCTGTGTGGAGGCACATAACATATTGCACGTAGGTAAGGATTGCAGCGTTGTTGTTTCTGAAGCGAGCATTCGTTCACATCGGTCGTTTCGACATATCCAAGTCCATTGTGGTTCAGCACCCCTGAAGACAAAAAAATTAAATATTGTAGCAATAATGAAAAATATGATAGACTGTAGAAAAACTTTACTAATGTTTACATGATACAAAATAACGCTTAATAAATGGTCTTAGCAACAGTAAAACCTAGGTACCTCATACTCTACTAAGATTTCCTCAGCGGTGATGAGTTTGAACTACAATAACAGCGAAAGTTTGAGTGTCAATTTAAATTTCTATAACAATTCTCTAATGAAGCTGCAACAACGAGACACAACTTCTTATGTATGGAATGACGTAACAGGTGACTAAGGGAACAAATTACAATACCGCAGTACAAAGGGATGGTAATGATTGGTAAATTAACAAGACTTACGTGTAGACACTTTGTAAGGGCCTATGTGTGAGTTCGTTACTCTGTTGACGCCAGTAGAGAAGGGCGGCACCAGTGCACGCCACGGCACCCAGCAGCACGAGAGCGCGGCGTAGTCGCCCCACGCGAGAGAAGGGGGCAGATACTCCGCGCCCTAGCGCTTCTCCCCACGACTTCATCTTAGCGGTTCGATTGATGCGTCTGTCAACAAATTAATATACAATTAACAATGCTTGTTAATATCATAAAATATGCATTAGGTAATAGAATAATATGAGACATAATTTTGCAATTTACGAGAGAATTGGTTTCGGTCTGTAAGCTGTATGTACACGAAGTAATATTTTATTGATTTGATCAATCGAAACAAACATAAAAAAACAGAATTTACACAAGCACAGTATAACACTATACAATACCAGCCAGTAATTGAAGTCTCCCCTTATTGAGGGGTTTTGCGATTAGTTGCCAAGCTTGGCAGGCGGGTTGGCAACTGCAGTAAGGCCTTGATAAGCCATGACAGTTGCTACGAGCAGTAATGAGGTGTTACGTTTATCTTCACCAGGTAGGTCGCCAGATTGTTCGCTATTCATTCTTCATATTATAAAAAAAAGTTATTCAATAATTGCGGCGTGATATTAAGCTTAAGAATCATTGCAGATAGGAGAGAATAATTCGTAATGGGACTTAGCTCCCTGTTAGGTGGGACTGTCACACCTTCACGGGATTTCCTCTGAATTCCATTGTAAATTCTTAGCAAATTCGTGACTAGAGGCCAACTGATGAGATTTCATTCTCTCGATAGTATAGGATTATTTTTATCCCCTTAAAAATATTTATATAAGATCTTTAAAAGAACATAATTTACTAAGTGCGAAATAAATAATATTACTGTGTAGTGTTTACAAATCATTGGTGGCCTCTGTCCTAGTAGCTTTGGGAACATCGGTGTTCGTTGTTTACGAGATACGAGCCTATTTCTAAAGTGAGACGAGCTAAAAGGCGTTAGACGTCGGAGCTTTTAGGTCACTTCACTCAAGTTAGTGCTTAGTGCCGGCGTTCGTTTCAGTTTTACCATTATAAGAGTGTAAACGAATTCATTGATATTAAGGTTAGTAGATTACCTGTTACTGAGATTTGGATCTTCTTAATGAACACAAAACGTTATGTCGAAAGATTGAGATAAAACTGACAACATGAAAGGATAGAAAAGAGTATTTATTTACCAATAATACTATAGCATAACATAACAATGGCTCAGAAACCACTAGTTATATTTCTGAACTTGAGGGAAGAGCGGCAGGCATGTTGCTTTGCGTAATGAGGTTTCAGTTTCGATTTTCTGTCGGGCCATTTTAGAAAATGACCTTCTTTTAATTGGGTTGGATCTGCTAGGTGTGCATATCCTATTATGCTTCCATTTGACCGTTGCATAATCGCTCAGTCCTAGTTTGGCGAGCGGGCTATTGGTGACATTGTGTATGTAAAACAACGCATTATCTAACAATTGGCTGATCACTTTTTTTAATGCGTGACAATCTCTATTTTCCTGGGGGGAAAGGGATTGTTATTAATGAGGTTCAATAGCCCCTTTGCTAGCAATATACCCTATTAGGTCGACCTGCACGCGGTTTTCCCTGGAAACTATCATGGCTAATTTATCGTTAAATTCGTCACGATGGGCTAACTAACCTGCCAGTATATACCGATAGCGCGAGCGGGGTAACGATGCTATATTCACCCATTAAAAATCTCTTTTTTTTTTGACTGACCATTTTCAGGACGTCATTTAATATTTGATGGTTCATCTAGATGTATATGATAGAGTCTCCTCTATACGTACCGTCTTATATTCAATATAATAGAATAGAAACATTATACACATAATGCAACAATATATTGAATCAGTGCAATTTTTTTACGTTTTGACCAATAATTCTATGGGAAAAAAGTTCAGTAACAGTGATTGAACACAGTTGGTCTATAAAACGTTGCAATTACTATCGATTTCACTCCATCTGTTTATACTCATGTTTATGGTATTACAACAACAAATGGGTACCTGATTTATTTATTGATTATTGATAGATTAATAATAATAATAGTATAAGAATAATTACTTTCTTTACGGAAATCGTCGTCTATGCTATAGACAAGGACAACATCGTGTCTTACTGGAAATTTACAATCGGGACATAATGCGTCGCAATACAGGTAAATACCAGATAAATACATCGGCAATAAAAATCAAGTAAGTACGTACTATTTACCAGTATTCGTGTCGTGTTCGTGAATTAAAAATATGTGTAAATATGAGTTATGTGTGATCCCTCTTAAAACATCACCAGAGGGAGACTTTGTACAAAAGTCGATTGCTTGGGTATCTCTGTCCCATTCGTGTTTCTACCGTGAAGCAGTTGTTTGCATGGCTGTGTTTCGGTTTGAAGGGTGGCATATGGCGTGACTTTACAGGGTACAGAGGAATAACATTCGAGTCCTCAGGAATGGCAACACATGGGGGGTATCATGAGCGAAACAGTATACTCTGTTATGTCCATGGTACTGCTCATGTCTATAGGCGACGGTTACCATTTTCCATCGTGTGGGTCGTCATTTTGTTTGCCATTATAAGTTGTATAAAAAAAATCACCAAGGCCTAACTGTGGTTGCCAACCTGCCTGCCAAGCGTGGCAACAACTGGCAAAACATTCCTTATGGAGAAGGCCTATATCCAGCGGTAGATAGTTAACGGCTGATAGCTATATTGTGATAATATACTGTGATAACAAGGGTATCATTCAATGGATTGCCATTCTTGAAAATAAAAATGTTATGCTTCCCTATCATGCACTTTCATTACTATATTCCATCCTTCAAACCGTTAGACAGAGTACAAATGCTTAGCAGAGATAAGGTAGAGATCATCCCTATATCTCCAACTGCGTGAAACTGCACTTGTCCAGTAGTTAAAGATTTACTAACACCCTCTAAGTTGTACTAACAAAATGAGTCTCTGTAACTTACTATAATAAATAAATAATAATTTGTGGTAAAAGCACGAGTGGGACAGACATATTCAAATATACAAGTTTTGTACAGTCTCCCGCTGGTAAACGTAAGTGTCCAGTGATCTATAGAAGACCATTACTAATCGACACAGGGTTGCCAAATATGAATTTAGATTTTTACTAAATCATAAATTTGTATCGTTGTCTTTACGTTTTGTGCCACAAAGTGAACGACAAAAAGGTAATTTTTTTCCCTCTTATCATCTATTATACCTACATCTTCAGTCGTATATTTTACTGTACCGTATATAATTGTATACAAGTAATAAAACTATTACCTAAATTTTCCAAAATTACCCAAATTTCTTCAAACCCATTTTACTTTTCTTAAAAAGATCTCTCCAAGAATTTAATTTCACCACAATTGCGAAAATTGACCCAAAATTGCGAAAAAATATCCAATCTGACAACACTGAGCCGACATGTACAACACGTAAGAACGTATTCATATAAATATAAAATTTTTAGGTTTCATCTTGAAGTGTCGAGTCGTCTTATAGGGTCGTGAATGCTTAATGTCCAGTCTTGGAGGTGGGAGAGCATTTACTATGCTATATAACTATAGAACTATAGACCTATATCTATTTTGCCAGTTCTAAGTAAGGTGTTTGAAAAGATAATGTTAAATCAAATGTTACATCACTTCAGGGTTAACGGACTGCTTCACAGTCAGCAATATGGTTTCACCGCCGGCAAGTCTACCACTGACGCAGGTGTTGCGCTAGTGACACATATTTTCGAATCTTGGGAGAGGTCACAGGATGCACTCGGAGTTTTTTGTGACCTATCAAAGGCATTTGATTGTGTGGATCATAAAACGCTTTTGTACAAGCTCGAACATTATGGTATAAGAGATAATGATCTAAAATTAATGAGAACTTATTTAGAGGATAGGGTTCAAACTGTAGATATTGACGGTGTAAAATCTAAGGGAGCTAATATTAAGATGGGCGTTCCACAAGGGTCAATCTTAGGCCCCTTTCTCTTTTTAATCTACATAAATGACCTTCCCTTTATGGTAGAGAAAATTGCAGATATAGTGCTGTTTGCGGATGATACTTCGTTAGTGTTTAAAATTGGACGTCAAAGTAATCAATTAGACGATGTAAATTGTGCTATGTCTGCAATATTAAATTGGTTTACATGTAATAACCTATTATTAAATTCCAGCAAAACAAAGTGTATAAAATTTACACTTCCTAATGTAAGACTAATAAATACACAGTTATTGCTTAATGATGAAATAGTAAATTTTGTTAATGATACAGTTTTTTTAGGTATAACAGTGGACTCGAAATTACAATGGGGGCCCCATATTTCAAAATTGGCCAGTAGACTCAGTTCTGCTGCATATGCAATTAGAAGAATTAGACAATTAACAGACGTGGCAACGGCTAAACTTGTATATTTTAGTTATTTCCATAGCATAATGTCTTATGGCATACTGCTGTGGGGTAAAGCAGCCGATATAAATACTATATTTGTTTTACAAAAGAGAGCCATACGTTCTATTTATGGTATGGGTTCGAGAGAGTCATTACGTCAGTGCTTTAAAGACTCAAATATCCTCACAGTTACTTCACAATACATTTATGAAAATATTATGTATACACGGAAGAACTTAGAGAGTTTTAAAAAACTCAAAGACTGTACAAGTAGAAACTTACGCAATATAAATAAGCTTATTTTACCTAAATGCCGTCTGCACAAAATCAGTAATTCATTCTATGGTAATTGCATAAGATTTTATAATAAACTGCCGGAATCTGCATTAAATCTGACAGAGAGGCAATTCAAATCTTATATTAAACAATTTTTATGTAAGAAAGCCTATTACAGGATAGACGAATTCATAGATGACAACATATCAAGTAAATAATTAGTTTATTAGCATACAACGTTATAATTTTATTTTCTCATTGCTTTCTTGATTTAATTGATTAATTTTAGAAATATGAAAGCGTAGCGGTTTTTTTGTATTAATTGCCGCATGCATTCTTATGTAAAATGTGAATACTATAACTATCAGATGGCAATTGTGAGTAGCTTTGACGTGGTCTAGTGTTTTGAGTAGTCATGCTCACTAAAATGTCCAGACTTGTGGCGGCGTGGTGGGCCGGGTCATTGGGCTCC